CACAGCTAGAAACTCTCCCGCCCGGAGCCGCACCTGAATTTCACCGAATTTCGTTTGGGAATGTGCGTTTTACGTGTAGGCGAACTGGCACTTCGCTGTTGGTGAGGTCTAGGGAAGTAGAGAGTTGTTAGAATTACCGTAGATATAGAAACTGTACACTTTACAGTTTGCCAGCGTTGTCAGAGACTCTAGGAACATGATTCCGGATCACAACGTGTTTTCAGAGCAGACTAGAGACAGAAATGTCATCGCACAGTTGAGGAATTTTTGGAAATACCTCCTCCAGAACACCGAGGACCATCTCATGCTCAACTTCGTCCAACAAGTTCGGCGCAGGCCGAGTCTGAATTCGCCTCTTTCATCGGCACACGACACTGGTGAACGATCTTGGCTAGACCGTCTGTTATCTGCTGCTCAGACACCGTTGTAAGCGCCAGGGTATTGCGAATGTTATGCTGGAATGCGACGGTATCGAAAGAAGTGACGTGGAAGAGCTTTGGAAGAGTTGGAGCACGGCAGGACGGAGGTCTACTGGGATGTACTGGGTGCCTCAAGGGGAAAAGGTCGGACAGAAAACGATCGCAGAGTGGGATGAAAGATTGGATTATTGACGTAAATGTTGACGGTATTAGAGAGTCAAGCAGCTTGTTCGTCACAGTGGAAACAGTCGTCGGGTTATGGATGAGAATAGGAAGGGTCGTCGACAATAAGTGGGACATGAGATGGTGGATTGGGCCATGCCGGAGATGACAAGGGTCGCGTGGCTCATCTAAGGAATAACGGGCCATCGGCGCCTAATTAGGAAGACAATGGCGAGTGGTCCGGACTGAAGCATTGGCACAACTGAGCTGTTTAGGCTATAGTAGAAGAGTTCATAATATTTAGGCTAAGTAAATATATAACAGTAGTAGCAACAGTAGTAGCTAATTAATCTAAAAGCTCAAACAATCCAAAGTGTACTGGCAGGTGGCTGATAAGGTGGCATTGGTCAATAAGGTGGCATTGGTCAAGATACAGCAGACATGACCCAGAGGCCCAAGCAGCACTGGCAGCTTTGGGACTTGTGCATGCTAGTACTAGTACTAGTGGGAGATGTGGCTACATAGCTGCATACCTGCTTAAGCCACTGCTCGCAACACTGGAGAAGGTTGACCACAAGCCTGAGGGGGTGACTGTCACGGACTCACGACACTGCCAATGCTTCAGTCCGGACCAGTCGCCATTGTCTTCCTAATTGGGCGCCGACGGCCCGTTATTCCTTAGATCAGCCATTGAACCTGTTGTTCCGCCTCAGCTCGTGCTTGCATCTCTGGTCAACGCAAATTCCGCATGGGCTCCGGGTAAGATATCGATGTTGGTAGCAGCAGCAAGCGTTTACAGTCGTGTTCACAAGTAACTGCTGGTATACATAGTCGCATCTACGGAGCTGTCAGGAACAAACAACTACATTTGTAGCGACCGCTCACCTTCTCTGCAGCTACAGGTCCAGTCGTAAAAGCACTGTTTACGACCGCAGGTTAGAAAGAAGCACAAGAAAACAATTCCTGCATACCTCGGCGCCACGGTCGACGGACCCCCCGCGGGACACGGCTCCGACACTCCGTTAGCCCCGAGTACTTTGCCTTCCGCAACAGCGAGACCGTGCAGCGACATGAGAGTCGACGAAGAAAAGAGTAGCTGGCCGGATTCCCGATTTGGCTCCGCTGGCCGGTCCACAGCCACACGGACATCACTTCTCGGAAACGACGAGGACGGCTGGGCTCCAACCTCAACACCGCTGCCTGCGCCGGCCTGCAGGCTCTTGAACGCCATCGCCCCGCCCGCGCTAGCTCGGCAGCAACTTGTAAACCTGGCAGCTCAGCCCGACGGACTCTCGAAACGAACGGCACTGTTGACAGACGTAAGCGCGATTTTGGCGACATTGGGCGACATGCAGCTTATCTACCGCAAATATTCTCAACACGAAAGCAGGATTCAGAACTGTGACGTGGCAGGGGACAAGACACAGTCCTATTACTGGCTACTCACTGCTCATCTGGCGATACATCCAGCCTTACCCAGTGTGCTCTTCTTCTCGACATTCCAAGCACACTAACGCTCTCGCGGCAGCCCTGGCGCCCGAACGGCAACCGTTGGGACTTTTCACCGTGCGTCCAGTGCTGTCGGCGAGTCGAAGATCGTCGATATCTTATGATCGTCATTGTTAGTGGGTTGGTCATCACCGTCAACCCCGGCCTGGCCCGTCCCTGGCGCCCGGCGTCCATTCCCTGATGAGCCGAGGCGGGCTATTTACTTGTCTTTGGAACGCCATCCGACAGCGTGCGTGCATGCGCGGCTCTGCAGACGCAAGATATAAGATTGAAGAGATGAACTCTCAACCAAAGACGGTATCGGGCCCGCCACACCGCACAGTGCAGCTTTACTTCGCTCGCGGGTCGATGCGCACACCATCCTCCTCCGATTTTGCCGGCGCCGCCCTCAACACTGCCAAAAATGGCCGACACAACCGCGATGGCCTCCCAATGATGTCAAGTCCAATGTCAAGCTTGTTGTCGCGATCGCGTTCAAAATGCGGGTGAGGTTTTTTGGCCGGAGTCAACGTTCGGCTGACCTGGTCCAGGACAATAGCAACAACGACGTCGAGCGGGAGGCAGAAAGATCGATGCAAATTGCCAGTAACAATTTCAGCTCCTTCCGACACGTTTAGGCCCCTTTGAGCCACGGGATTCGTCTACCAATGCATTTGAGCCGGCTCTTTGGGCCGGCTCGGCCTCGGTCCGGAGCTATCCCGCGCCGGTGCATGCCTGAGCGGTTGCATACTGTATGGCCTGAATCGCCTTCGGCGTCGACAGTAGCAGGCCAGTTCCACGGTCAAAGCAACAATGTAACTGTAATACCTTGATATTCTCTGCTTAAACTCATTCTGGGCAGTAACACTGGGTGCAAACCCAATGGCAGTTTGCCAAAGGGAGGTCCAACGGGAGTGGAAAGGCAGACAAAGGTTTCTTTGTTTGAGACAAAGTAAAAAAATCTGCTTTCAAACTCCCGTTGGACCCCCCTTCTCCAACTGCCATTGGCTTTTGCCATGGGTGTAATCCAATATGGCTGCCTAAAGAGAGCAACCGTTTGTCAGTGAACTTCACTGGCGCATTGAGTTTTCCTGATGAAGCCGCGCTGCGAGCTCCGCGTCCATCAGCTCCTTTGCCGCCTGCCGCCGTTCCAAGAACTCCTCGCGGCCACCCGCATTCGTGGTACAGCTTCTTCACTGTGCGCTCCTCGCGGTGCTCCTGCTGGCCATCAGCAAAAAAAAACACAAAACTCGTTATAATCTGTCTGTGCACATACCACACCGATACGGTTCGCAAGCGACCGGCGTTGCTTGTCGAGCTCGGCCCGGGCACCCCAGTCGCGCTTGATCGTCGGCACGCGCAGCAGCGTGCGGTATGCGAACCCGAGCTCGCGGAAGTAGTGTGCCGCGGGGACGATCGGCACGCGGCGGCCCGGGCGCGCCGGCCCGTCCGGACGGGCCGCGGCTTGGTGCTCGGGCGTGTTTGGGTCGGGCGGGGCGGCGGTGTCGTAGGCGCGGACGACGCCGAGGCGGGTGTCGAGCAGGATAAGCCAGCCGCCCGGCCCGGGGATGGTCAGAGGGAGCAGCCAGGCGTCGATGTCGGGGCGTCGGCCTCATTCTCGTCACTATAGTTGGCGAATACGGTATTCTTGAACAGCTGCGTGCTCAGGGTGGGGCTCTCGTTGACGCATGGCAGCAGCTGCATCAGCTCCACTGCTGCCGGGGCATACCCCAGCTCCTCTGCAAGCGCTATGTTCACCGTCACGTTACTCACCACCGCCTCTGGCCCCCAGTGCCCCATCTCAACCATGAGATCGTAGAACTGCGTGACAAGTGCAGCCACCTCAGCGGGGTCGTAGGCGGCCGCTGCAGCCTGTTCTGCCTCGTGCAGCGCCATGATGCGCCGTGGCAAGTCCTCCCGCGCGGCTTCCCGGTCCGCCGGTGCCGAGTATGCACACATAGTAGTGTAAGCGGCGCGCACATGCTCGTCGGCGATCACCGCGTCAACTTCGGCAGGAAGATCGTCGACGTCTGTGCTGGCAGAGGAACGCGCGCTTGTGTAGTCGTTCCCAACGCTGCTCGCTTCGGACTCCGAGTCGGGGTCCGACCCGGAGTCGGCCGAAACGCTGCCACTACTGTCCGATGGCGCGTAGCTCTCGTCGTCCGCGCTGTCCTCCTCCGCCCAGTCGGTGTACAGCCACGCGGGCGACTGCGACCGCGCGACATGGTACATCCCGGCGTCCTGGTCGACGACGCTCGGGTAGCCCCACGGCCACGCGTCGTAGCGCTGCGAGTTGTACATATGTAGCCTAGCCATCCGCGTTGGCGGCCTATGCCGGACCAGATTCTTGGGGGGCTATGATACAAGAAAGTATCAGTCTCGTCGCGGCAGGGATGTGGAAGACCAGAGGAGGCTGTGACAGCGTATTGCGTTCAAGTTCCCATGACGTCCACGTCATGCGTTCGGTCCCGGGTCGGGCCGCCTCCGGACTATATCGATAAATGCTTGAATTGTCATACTTTTTGCAAGCATTGTTTTGTCGGCACACAGACCACTAATGGCCCGAGACTTGGAAGGTCATTAAAATACTGATCCTTGGCGATGGATCATGGAGGAAATAGAATCAAGTTCCAGAATCTGGATGAAGGAAGCAAAAACCAAGCAAAAACGGCAAATGGAGGCAAGATATGCATGTTAGGAATAGATTTTCTTTGTGTATAATATACTTACGTCTGACGAATGTTGAACTTACTCAAGAGTCATATCCATGTCTAAGCATCGCACGTTCAATCCCGGCACTGGTCGCACAGGGTCTGGATCATGGTTCATGGTAGGAAAACAACCTAGATTTTGTTTGCGATTGTTGGAGTCTGCTTTCCTGAGCTCTGCCGCTTCCATTATCATACTCAAGAAGTTTCATGTTAGGCTGGACTAGGCAAAATATGCACGCATAGCCGCCATGTACGAAGCATCGTCGCTCGAGCTGTAGCGCGCCGCGACAAACCCCCGCGCGTCGTCGCCGACGAGGTACCGCAGCCGGGCGGTGCCGTCCGTTGCCGCGGCATAGATCGTGTCGGCAACATCGGCGGACGAGATGGCCGCGCCGGCGACCATCTTGGCGAAGCTGCGGGGCGTCAGCCGCGAACAACAGCATTCAGCACCGCACCTCTCTCGCGTTTTCTGCACAAACGCGGCATATGCCTCCGCCACGCCCGGCCCGGGGCCACCCGCATCGGCCGAGCCGGCGGCGAACCGCGCGCCGAACTGTGTTGCCGTGACGCCCCCGTGCGGGATCACGGACTTGACCCGGATGTTCTGCGATGCGAGCTCGTAGGAGAGCGCCTCGGTGAAGCCCTCGAGTGCAAACTTGCTGGCGCTGTAGAGCGATGTCATCGGCAGGCCCCAGAGGCCCGCGCCGGAGGACACGTTCACCACCGCCGTGTCAGAAGGATTGGCGCGTAGGTGCGGGAGGAGCGCACGCGTCACGTCCATTACGCCTGTATTGGGGTGAATTGATAGATTTAAAAAAGAAAATGATCCACCAAAAACATTCACATCGAACTGCTTCTGCACGCGCTCCCGCGAGAGCGCCTCAAAGAGCCCGCCCTGGCCGTACCCCGCGTTGTTCACGAGCACATCTATCGTCCCGAAGGCGCTGATGGCCGCGGCGACGGCGGCGCCGATCGACGCGGACTCCGTCACGTCGAGCGGGATGACGAGCAGCCGGTTATCCGAGTCGGGAGTGGTACCGGTGAGGGCGGGCAAATCGGAGGCGGATGGCGTGCGCATTGTCGCGGCGACGTTCCACCCACGTGCGAAGAAGAGCTGCGCCGTGGCGAGCCCGATGCCGGAGGAGCAGCCCGTGATGAATACCGTCTTTGGTTGAGGCGCTGGGTTCATGTCTTCAAGTTCGTCCTCCAATGGTTGACTTCGTCTATCTGTCTAGAGACTTTTTATATCTTGCGTCTGCCGAGCCGCGCATGCACGCACTCCGTCGGATGGCGTTCCGAGGACAAGTAAGTCTCTTCACGTTAGTCGAAGTCGACGTCGATTCGGAGCCCGCCTCGACTGGACGCCGGCACCGGGAACGGGCCGGGGGCTGACCTGATGACTAACCCGGCCGGCGATAACGAAAATATCGCCTCCGACACAGCGCAGATCGAGGCGGAAGGGTCAAAATAAGTTTGGGCCTGCGAGAGCGTCGATGCTGGATGTAGTTTTCGCAGAAGAACAATCTGACTATATAAAAAATTCAATTCGTTAACCTGGGATATTTCCAAAATATTTTCTTCTGAGCCGTAGTAGTAATATCCCAGACAGGAGTTGGGAATGCCGGGGAGTCAAAGGGAATTCCGTATAGCCCAGTTGCTGAAGAGTGGAGACGAGCACCGGACGCGTACTGTAGGTCTGTAGTCTGTCAAGTATGTAAACGGAACGGTGAGGAATCGTTACCTCAAATCCAGCAACGTTTTACTTCTCTACCAAAAATGTGTTGGATGAGCCGAGTGGCCAGTTCTGGAAGAACGTTTCTCACAAGATCCAAGAACGACTGCGCTCGTGGGTCGAGCTCCCCCTTCAAGTTCGCCTGTGGGTCGAGGACAGTATACGGTTGGCATGCGGTAGAACGAAGCCATAAAGCGGTATTCAGCGAAGCTCACCGACAGAGTCGATATGCCGGTCTACATTGTTTCCAACTTGAATGAGCCCAAGGTACGATTCCGAAAACTTGAAATCACTGACCTTGACCGGCAATCCTGGGTCCAAAATTGGCTGAGACACCTCACAAGCAGTCCTGTCCTAATCGAATGCATGAACAACAGTCGCGTTGACCGCTCCGCTCCAGTCGAGCTGGTTTGGTCTGGGTGAGTTCTAGTGCTCTGTCTCTCATCACGACAGCTCACCTAATGAAAGACCCGCTTTTAACGATCCCTGACTCGTTTAGCATATATCATGATATATGATAATGCCGATATCAAGCTTAGAGCTGCGCGAAGACATTGCGGTTGGAGTCTATGACGACTCCAAGGTCAGTTTGGTATTGCATTCAATATCTGAGTCCACTTACCGCTTCTGCAGATAACTAAGCTGGAGCCAATTGCAATCCCCGATTCCCCATGTACTAATGGAAGACTCGCGACCCTCTCGTTGGGAACGACTCGTTTCAAGTTGGAATAGTGGTTGGGTGGTTTGGCGAAGAGATAGTCACTTGCGGTTGTGCGGAGAAACAGTAGCTTGCGGCAGAACATTAAGTGTACTGGTCGATGGTGGGGAGGGGAGATGGCTTTGACGAGAGAGTGTCGACGTTTGCTGGTTCAGTCGCCAAAACCTTCTTGATTGCTTGTCGGGACGAGTGGGAAGGTAACTCGGTGAGTTTGCAGCTGTTTTGTTGAGCTGCCACTGCCAGTTTCTATTGCGCGGCAGGACGGGGCCGCGTTGTTGCTTGCATGGTTAAGCTGGGGCGAAGTAAGCTGCATGTCACGGTCGCGAAAATTGCGCTTACAGTTGTCGACAGTGCCGCTCGTTTCGAGAGTCCGCTGGGGCTGAGCTGCCAGGTTCACAAGTTTTTGCTGAGCTAGTGTGGGTGGGCGATGGATTTACTTGTTGTAGCACGAGTTTGAGGTTCAAGTTGCCGTCGTCGTTTCCGAAAAGTAATGGCCGTGTGGCTGTGTTCCCAAATCGGGAACCCGGCCCGTCACCCACTTTTTTTCTTCAACGACGCTCATGTCGCTGCAAGATCTCGCTGTTGCGGAAGGCGAGGGGATGGGAGGGCGTGGTACTCAGCGCTAACGTAGCAATGTCGGAGCCGAGGAGGTTTTGTCCTGGGGGGGTCTGTTGTCGCCGAGGTACTAGTAGACAGGAGTTGTTTTCTTCAAGTTGTTCTTCTCACCCATCCCCCGATCGTTTGAGCTGTTTACTTGAATTGATTCTTTTTGGTACATGATATCATAAATTAACACAGTTCGTTTAAAAGCAGAAGATCTAGCGGCTGGCAAGTCTACGGGCTATTCGTGTTTGAAAGAGACCCAGGCCTGAGCGCGATCTTCATGCACTGAAAATACCATCATACGGCTCCAGAGTTCATATTCATGTTCTGATTGTTCATCTGCGTCTGCTGCACGGCCTGATTGTGGTGGTCCATCCCCATGTTATGATGGTGGTTCAAGTGCTGGCCATGGGTTGCCAGCGGCGGTCCATTGGCGGACATCGGTCCTGGTGCAATGCCCTGCGTACCGGCATATGATCTCTGGAACGCCCGGTTTCGGCGGAAGCGCATGACGGCGAAGATGATGGCGCCAAGGGAAACCAAAAAGACTGCGGAAGGACAGAACAATTCAGCTTGCAGCATGGTCGATAATGATGGGACTCACCGACGCCAACGACGATGCCCGCTATTGCTGCAACGGGGAGCAGTGGGTTGTTGTGATTGTTGTTGCAGACTCCGCTGAAATAATAATATGTCAACCAGGTGGTATATGCTGACATAAGACAGAGGTGTACTTGACGCATGCTGCTGCTAGTGCTGGTGGTGCAAGCGCCAAAAACACCACGAGAGTGCAGAAGACCTCGTAGGCTGCTTGTTGCGCAAAGAAAGTCATGGTAGGAAAGAAAAGCGTTGCGAGTGGGGCGAAAATATTGCTGTGTGCAAACCCGCTTACGACTCCACGGGCGCTACTTGTAGCTTCGCTTCGCCATGGCCTTCCGCTCGCAGCGACGTCATCAGCGAATCGTGTATTGAGTCGTGTGGAGGGTATTATATGGGTGCTTCTGCGTTGATTATTTGGAAGATGGATGATAAGGTACGAACACCTACTAGTACTACTGTAACCATTATATCTCAAACCATATCATTATTCGACCGCCTTGTGAAGAGCCCCACTAGTGGTTCAGCTGCTCTATTGACGCATACTCTTGCTGCGCCTTGGCCAGCTGCTGTTCTGTTGCGTCACATGAACAATTCTACGTCGCTACTAAGTAAAGACAACCACGCACGAAAGAGCGGACTGCCGTCATGATTTGCATAGAACTGCATCGTCTGCAGCACCGTGTGAATATCGGACAAGAGCGTCGATTCTTCTGTGCTTGGCGGGGGATCGAGCCCGAGATTCGCTTTGAATGTATGTCGGAATTGGCGCTCTTCACGGAGGGCATCTGTGACGACTTCGCACGCGAGAGCACATAGCGTGCCAAGAAGCGGGCTCACGACGACCGAGGCGATGCTCAATTTGGACATGAGCGTAGCGGTAGACACGATAATTTCCCGGGCAGCACCCAAAACACCCTGAGCCTCGGAGTTGTTGTTAGCAGCAGAAATCCGATTGAGGACGATAGATGCACCCGCCAGAACCGCACGAGTGAGAATTCTCAAGTGCATTTTGTCTGGGTCATTGGTGCGGCATGCCATGGGCAACACTATCCAAAGCGCCTGTATCCGGGAGTCTAGCCAGGTGACAGAGGAGAAAAACGAGACCAGCGCGTCAGGTTGGAGAGCTGTTTATGCGTCAGATCCGGACGGAGTGACTGGGCAAAGAGCGAGAACGAACAGGAAGACCATCTGGAGCTCAAACGCCATGCGCGATGGAAAAGTACCATTGCTTGTGCCTGCAACGTGTTGGGCGAGGCAGAGGCAGTTGTTTCTCTAGTCAGGAAACACTTGATAGTTGCTTGAGATAGAGACTCGGGCTGTGAAAAGGGAGATGGATTTTCGTAGTCCGTGAACTCTGCTGGCCACGGCGTGTCGATCTCGTTACTGGACGACTCCAATATCGCGAGGCTTATGCTTCCGCGTGCGCCGATCACGATTCCACACGTACTCTGAAGACACGCAACAGCCCAAAAACAGTGTATGCGTTCTCCCTGCTCAACCTCATCCACAGCAGGCCCAAGATTTCGCCGGACCTCCGTTGTCTCAGGGCTGAAGGAAGGGCCGTCGGAATGGGAGGAGCAGATTTTATGCAGTTGGTAGGCCATAGTCAGAGTTGCGGCACCATTGGCGTGAAATTCTGCCTCGAGAAAACGTCTATTTCGCAGCATATAATATGACAGCAGAATGCCGGCTTGGATGGTATGCAATGCGTGGGAAGGATTGCGACCTTCAGAAATCTCGGTGGAGAGTTGCTTCTGCGCCCGTTTGACGAAGAGGCTCTCGGATTCGAAGCGGGTTTGCGAGGGAGAAAGATGGATGCCCCACAAATATACCGCAGTCAAAAGTGCCGGCGACGGCCGCAGTGGATCGCCGAATGGCAATGGCAATAAGACAGCCTTCCGAAAGTTTGGGATATGAAGAAAGAAGCCGAACTGAGTCGCATATGGTAGGAAATAGTCCAGTCTACGGCAACTGTCTCAACTAGTCAGCGCGCAGCGATGGAACGACTCACAACGTTGGTATCATAGTGAGCGGTGGCTCCTACAGCGTCAAGTCAGCACAAAACGAGTTGGTTGGCTATGGGAAGCACGCACATCGCCACTAAATGCTTCAGTTTCACCCGTTGCTGCAATCGGGCCACCGTTAATGTGGGGTTGAATGGATTGAATCCTGATGCAGTACTTACGTGTCGGGGAACTGTCGAAGTCGGTCCGCATCTGCGGAGAACTGTAGCCTGACATCCACAAAGAGCCTATCTCCAGCTCGTGAAGGCGGGACTGCAGCCGCGCTACTGTGCCTTCGAGTTCCCGAGTTCGTGACATCACTTCTTGGAATTGGCATGGCTCGTCTTTTGGATTGTTCTGGCATGGGCCACAGAGAGGCCGCTAGGTCTATATAAGAGCCTTGAGCAGACAGGAAGGAGATGGAAACACACCAGCCCGTCACACTTCTACAAGCAATGACACAAACAGGATTGAGCCGTTGGCAAGACCGACAAGGCGGAGTCTTACTATTTTGAGTTGCCTGACAGGTGTTAGAGGCTAGGTTCCACATTTTAACCACCATACCGGCAAACGAGGCATGCTTTACCGCGTCGAAGAGCGTGTGCACGAGATGAGCTGGCGCTTGTCATGGCGCTGGATGGGATTCAGTTGCTTGGCAAATTCCGAGTCGGATAGGACATCTTTATAATTGCGACGAGAAAGAAGGCAGTCCGTGAGTAGCAGCGTGCAGGCTGGGTCGCCGATTGTGAATCCGCAGCAAGGCAGAACACGGTCACGAACCAAAGGTGTGGACAGTGTGTCAGAATCGAATTCAGGGACCATTGATCATTTGATGACGCGCTTTCATTCGCTGAGTTTCTGACTGAATCTGCTCGCAATGCCTCGCATGTAGAGGGTGAATACATAAAAGGAAGTAGCAGGACTCTTGTGGCGAATCTATCTAGCGAGAACAATCCATTACAAAAAATCTTGGCACACTAACGGGGAATCGGCGACTGTGAGGACCGACTCGCAACTAGTTTCCACTCCCTTCCATCTCTCCGCGCGCCCAAGTGTCAATTGCGCGCTTTTCCTCCGTCCATTGTTCCAGAAACGCGTCGCGGTGCCACCTGTCTGGCCAACCGTGTTGCCCGTAGAGCGCCAACAGCGCCGTTTTCTGGCGGCGTTCCGACTCGTAGTACCAGGTTAGCGACTGATGGTATTGCTGCGGCATGAAGTGGGGATCGCTTTTGTCCGGCTCAATGATGGGCAGGCGCGAAAGAGAGTGATATGCAAAAATGAGCTCTTTGAAGTAGTGCGCGGCGGGGACGGTGGGCACACGACGATACTTCTCTTCATGCGCCTTTTCGATATTGCTCTGGTCGAGATGGCCATGCCGCAGATACTCGACAATGTCGTCGTCCATGTAGAACCCGTCGTTGACAACCACGCGGACAACACCCAGCTTCGTGTCGAGCATCACGCTGGAGCCGTCGCGACCAGAAAATATCAAAGGCAAGACCCAAGGATCGAGCAGAGGCGAATTGTCTGCCGCGTATATATGAGTGCGACGAGACTCACGCAGATCGCTCTCGTCTGTGTAGTCTGCCAAATAACTCCGCGCCAATATAAGTTTTCTTTCTTGACGAGCCACCATCTTGCGGACATATGGCAGCTTCTGCATGATTTCAAGCACTGAATCGCTGTGACCCAGCTCCCGGGCCAGCTGCAGATCCAAGGGCGGGTCGATATGCGGGGGGTAGAGAACGTCCGACGCCTCCCAGTGCCCCATTTCCACGAGAAGCTCGTAAAACTTGGTGACCAATGCGGCAATCTCGTCCGCATCGTAAGCCACAGTCGCCTTGCGCTCCTCCTCGACAAGAAGCGCAATTTTTCGCGGCAAATCCTCCCTCCTCTCCTCCCAGGACGAGTTACCAGGTGTCAGATGCACCCTGTTAGCCCGCAAGATCGCGTCCAACTCGGCTTTGTACTCAGAAACATCAGTCATCTCTTCGTCGCTGTCAGAATTTGAAGAAACGTCGCTGGTGCCAGAGTATTCAGAGTTTTGAGAGGGTGAATAGTCGCTTGAACTATCCTCATCTTCTTCCCAATCTTCATGAAGCCATGATTTTGCAGGTAGCCGGAAACTAGCTGCATGTTGCTCTTCAATGCTGGGTTCTGGCGGAAGGATGCTCGGATAGGCCCAGGGCCATGGATAAGGCTTATATTCCGGCATGAACTTGAAGAAAGTCCGTTGAAAAGTGAGGTCCTATAAGTAAATCTTGCGTCGGTAATGGGCGCCGGTTCTAGTCTCTTTCAAGTTTACAGACCCAATATCGTGGCGGTCGTAAACTCCCTACCAGAAAATAGGCGCCGGTTCCGCTAGGTGGTCGTCATCAAGGAAGGCGTAAATTTAAATGCCGGGCTCGGCATCAGCAAAACCCACCTAGGTTCATAATCTCCTAGTAATTACTTGAGTGGTACACGCTTCATTATGATTAGCTCGGCAATGCAAGCAGACAAAACAGGGACAACAAGATACGGAAAAACATATGCAACCCTCGCAAGATCAAGCTAAGTAAGGTATATGTACGTGCAAAAGTGAAATGAAAGCATCATCCTGGCTGCAGTTTAGGTAGATAATGATACGTGCGGTATGCTATCCTGAGTCCGATGATCCTGCAAGTGGAGAGATGAAGGGAACAAATACGTCGTCAAAGGGAAGAAAAGAGGTTTCGGTCGTGTCATGATCGTCGTCGGGAACTGCGACTGCTTGTCCGCGACGAGTTCTCGAGTTCGGCACGGATTGCAGCATACCCTTTGCGGTCAACACGGTGCACGTAATACGATCCACCGGCGCTGCCCCAGGACACATCGCCTGAGTGGTAGGGGAACTCCTTGACCTCGAAAATCGTAGAGATGTCATCAAGCTGGGAGGCAAGTCAATAACGACGCATGTGGGTTTGCGAAACGACAAACATTGCGTTCAGTAACACGCCCGTTAAGAGACGGGACGAACGGCGCGAGAGAAACAACATAGGCTCCTTCCTTGAGGTCCAGGAACTTTGGCCTCAATTGCTCGTTTACTATGGGACGATTGTCAGACTGGGAAACCAAGCAAAATTTTATGCTTACACGTCTGGGGGAAGATTTTGTTGTTAATGAGAACCACATCCGCCTGCGACAGCAGCTTATGCACGTGCGGGCTGGTAATCATGTCGCCTTCTTCGACCTCGACCTTCCCACATTCAAGTCCCCACATTCGAGCCCTGACCTGGAAGCTTTTGACCATCTTCGCAGCAATCTTGGCGGGCTTGCGGTTGAGTTCGACGCCATAGCTGTGACAGCCAGACTGCAGACTCGCTTGCACAACGATGTTGCCAACGCCGCTGCCGAGATCGATGAAAAGCGAGTTCGAGTTGAGACCAGTTTGCCGGACTATCTTGTAGATCAAGGACGGCGTCAACTCGCCATAAACGGCACTCGAAAATGCCTCGTATTGCTTAAGCGACTGCATATATGGGCCAACACTTCGCTGATAATTCTCTTCGACCACACGCATAAGAAGGTTCTTGGGGAGCTCTTTGTCCGTCCAAGATTGCACCGTGTTCATCAGCAAGTTTGGAACATCCATGAAAACGTCTGTCAATTGCGGGTATTTGAGTCCCCGGAGGATGTTGTTGGCTTTTTCCATTGCTTCCATGAAAGCGGGTCCGTCCTTCCGATGGATGGCTCGCTGAACGGCGCGGAGGACATTAGGTTTCGGACCCTGCCATTTGCGCGTGGGGGAAGAGTTTAGGTCGGATGAGATGGAGCGGCTGCTGTCGGTTGAATTCGGGGGAGAAATGGAAGGAGGGGTTTCGTCCAAGTCAATGAAGAGCGTTCCACTCGGTATTGGCCCAAATAGAGCTTGTTGAGCGGGTGTCAGATAATCTGTCTTGCTATCAGAGTAGGTCGCTGTAGTTGATTTATGGACTCACTTTCCACGATAGTATACAGCGTTTTCTCTACATCCATTATGGGGTTGTAATGGTCCTTGTCAACCGGAGCAAGAAGGATATATCTTTCATGGCAATCAGCAAGAAGTCTCGCCAAGTAGACGACATGCACAAACTTTTCCGATGCAGTCCTATTGGGATATTCCAGCTCTACTGTTGGGTATCTATTGGGGCTTTGTTGGAATGACCTGTCTGAAGGGTCCTGATAGTTTTTGAAGTCTACACAGGATCGGTGACTTGTATATAGTGAGCGAAAGAAAACCGACTCACATCCACGATACGTGCGAAGATGCATTCTGACCGCGTCTTCAGAGCTGAAAAAGTCATCATGCGGTAGCGCGTCGCCCTTTGCAACCCAGTGCCGCTTTTGCACTGGGGCGTCGTCTGGGGTGGCGAAATGGGAGACGGAACGCGACCGACTACCTCGGAATCGGGGCTCAGGCGAGGCTGAGTTGAGTGTACTAGACGATGAAGCGCGTTTGACGAGTCGTGGCGCTGAACTGACGCGTTTTGGTGCCTTCTCGCGCCGCACCCTTTTGGCCTCGCGTGGTAAAGCCATGTCTAGGTCAGCCGAGGCCCCCAGCGAGACCGACTTGCGCTTTTTGATGGGGCTGGACATGGGAGAAGAGGTAGGTGGCGTGGAAAGGGGAGAAGAGGACTGTGATTTGGGAGGGCGCGACAAAGGGGAGGAGGCTGGTGACGGCAGCGTTCGCTGGACGACACGCGTTGTCACAGTCACGGTCGTTGGCGTCGTAAGCGGCCGGCCGCTAAAAAACTCAGCGTTCGAGGTTGCGACTATGGCCATGGGTGTGGGTGGGTGAGGAGACAACGGCGATGCCATCCGTGTGTGACGCGGCGTCACGTCACACGTGTCACACACATCATCAACCTTGTCCCAAACGCGAAACCTCGGGTTATTGTCTCCAGCCCTCATCGTCTCTCAAGTAGCATCAAGTCTAGTATCTACACGCAAATCAGTAATCACCCTTTGGCGCTACACATGTCTCAAATTTCAACTCTATCCATACTTATCTGCCTTCCCTCCATTTCTCTAAAAAGTCGACTTGATGCAACTCTGTGAACTTCATATTCTCTTACGCCTTCTGGAACTGCGGCCAACATACAGTCCCCTAACCTAACTGGCCATACTTGCGCGTTTCAGTGTCCCAAGTTAGTTCTGTCTTTCCATGTTGGTCGTGCTACGCAGAGCAAGAAAAGCTGAGCTCTTCGAAGGTAGGTGCTGCGAGTCCGCATGCCATTGAATCGTGATCTCTAAGGTTCATGTCGTCTGTACTAAACCATCTTTCTGTTGACGACTTCGAATCTCAAACCATGTTTCTACGTCCCGCTCGGTATTGAACAGGACGGTTCATTGAGGCAGACAAGTCGGGGGAAGCAATACGGGTCGGGTCGTCTGGTAAGTTTCCTCTTTCTGGGTCAATTTTGTGCAACGTTGAATATGAATGTAGGGCAGTTTCTCCCTCAATCCGGGTCATATCCACCTGGCTAGACTCCCGGATACAGGCGCTTTGGATAGTGTTGCCCATGGCATGCCGCACCAATGACCCAGACAAAATGCACTTGAGAATTCTCACTCGTGCGGTTCTGGCGGGTGCATCTATCATCCTCAATCGGATTTCTGCTGCTAACAACAACTCCGAGGCTCAGAGTGTTTTGGGTGCTGCCCAGGAAATTATCGTGTCAACCACTGCGCCGATGTTCAATTTGAATATCACCTTGGTAGTCGTGAGCCCGTCATGGCTGGTCTCCCGAGTCAGACTGTAAAAATCAGCCTATGAGGGGGATGGTTGGACGGCTGATGTGACACGCGACGGCCATGGCGAAGCGAAGCAAACTTGCTGGGACGATGTCAAGGAGTTGCCAGTCCGCATTCGCCAACCATCATTTCTCTCAATCGGCATGTATGCAAATCCCGATAAAAATATAAATTTCACGCTGCTCAACTCGAAGTACTTCCGATTCCCAAAGCTTATGAGCATTTACTCTTCCGGTCTGAGCGTCTCCAAAAGCCCTTTCAAGAACTCCAGTTCCTCCTCCAAACCCCTCACGGAATCTTGAAAGTCGGAGTCATCCTCTGTGAGCAGAGATTGGTCACCTTTTTTGCGCGGACCATTCCCGGCAAGGATAGCGTTGAGCTGCGGGGAAAATTGGGGAGCAATTGTCATCATGCATGCCTCGTATGCCGCCAAATTTAGTTGGGGGTGTGCAATGACATTCCGAACTTCACCCAACTCATCCCGTCGCTTCAGTAGAGCTTTCGCGAAAAGCCACTCGTCTTCTGTCAGTTTTTCCCGGACTGTACGATAGGCTCTTCGGATATTGGCGTTGTGTTCGCCAGTTGGTTGGAAGCGCAAGATTTGCACAACTAATAGAAGTGTGAGTCAGCCACTACTGATATAGATATTATTCAACTCACTGTAACCAAGCGCGTTCTTCTTTAAGATGCGAGTCGTCTTGTTCTTCGCATTGAATATCTTGTTGTCATTCATGTCTGAGAACAAGTCAGTTTGGTTCCGGGAGTGTCAGCGTCACGCACGCTGCAAGGTTATGTCGCAAGCCTGGTACTCTTCGATGATTCTCCGCGCATCGAGTCGGCGCTGGATTATTTCGACTTGCTTGTCTATGGACAGGGAAAATGCATCGGTCAGGTCTTGGTGTCCGTCCGTGACAGACTGCAGTCGAGCCTCGGCTCGCTGGTGTTCTCGACGCAGTTCTTCGAAGGACGCGGTCCGTTCGGCTCTTTCCACAGCCAATTCCCTCTCTAGAATCGCCAATCTATCCTGATTGTTTCTATAATCCATTAGTGAGCTGTTGTGTATTATATTCATTGAATGAAACAAACGCCGCTCGGTAGTTATTGGCTCTTTCCCCCGCCGATATTCGTGTAAGCTCGTAGATTGTCGGTGACCTCTGATTGACGCGAGCACCAAACTCGGAAACTGTGGGACCCCATGAACGAGTCCGCTGCCGCTCTCGCTCGTGTTTGGAGAACGCGAGGGTTGCATCCTCCAGCGTGGGCTGGGCGATGTCCGATTGGATTCGTACGGGCTCGCGCTGAGTCGTTGGCGACCGAAACAGAAAGGTGAGGGGTGGTCTGTGGAGGCTCCGGAGAGGCGAGCTGCTTGTGGTTGAGGACATGAGGGCTGAGGGAGAAAAGGAGATAAGACCGACATAGGGGCACCGGTACCGGCACGTGACACTTTCCCAATCGACGGTGCTTGTCCGCTCGTATAACGCAATAAAGACAACATTCGCCGACGATGACGGTCAATAGTACTTCATCACCACTTCCTTCAGCCGGGCATTGCAAGTTTTTGTGCACAAAGAGCTAGAAAAACCTAGAGCATGTTCAAAAGTTGTTCTGAAAAGAGCTTCAGCCCATTGTTGTAGCTAGCGCTGTTGATAATCTGCTTGCTAATCGTGGTCAGGTTTCAATCCAGGAGAATTTGTCACAACGTATTCAGGAAGAAGCCCAGCGCAAGTCAGCTTTTCTATGCAGATCCATTGGAATTCCGTATATACAAAGAGAGGCTCCTGGTAGGATCAGCTCTGCTGGGGGGTATTGGAAGTAGCAAAAATAAGGAATGTAGGTGTTGTGGGGAGGGCGAGAGGTGACTACGACAGGATGCTAAATAGATAATTGTAAATTGCACGTAATATAAGAACTAGGAGTAAATGCATAGAGATCCAGATGAGTTGTCGCATAGCAGAAAACAGAGCCGAGAATAAACAAGACAAGCGACCCCAGGAATGGAGCCATTTTGGGGATTAAGACCACCAGCCATCTGCGCCTTGCGTTGGCGCGAGCGAGACAGTGCTTGGCGTCGGCGAGGGCGGCGCAACTGTCCGCGCGGCAGCCGCGGGCGATGCTTTTGGATACCGCGAGTACGAGTTGGAGGTCTTTGGGGGTGCAGTTGGACGACGAAGGTTGTTGTTAAGAGCGCCGTATCGCCCAGCCGGTGTGGGCGTGCTAGTCGCATGAATACTCGCGCTCGTCGAGTTAAAACCCCGCGGAGCATGCATCGAGTCCCACACAGACTGCTGGCCGGGCGGTGTCGCACTACGAGCACTTGCGCTCGGCGAAGACGGTCGACTGGGATAGACGGTGCTTGCTCGTGAATCTGGTCGACGCGAAGTCCCATTACGATAGGGGCTTGGCGCTGCTTTCGTCGGAGTCTTTGCACGACTCCGCTCAAGCTCAATTTGTTGCTGATTGAGCCTCGTCTCCAGAGTGTTAATCTGGTCGCGGAGCTTGTTCTCGCGGTCCTGATAAACAAATTAGTGGGTGCCCGAACACAACTCAAATCAACAAACCTTGGTTAGTCGCTCGTCTGCTTCCCTCTCGTCGAGCTGCAACTTCAGCAGCGAGAAGTCGGTATCCAACCTCGTATGCGTCTGTTCCGCCTGATCAAGTTTCGTCTTCGTCATCTCCAGTTGGCCCTCGTATTCTTTGGCCCGTCTCTCCCACTCTCCAGCCCGTTGTTGGGCTTGCGCTAGACTCTGTCTAGCAGCCAAAGCAGCTTTATCGCTGCTTGCAATCTTGGACTCTTGGTCCCTGAACCGCTTAAGCAGGGCAGCATGTTCGCCCTCAAGCACCTTGCTGCGATCCCGAATCACCCGTAGCTCCTTCAGCTCCTCGTTGTCCGCTTGTCCGATGAGACTTGTGAGCATTTCGATTTGGGCAGATGCGTGTCGGAGATCATCCCAATGACTTTGCTGAGACGCAAGCTGGTCGTGTTGTTTTTGCAGCGACGCAAGCGACTGTAATGCGGATTCCTTGTCCCGTGCCGCAAATGTGACTTGAAGCTCCAGCGCATCAGCCTAGACGAATAAAGTCAACCCAGCGAAACAGCATGAAAAAAAACACACCTTGGCTTTCAAAGTCGCTCTCTCGCTCGAAACTTCCCTAGTCCCTTTCTCCAGTTCTTGGATTCTCTCTTGGTTGGCTTGATGTGTCGCATCGCTGGCTTGCAGCCTTGCCAATGCCTTTGCCAACGCATCTTCCAGTTCCACGTTTCGTGCTTCGACCACACTCAACGTCGCAGCCGTCTCCGCAGCCTCTACTTGAGCCTCCTTGAGTTGCGCCCGCATCCGATCTCGGTCTCCTTCCACAATCGACAGCTTCTCCACAACCACCTCCTTCTCCACACGCACTTGTCCATGGGCGCCCCTCGCTTTGGCCATCTGTACCTGGAACTCGGTGTTGTTCCGCCTCAGCTCGTCCATCTCGCGCTTGTTCGCATCTCTCGTCAACGCAAATTCTGCATGGGCTCCGTGTAAGATGTTGGTAGCAGCAGCAAGTGTTTCGGGTAACGCAGCGACTTGTTCAAGAACTTCCTTTTGCAAGGCAAGAAGCTCGCGAGCATTCGAGCCAAGGGACTTCTGTCCACCAGCAAGGTTGTCAACGATTGTCTTGATAGCGATGACATGCTCGTTGGACGGTTCTGAGTGTGGGTGCACGTGACCATTGGCGGTGGCTGCTGTCGCTGCCTTCATCGACTCCAGCGCGTCAGATATCGTCTTGGGGAGACCGGAGACAGCATCTGCAACCTCCTTGTGACTAGACGCAATTGCGGCTTGTTGTGAAGCCAAAGATTTGTGGCTCTCGACAAGAGATGACAACTGGTCCAAAGGCTGCATCAACCTGGACACACCGTCCGCAACCTTGCTTGCCATGATATCGGGGCCAAACGTCCTGTCTCTGACCGCAAGTCGCGAGTCCAATCGCTCAACCACAAGATCTGCGACTTGCTCCTTGATCTCGAACGCGTCAATAGGGGCAATGGCTTTGCGAACTTCGGATGTGAGTTGTCGGGCAATTGCATCCGTGTCTACCGCGCTGTTGTTGGAGCCGTTGGAAGGAAGTAGGGGTAGTATCCTCTCAATGATCAGTCCAGCCGTCTCGCGTTTATCCGAAGCAAGGTCGATGAGTTGAGAAATATGAGGCTTGACTGCTTGCGTCAACTTGTCTGTTAAATAGTCGTAGTCGACAGACTCTGGATGCAACGCGTTGAGCGTCGGAGACAGCGCTGACATCAGCGCATCGACCATCGAATCGCGTTCCCTTGCAGGAGCACCAACTGAGATAGCCTCCAAACGAACCGAAAGCTCGTGTATCGACTCGACAACGGCGTCGATAGTGCGGTTGTTCAACTCTTGCATCATAGGTCCGATCGCTACTCCAGCTCCTGCATCTCCTCGCATTGAAATTTGCGCCAACTCCCGCTGAAGAAGCGCACGTGACTCTGCATGGCCTGATTGCACAATGTCCTTGATGAGCTCGAAGTCAAGCTCGCCACGCGCATCGAGCTGACTATTCTCCTGACGGGAACGCAAAAGTTGGACCACCTCGGCCATCATCGCCTCCGCGTTCGAGCCGCTCTTGGCGGTAATTGACCTGAGTAGGTCCCGTTTGATGGAATCCAGTTTCTCGTCAAGCAGAGCTTCTAACCGTTGTTCGTAATGGTGAACCTCCAATCGCGTTGTCAGATCCAGAGCAACCGACTCATCCTCGTCCGAAACAGATGAGTTTGTCGCGTCCCGCAAAGGATCGGGCAACGAAGAGCGTTTTCTTCCATGAGATCCCAGGACGGGTCGGCGAACAGAGGCTGTGGCAGTAAAAACATCATCTGCGGGGCCAGCACTCGTGTCCGCCAACCGACTTCGTGAAATCTTGCGCGAGACCGAGATGGGGGGAACATTCAAATCGTCCAATGATGGTCTCTGGGAATGCGGCCGCGAACGAGAACTGTGCAGACTATCCATGAACTCGCGCGAACTGAGCCTGGAGCGAACTGTTCTCCTTGTCCTCTCATCTCCACTGCTGGCATTCCCGTTTCCGTTCGCGGCGGCTTTGAAGAGGCCAGCGGGAACAGTTGTGCTCGACCTAAAGTCAAGTTGCAAGCTTGGCGACGCGCCATGGGTGAAGTCCAACGGTATTGGCGCCCGTTTGGTTCGACCCGTGGGGAGAACGAGATGTTCTGGCACCGGCATGTCAATCTTGGCCATATCTGCCTCTTCTGTCCCAGGGCTGAGTGGCATCAAGGATGGCAATAAGGGTACGTTTCCGATGGCTCCGCCGAACCTGAATGTGTCTGCCTCAGGATTGAGCGGTATATTGAGCCGCTTTTCGGGTGACGGGTTATTGGACGGGAACTTGAACGAAGTCATGTTATCCACACTCTGCTGGTCCTCTTCTTGATCAACAGGGGCATTGTCTTCTTCGGAATCAGAAGCGATACTGAGACGTTGTCGCTTTTCTCGGCCTTGTGTTTTGAACGGTGTTGATTCCGCTGTTGGCTGCTCTTGGATGAGAGGCTGGGGCTCGGGGAAGGCAACATGCGGCACTCCTGCTGGTGGCTTGAATGTGAATGCGCCAGGCTTGAACTCGGGGGCGGCGGTATTCAAGGCAAATGAAGGCTTGAACTCCATCGCAGTAGGGTTCAGCGAAGTCCCCAATGAAGGCAGCCGAGAGTGTGTGATCAACGGCGCTTTCGGAGGAGCAGGCGCGCCAAAGACAAATGGCGAAACAGGAGCAGCAAAGACAAACGGCTTTGCATGCGGGTTTAAGGCGTAGGACTGCAGGTTGTCGGAAGGAAGACGAGAATGCGCTTGGGCGGGATCATGTGTTGTGAAGTTGCCCGAAGTCGCTCGAGAATGTGGCGGGAGAGAAAGACCTTGAGATGGTCGACGAGCAGGTGAGCTGGTGTAGTATTGATGCATCGCCTCTTCCTCGCTTGGATTGGAAATCATGTCGTCGTCGAGACGTCGAATGATTGTATTGTCGGGCGGACGAGGGAAGTGAGGAACCCGTCTCGGTTGGTCAGCCAATCTCATGTCCCGTCGTTGTAAACGCCGTTCAACCCGCTCTTGCCGAGCCCGCTCCTCATCTGAGGGGTTCGAAAAGTCGCCCAAACTCTATAAGAATGGTCAGAAAAAGATTCAGGTTCTATTGGACACTGACCTCGTCCTCAGAAGACTCTGCAGCCTGATACTGATGACCACCGTCGTCAGAACCCGTCCATTCGTCAACGTCAACCTCCTGGTCTAATTCCATATCCTGTGACTCATCTCCAGATGCAATTGGCTCTACATCAATCCGCTCATGTATCCGTCCGCCATTAATATTATTGCCCACAATGCCGCCAACAGACTGCAGCGATAACGCCGCCGAAAGCCTTGAAACATGGCGCGAATGACGAGCGGTTTGTACACCATCATCGCCGTCCTCGTCGTCAGTTTGTTCTGCCTGATCGTTAGTGACAAAGCTGTCCTCCGCCTCCGTTTCATCCTCCTCTTCGGTAGCATCCAACCCGAACCCGCGCATGAAATCGGGTCTGCTGTCCCTGCTTTCTGGTCGAGAAGTAGCTCTAGGTGCCGTAAGTGACGACATGGACATCGGAACTCGTCCTTGTGGTGCGTGAATTTGCGCAAGGGGCACATCGTCGTCGTCCGAGTCTTGGTCCGCCGGCAATAATGCATCTGGCCCAAACGGATTGCTCGTCGGTACATTGGTATACGTCGGCGGTTGCGCAAGAGACATGCTGTAGCCGTGACGATTCATAAATCTTGGAGGTTGTAAGCGGGGGGATGGTGAAAGACCGGCAAATGGCGGCTGTGGGGAAGTCGAAGAGGAATTGATGGTGGAAGGTGCGAGAGAGCCTGTGGCTTGGGCTTGCTGCAGTTTGTTCAACTTGAAGAACAGAAGAGCAGGGTCGGCTGGAGAAGAGATCTGCCTTTGTGTTAATTCTGAACACGTGGAGAAAATGGGGAGTGGAGACTGACCGAGGCGGCGCGAGCGTGCGGCCCATGGCTAAGAGCACTCTGTGTGCTTGCTGACCGCTCGACACCTAGCTTTTCAAGTTTTTCGTCAATTTCGCGCTTTTTGATCTCTTGCCACGCTCGCTATAAGAAGTCAGCAAAGGGGCGAAAAAGTTGGCAAAGATACAACGCACCTTTCCCGGGAGGAAAACGTCGATTGTAGGAGGTATATCGAGTCTCCAGTTATCCGGAGGATAGCATTCAGCGCTGGTAAGCTCCGCTTCAACGACATCAACGTCTTGGTAGACGAATGGTTCATCTAATGGCCTGCGTGCCCAGTGCGGTTTTTCGAGCAAGTTTCCGTCGTCATCTTTCGGAGTTTCCTTGGGCAGCTTGACAATGCTCTTTTTCTGCTTGACTGGAGGCGCCGCCGCCGCCGGAGCGTCAGCGACAGGTGGGAGTGGGCTGAGCTTTCTGGCTGGACCTCCTAGAACTGCCTTCGGGGGCCCACCTATACTGGGTTGTCGTCTATTCCTTCCAGGGAAGGGAGGGCCCTGGCCAGGTAAAGGAGGAGGGAAAGACTGCTGGCCACCCAGCAGCGAAGGTCTTGGAAAGTGACCATGCATGGGAAATGTAGGCTGCATTGCGGAGGGAGTGAATGCGGCAATGCTGGCGCTGCCTCGGTGTGTGGGTCGAGCAGGGGCACCTGGCATTGCTGGGGCGAAGAAAGCAGCCTGCATTGGGGTTCGGAGGGGAAACATCCCTCCCTGCAGAGCAGTTGGGAGTGCAGGAGAAAACAGAGGCGGCGCCATGAATGGGGCGGCTTGTTGTTGTGGGGGGATATTCAGCCGTAGGGGCTCCCTGGGCCGCGCCATGGTGGACAACGACGGAGGAACTTGAAGGTTCTCGCCAAAATTGTTGATTGATGGCAAGGGTGACAAACAAAAGATGATCTCGTTTCGGAACAAATGAAGAGAGTATCGCCACATAAATAGATGAATAAATGAATGAAGTCTAGTATAATCCCCCGAAGCCTCGTTCTAATGAGCTTGGAGTGAAATCTGCGAAATGAGAGGCTGCACACAATCAACACCAACAAAAGCTATAATCACATCAGTTGCTGAGTTCGTCGAGTACGGGTATTCATACTGTTCATTGAATGCCCATGTTATCTCTGACTCTGACTCTGCCCCGTACCACTTAAAGGCGGGGAGATGTGCCACTCGTTGCTGTACTTTCGCGCCAAGTTTCTTCGCAGCCTCCTCCATTTCCAAAGACAGTCCCCAGATCTCAATCTGCGTCACGGTATGCTGGAGCGCAAGCTCGAACAGTTTGTGTACCAGCGGCCCCAGGTTGCGTATGTCCGCCCGAAGTCGCGTGACAATGAGGCGAAGAGGCCCGGGAGGTCGTGGATCAATTGACCAAGTAGTATACGTTTCGCAGTCTGTTGAGGCAACACCCCAGGTCACTGGTGGGTTCGCTAGACGTTCCGTGTATATGCTGAGGCGACGAGATGGATAGGAGGCGACACCGTGTGAAGGCTGGAAAGCAAACGCCAGACGACTGTTTGTTGATAGAGAACGGCGAATGCTTTGGGTATCGCTCTGCCATAGCTTTGAAACACCAGAGTCGTCAAGCCACACCCAGTCTAAGCCTCCGGCTTCAGGAGCGGAATCTGGTCGAACATCCCACGTTGTAGTAGAAGTGCCTCGGACTACCCAACCTCCTCCGGTGGATGAAAGAGGCCCACATTTGGAGTAACAGTTTCCGACGTCGCTCCACAGCGCGCTGAAGCGGCCATTTCGAAACCCAGAAGCAGCAACTGGCGGCTCTCCCCACTTGGAGATAGGAAAGTCATGATTCGACAGAAAATGTTCATCCCCAAGCACCCAATGTAGGAGGCTCATCATGTGGCCCGCAAATCCATGACCACGGTTCTCTGGTGGAGTGTAAACGGAGGCGATTCCATAGCATATGACTTCCTCTATGGCGCCCAGGGAGGGGTTGAAAACAAGACCATTTCTTTTGAATCTGGAGCAAAGTTGTGTCAATGCATCGCGATGAAAGCGAACTCACGTCTTACAAGCACATTTAAAGTCGAGAGTAGTTGGATTATCCCGGGGAGCTAGAACCCTTTGGAGTTCATTCTCGACATGCAGAACACGAAGGGAGTCAGCGCACCATGTAGCAAGACGAGCTTCAAGTGAACATTCGAGTAGTGCTTGGTCAGCCTCCCGAGAAAGGTGGTCATCGAGAGTTAAACCACGGCCCCATTCGTGGTGCGTCCTTCGACGAGCTTCTAAGGTTTGTGCAGTAGTTGCCAGGTACAAGGAGAAGACGGAGAGATCATCAAATGGCATCTATGGTGGTGGTTTGAATTGAAGCAACGATTTGTCAGTCGGTGGCTGACACTTCCTTCCCTTGAGCACAACTTGAGCAGCTACTTGATCATTGGCGTTGAATACTCGGTGAATGCGGTCCAAACCACGACTATTGGCCGGTCGCTCCGAGTTTCGAACGGTGAGTAGCATCTTAGTGTACTTACTATTCGTGTTCCGATTCGTAACTCAACGCTAGTTATACTTATTCAGAACCGCACTTTGTTGCATTTCTGGACCTCCGCGAGGCTCTGCGAGGCGTTAGCGAGGACTACATCCCGCCTCAAGACAAAACGGGCGCGCACTATTCTGCCACGATGAGCAGATACTTAGTTTGCTTCCAACTTGAATGCTCCTCAAGATCGAGCAGCAAAATATTGTTTGTTCACAACTTGAATGGCGCGACTACGTGTCAGTAATGCGTCGATGGCCACTGAGGATGGAGTGGGTACGAATCGAAGTACTAGTGTTTTCGCCGGCAGTAAGTTCAGGTGCGTTATTGTCAAATAATACTCGGGTTGTGGCTCGTTACTGATTTCATTGCTGCACTAACTCAAGTATATCAGCACTTTTATTTCTCTTGAAGTTCTTAGTTCTTCCACAAGATTTGCAGGCCGCGGCGGATCATAGCCCGCGTAAATGCAATGACATCAGCGGCTTGATCACATTTGCTCCCGACTACGATGTCGGCCTTCTCCCAGACTTCAAGGACCACCAAACTCGCGCTCACGGACGACCAAAAGATCATGTACCGGTCAGAGAAGCTTATGAACTTCCGCTGGATTGCAAGCGTCCTTTCAACCTACGCACCATATACTTTAACCTCGGGCGATCTGGTTACGCCTGCGGTTCAGCAGTATATCTCAGACATTGGTGCGCCGGACTTTCCCTCCATCGGTTCGGCTTGCTGACTCTTATATAGGACAATTCGCAGAAATAGTGTATGCCCTACAAACTGAACTCCCCGCAAAGTTCCTTTTCGACAACCTTAACGCGTTGCTGGAGCCAACTATGCCTTTAGAAGGCTATAACTACATCCGCGACACAGTGCTCATAACCTCATTTGTTGGCTCCGCGGCGAATCTCCCAGGCTACATTGCCTACCGCTCGGAATCGAAACAACTCGTGCTGGCGACCGCAGGGACTTCTTCCGCAACGCAGGCAATTTACGATTTGAGAGCGCTCATGCATCGACATAAATCAAAGCACGGATATGTCCACACGGGATTCTGGCAACTGTACAAAGGCATGAAACACCTGGCACTTGAAGGAGTGCGGAACGGGATCGCGCAACATGACGTGCAAGAGCTGGTTATCACGGGACACAGTATGGGCGCTGCAGTCTCACAGCTCTTCTTGCTGGAACTGTTGCGTGACGATTCTCTACTGCCTCTTCAGGAAATACGGATCCGATATGTCGGATTCGGGGGTCCTCGGTCAGGCACCAAAGACTTGGTGCAGTACTGGCAAGAGCTCATCAAACAATGGCGACAAAAACATGGGGATGATTCGATTGAGGAGTACTCCGTCAAGATGTACAATGACGGTAATCAATCCATCTCAACACCAACTTTTTATGACATCTTACAGGCGTTCCGTCTCTCCCCCCAATGAGCTTTGGCTATCGACACTACTGCCAACGACCGTACTATTTTCTTCATGGTCGTCTTTATCATGTACCCGATGGCTACAGCGAATACTCGCTCTTCCATGCAACTTCCGATGAAGAAGACGAGAAACCACCGATACACCCGCGAGGAGGGCACAACTATTACAATGGCCGTGACATGGAGAGATTTGCGAGACGGGCTGGATGGCTGGATCGGGTATTAAAGAAGGAGGGGGACTGGAGGGAGTTGTATCGCGCTAAAGTAGCAAAGCATGAGGCAAACACAAGTTCTCACTTGGTCAATCAAGGCATAGGCTCTCTCTAATTAACGCTTTGAATCTTTTCAGAGTACAAATGCTTGGCCATCTCCCATGCAACTTGACCTTCAGGTGAAATATCGACAAGTTCTACGGTCTTGAACACTTCGTAGGCGTCTCCGGATTGGGGCAGCTCCTCCAACCGCGCATGTTTGTGTCGCAGCTCCTGGAACTCTCTGACCCGCTCTTGCAGCACATAATGGGGAGTCACCACCTTGATTGGGATAAACCTCTCCGCGCGCCGACGCCCCACCTCCCTGGCAACACAGCTGAATTCGCGGCAGTGCTTTCTCCAAGTCTCAAACACCGTGGCGGCATCCACAAAATGATTCTCGCAAGTGGTGTAGGGAACATCTATGAGACTGAGCCCCGACAGAATGCGAGCGAGCTGCGTATTGAACTCGCGGGAAATTTCGTTGATGAGCGGCAAGGAGCGGCGGTTGGGGTATGGGACCCGTCGCACGGTTTTGTAGACGAAGGGGAAGATTTGATCGACAACATGGTTCAATGCAGCTAGATTTGTCGCAGAACAAAGTTCGCAAAGCAAGCATTCCACGCCAGTGAGGAAATCAGTGAATTTATGAGTCCGCTCGAGGTGCTCTTGTAAGCCAGTATTCCGTAACAAATCGAGGATGACCAGTTCATCCCTGGTCTTCTGGAACCATTCAGCGACAAGCAACACATCTTCGCGGTTGCATAGTTGCCCACACAGTGCGCTGAGCTCACGCCCATAGCATTCCCAGAGAGCCAACTCGTGCTGCAGACTCGTCAATGGAGGGACATCCTGATTGACCACAGCTGCAATAGATGACTGCCACGATTCCACGTTGCCTCGAAGCGTTTCAAGGAGCTCTGTTTCTCGAGGCAGGTCGTCTAGACTCGGAAGTGTGCGTTCTTTTCGGGCCTATAGCCGTCAGCAATTGGAGAGAGCGAGTGGTGGTTGAAGTACATTTTCGATAGCAACTTCAATTGCAGGATGAATAATCAAGATTTGCTCTGTTTCAACGATCCGTGCGGAGTTTATGGAGCCCTAGAAATAGGTCGACGTTCAACTTATTGCAACTTAGAGGTGCGGTGCACATCTAGCATTTCGATTGAGGACTGAAAGAAGAAGGCGTGTGACAACTGTGACCGCGACTTGAAAAACCACTTGCATTGTCGCCAAATTGTCGCCGGAAGCCTTCGATATTCTTTGTCTTCAACGAACATATAATTACACGCGTATATCCCTGTATATCCGCGGCGCACTCCGGCCTCTGTAAAATCGGCACCACTCCACATCCTCAGCGCTCAGGGCTCCACAACACATGTCAACCTTCTTCAGCAACATGGCAACGATGGAGCTCAGGCGTTCTTTACGGAACATCGCAAAAAACCTTTAATATCGCGTAGCTCTCTGCTGCCACTTACCGCCCTCCTTGGCCACTGCTGCACTCTTTTTTGCCCTATCTCGCCCCCGCAACCTGAAGCATGGCACAATCCGCCTCCAATCTCGGACTGCTTACCAGAGACGACTTTTCTGTCTTCCCGAATGGTGCGTTATGGACCGATGCCCGAATATAAATTTTCACGTTGTTCGATGCAGGATGTACTGTCGATTCGGCACATATCTCCACCGTTCTTGCGCCTTGTTGCACGTCCGTAGGGAGCTCCCCGACACAGGACTCTACGGATCAGACATCGGGTTGCCCGTACACCAATGTCTTCCTCCCGGCCAACAACCAGTCATTTGGGAACTGTGCATTGGAGAAAGGTGCTGCGAGCGTCAGTTGCGCGCCACCATCGACTCTCTCGACCAAACAGAACAATCATGCTGAAAGAATATACCTACCCTCGTTCATCATCGCTCTTTTACTTCTATCGAGCATTGGGCTTACTCCGTGATCTGGTGTGTGTTGTCACCTTCACTTTGATAACCAGCTTTACTGACCACCCGTCATACGCAGCCGACTCCCTCTCATTTCGCTGTCAATACAATACCCACTGTACTATTTGAATCTCCACCATCAAGACTTCGAACAGGTTCTATCGACGAGTTTAAGCTAGGAAGCAGCAACATCGGCAACACTGGGGACAGGAGCAAATGCAGGCGGCCTGCTATTCAAGGCTCGCCTATCTCGATCCAGGCGACGACCTGGGCGACCCCTCAGCAGGTCGTCACGAGGCTTGGTAGGCCAGGTCCATTCGCCAGTAATAGTAAGCCTACGATAGCGTCCAAGTTGGAGGACTTCAAAGAAGGAGGGAGGTTATACACACGTCGGCGAATACTATTCAAGTTTGGGGTCAAAGTTACATGTTGGTTTGAAAGTGATGGCCTCACGGCACAAGTTTGATAATTACGACAGCCTCTGGTGTGCCAGTGAGAAGGGGCACCAGTTTCCCATTAGTGAAATGTCTAGTATTCATACAGAATGAGCGGAGAGCGTCGGAAATAGTAGAAATGTATTGGTGACTTGTTCTGAGTCTCATTCCTCCCTCTCAGGCTGGCCGCCATGTTAATGAACCCAGACACATCTGTGTCTAGAGTGGGGACTTCTCCCAACTTTAAAGACCTTGAACTTGAGCCCATACCATCGGCGGCGCATCGAGTACAAAACTACCGTGCGTCTCTAATGTTTGTTGTACTTCATGGCAATATGCTTGTAGTCTTGCTAACGGGGCATAGACAAATTCAAGACGAATATATGTCATTTAAGGAGCAGTTGGCAGCCCAGAGGGCCGCCCTAATGAAAGACGCCGCAGATCTGCGCAAAACTCTCCAAGATCAGCACCAGCAAGTAGCGCAAGAACGCTCAAAACGCCTCAAAACATCCGCGGCGCATGCCATGATAGTAAAGAGACGAATTGAGGTCTTGCAGCGCCGACTGGCGAAACGGAGAGTGATAGAAGAGCTCGAAGCGTGCGACATTACTCTGCAACGTGAGTGTTGTGTCCGTGATCAACTAATAAGCTGATTTGTTTTCAGACCTCAATAGCCTCATTGTCGAGGGTGCCGAGAATGATATGACCCGGACTGAAAGGAGAAATTCTAGAGGATATCGGGACACGACGCGTAAGTTTTCCTCGTGCATCAATCCACTCAGATACGCACTGCTACTGTCATTCAGTTGTCCGAATGCTGCGCTTCCGCCCGGCCGGTCAACATCGTGACTCCGAGTCGCCCGACGTTCGGATCGCATATAGCCAAGCTCGTCAGCGACTGACAGACGACCAATGGGCCTTTGCGGATGCCTTGCTAAAGAAGAAAAATGCACTGAGCGAAGTCCGAGATGTCATTCAGCGACCCCGACTCGGCCTAGCTGCCTATAAGGCCGGTATGACATCCATGTTTCCCCAGTTTTCGCAACAATACGAAGCGATCATCGCTGAAAAGGGTCCTCGTAAAAGAAACCGTTGTCTTCTTGCAGAGGAGTATTCACCGGATTCTGTGGCGAGTTTGGAGGAGGACATGGGGCTAATGAATGGGCTTTTAAAAACATTGTGCGCATAGCCATGTTAAGTACCTTCTATGATATCATGCCGCTTCGGCCTCCATCTATTCGCGTGCCCAGGCATCTATTTCAGCCTTTTTGACCCTCCATTTGACGAGAAATTCAGTGCGCCGCCAGGCGTCTGGCCATCCGCATTCTCTGTAGAGATCAAGCAGCGTTGATTGCAGTTTCCACTCCTTTAAGCGGACGTCAGTGTGAATGTTTAGTCCTGCTATTGAGCGCGTACCTTTTGTGAAAGCCATGAATCCTGATGTGGGGGGATGTAGCGTGTCTCTGCAGGGTCGTTCCTGTCAGGGTTGATGATGGGGAGCCGTTCCAGAGAGCGATATACCCTAATGAGGGTGTTGAAGTAGTGCATGACGGGGACGGTTGGCACGCGGCGCCACGAATGCGGGTCCTGATCGGGGTCTGTAGGTCGCGGGCCGTGGCGAAGGAACTCGACCATCTCGGGCCGGTAGAAGCTGTCGGGGGCAAACGCGCGTATAGCGCCGAGGCGGGTGTCGAGCAGCACTAGCCAACCATCTCGCCATGGGAGCATCAACGGCAACAACCACGGATCAAGGTCAACAGCATTGTCCATGTAACAGTACGGGTATGGCCGGCGACCTTCCTTGAGGTCTTCTTCGTTAGTGTAGTTTACGAATGCCGTTCGGCCGAGGATATATTTCTTCTCGTCGTGGGCGACGGTCCATTTGAGGTAGGGCAGTTTTTGCATGAGCTGGACGACTTGCTCGTCATATCCTAGCTGTAAGGCGCGGGTGACGTTACATAATTGGTGGGTGAGTGTGTGGCGGGTAGACAAGGTCCTCGGCATCCAGGTGTCCCATGTCAACGAGCAGCTGGTAAAACCGCGTGATCACGCTGACAGTCTCGTCCACATCATAGCATGCGGCTGCGTTTCGTTCGTGTTCTTCCAGTAATGCAACAAGGCGCGGTAAGTCATCTCGCTTCTCCTGCTCTTCTAGGGATGACATGGTCGGGAGAGGTGGCCAAGCCCAGCGTGTGTTGTACAAAGCAATGTCGCGGGGTTCCGCATCACTCACTTGTGATGTTGAGTCGTCGTCCGTAGTCACAGTGCTACTATCATCGTCTTCAGAGGAGGCGGGGCTAGTCACAGAGTTGTCAGGCCACGCCGGGCTATAATCAGCAGAGTTATCGTCCTCCTTCTTCCACTCTTCGTCGAGCCACGAATCAACAGGATGCCGCGGGAACGCGTACTCTGCGCTGACGTTCAGGTGCGCCCATGGCCATGGATAGCGCCTAGAAAGGTCGGTTTGCATCCCCAGTGTCTCCCTGGGTATCGCGTGGCGTGTTGGCAAGTCTCAATCAAACACGTGATGCTGTACTCTACGTGTCGGACAACTTCAGTCTCAACGATCGAACTCGCCTCAACTTTGCTTCGACTTGCGCTGGGTCACGTCCGATTGGTGCTGTTGAACAATAACGGCCGCTGATCTGGTGCGCCATGCGTCGGTCCGGGAGCTCTTTGCAGTCCGGAGAACAATAACGCGGGAATCCCCCACGGCTCTCAGCATCGCTCAGCTAATACTCGCCGGTCCGAGATGCTTGCCCCTCTTATTGTTGGCGCCGATCCTCGTCTATTGTGCCTACTACCTGGTTGGCAAGCGAGACAAAAAAGCTTGCTGCTCGTTCACATGCTGCCGCTCACGGCCTGTATTTAAGGGCTTGACGAGCCCACTAACGGACAAGCGACATCTGCCCGCCCCACTCCAGCTCTCCCTTCTCGCGACACCCTTGCATCCCACCTGTCACCTATCGTTGCATACATGGACGCTTTCGCCACCATCGTACCAACCACTCCGTCCCAAATCGAGGACGTCGAGCAACTACCAACTGTCGATGAGGACAGCAGCACCGGCTCCAGCGGCAGTTGTGTCGTCGCTTAAGCACCCTCTGCATCCCATTATATGTCTATGCCCTATGCTATGGTCTACTGTGCGTTTTTCTTCCACCAAAATCCTTTTCATCCCCACTGAACCGCGCCGCAGAAGCTATCATTATCGACACACCACCAATAGACCCACCTACATACTACCTTATCGCATCGCATTTCGGATTTTTTCTCTCTCTCTTTGGACCCCCACCATAAGTGGAATTGGAATTGGCTGGGTCGGCTTACATCTTCGAGGGGACTCTGTACTATAGCTATTTCGATCTTCTTCTGCTTGTATTGACGCACCCTCGTCACAAAAATGGAACTCGAATTTTCCACTGCATTATGTATGTATGACTACATTCAGCACCAGCAAAACCTGCATAAGAAATTGAGACCAGCGTCAAGGATATTGCTTTCCAGCTAACACACCGTTCATTGAACGCCCACGACACTTTATCCTCGGACTCCTTCCCGTACCACTTAAACGCGGGAAGATGCTCATCTCGCTCAAAAACCCGTGCGCCAAGCGTTCTTACAACTTCCTCCATGTCCTTCGACAACCCCCACACTTCGATTAACTGGACACCGTTCTTCCGCGCAATCTGGAACATCTTTTCCAGTAATGCTGGTAGGGTGTGTGCTTCTGCCTGAAGACGCGTTACGAGCTGGCGCTTTGCGGGAGGCCGCGGGTCAATGGCCCATGTTGCGTATGTCGTGTGATCACTTGAAGTTACGCCCCAGATGTCAGGTGGGTTCGCGAGCCTCGCATTGTACATATCGAGGCGACGGGCCTGGAAGGCGGCGACACCCCGCGAGGGATGAAATGAGAAGGAAGGGGATGAGCGCGCCGCTAAAGAATGGTTGATCGTTTTGGTATCTTCGTCCCATAATTCCGCAACGCCAGAATCGTCGAGCCATACCCAGTCTGAGTCTGTATTGTCAGATATGGCACTTGATTTGACATCCCAGACCGCCGTAGATTGCCCTCTGACCACCCAGCCTCCTCCAGTTGACGAAACTGCCCCGCATCTCGTGTAAAAGTCGCCCACATCACTCCACAGTGTACTGAATCTGGCATTCCGGAGGCCGGAAACCTGGATTGGTGGGGCGCCCCATTTGGCGATGGGGAAATCGCTCGTTGGAAGCAGAGTTTCGTCCGCGAGGACCCAATGCAACAGGCTCATCATATGAGTCGCAAAGCCCTGCCCGCGTCTGTCTTGTGGGGTGAAGACCGACGCAATGCCATAGCCCGCGACGTCTTCAGTGGCGCCGAGAGCAGGGCTATAGACAGTGCCAATACGTTGAAACCTGGCCCACAAGTTGTCTTACCGTCGGGTAAGGAAAACAACTCACGTCTCGCAGGCACATTTGAAGTCAAGCGTAGTCGGATTGTCCCGGGGGGCGAGTACCCTCACGAGCAGTTAGCATCTGTACTTGGATGGATTCGACAAGCACACCAGGTCATAAACCGCCCATCGATGGAACATTCAAATCGCTCTTGTGCTGTGTCGCGGGTGAGATGTTCTTCGAGCGTTAAGCCACGGCCCCATTCATTGTGTGTCCTGCAACGCGCCTCTAAGGTCTGTTCTGGAGTTGCTGGGTAGAGGGAGAGCGTTGAGAGATCGAAGGGCATCCTGACTTTCGTGGCGGTCCGGAGTCAAGTGCTGATCCGCGTGACCGTCCCGCGCTTTGTCAGCACTTCGACCACGACCAAGTTTTCTTGAGCGCGCTGGATGCGACCCACCCAGCTCTTACTATCGGGTCGCTCCGCATGGAAGGGTCAGTAACCTTCCAATGGCATTACTTTCGCAACTGAACCAACGATATTCAGGACCGTACTTCGTTGCGTTTCCTAACCTCCGCGAGGCCCTGGAGAACCACGTCCCAATCCAAACCAAAGCACGCGCGTGCACTATCTTGCCCACCTTTGTCGGGTACGTGGGCCTACTCTCCCCGTGCATTCATTTGACTAGAATGACGGCGCAGCATTCGATTCCTTGTTCACAACGGCCGCGACTATGTACCGGTAATGGTCACTCAAGACATGGTGGGTCACAAATTGGGGGAGTTTTCGCCAACGAAGAAGCGATTTAAGTTTGGGTGCGTTCATTGCAAAATAAGACTAGCCTCTTTATTGACTTGATTGGTCAGGAAAAAATAGATTCTGGCTTTTGTATACTGTGTTTAATCCACCGTTATTTGGCGCCTACCGCAATGAAATGCATCCCGAGGAGACGGAAATAAATTTGGACTCCCAGGTGTTACTAAGGTGTTACACACAGTACTCTAAATCACACTACGACTTATCTCTAGATTCACGCACGACACGACACCAAAAACTCTGAGAATGCAAATAGACCCTTCTAAAGGGCATCGTTGGCCCTGGGGACACCCGAGCGTCATCCCGGAGTACACGCAATATCCATTTGGTTCGTGGCTCAACGAAGAGTGGAGGGAGGACTAGGACAGCTCCTCTGAGTATAGGCCGACATCGCCTGCCGAGTCCATGACCAGTGCTATCATTTCTACGGGCACTGATAACGAGGATACCACGACAGCAGACGACGTGGGCTTGGACTCGGCATCACAAGTTAGTGACGCGGAAATCCGCGACATGACTTCGTACGACACACGCTGGGCTTCGCCGCCGCCTTATCAGACTCTGGGAGAGCGGCAGGAGGAGGAGAGAGAGGTCTTGCCACGCCTTGTTGCATTACTGGAAGAGCACGAGCGGAATGTAGCGGCATGCTATGATGTAGACGAAGTCATCGGCGCCATCACGCGGTTTTACCGACTGCTCATCGACATGGGACAATGGGAGCCTGAGGATCTTGTCTACCCGCCGCACACTAACCCGCCAATCAATGTTCAGCGTGCTTTTCAGCTGGGATATGATGAGCGAGTCGTCCAGCTGATGCAAAAACTGCCTTATCTCAAGTGGACCGTCGGCCACGACGAGAAGAAATGCATCCTTTTCCGAACATCGTTCGTCAATTACACGAAGAACGAGGACCTCGAAAAGGGCCGCCAGCCATACCCCGGCTACGAGCTTGATCCGTGGCTATTGCCACTGCTGGTACCGGGCAGATACGGCTGGCTCGTTATGCTCGACACGGAGCTTGGTGTCGTGCGCGCATTTGAACCCCACGGCTTCTACCGACCTGACTTGATCGAGTTCAAGCGCCACGGCCTGCCACCGGAGGATCCAGATCAGGACCCCCATCCGTGGCGGCGCGTGCCAACGGTCCCTGCTTCCCAATACTTCAACACGTTAATTGAGGTATATCGCTCCCTTGAACGACTCCCAATTATCGACCCAGGCATGAACGACCCTGCAGAGACACTTTACAAACTTTCACATGAACATTTACCGTCCTCCCAGAAGGTGCGGCATCCAGGATTTACCCACCATATTCCTATTCACATCCGCCTCCAGGAGTGGAACACGCAGTCAGCGCTCCTCGATCTGTACAGAGAATGCGGCTGGCCAGACAGCTGGCGGCGCGCCGAGTTCCTTTCTAAATGGAGAGCCAAGAAGGCTGAAATAGATTATTAGGTGCAGAACATGGTTGTAGACTCGATTTCAGTCGGTGTGGTTGGATATCAGGTCACCGGAAAAGCTTGTGCAGTGATGGCAAGCGACTCGGAGTCGCATTCCTGTCTATATATTTCTATGTTATCTGTGTTCACCAATCTGCTTCTCCTTCGTTTGAGGATGATTGGGTATCGACTGTGGTCATTCATGACCAATATTGACAACATCTCTGAGCTCCTTGTCCTTCCCGTAGGTTGGAAGCAGCTATGTACCATGTATACCGCAAACTTGAACCTTTAGAGCCGCCGCACTGCCCGTGGGTGTTAATTGGCACATCGATCCATCGGATTCATGATAATCTGCACAAGAAAAAGAATAACCCATAAGAATACAGTCACTCGGCCAAGGTAAAGGTCGACAGTCAACAAACGCCCAACACAGAAGTGAAAAAATGCATATTTACGGCTACCGCCTCGGACAAGTACAATCTCGTGAAAAGGCCGGTAAGATCTTTTCCATACTTGGATCGAGATTCGATTTGTACTAGCAACAACAGCTCCGTGGTGGGGTAGAAGGTATTGGAGTGGCAGGAATGATGTCGGGAACGCTGGACTCCGGTGCGGCTACAACATCCAAGGGAGTGTCTGCTAACTTTGCAGAACGATGCTCAGTGCATCCCCCATCGCACGACTTGCCACAGGAGCACGAGTCAGCAGGACACGAGCAATGTCCACCACAACATTCGAGTTTGGGCAGGTTGACCCGTTGTTTGGAGTGGATCGGAGGAAGGGGTAAAGCGGCGGCCCGTGCGAGGAATTGAGAGATGCTGCTGGATGTTTCTGATGGGAAGGCATATCCGAAGCCGGACAAGCCAAGTGCATCACCAGAAGGTGCCTCAACGCCTGCGCTCGAATCGACACACGTGCCGCAACCATCAGCGCAGCTTGGACGGGTAGAGTCGACATGCTCCGGGCCACGATGGACCACACATCCCGGGCAAGCACATTCAACACCACAAGTGCAACCTGACCCAGCCAGAGACGCAATGGTACTCATTGGCGGCATAGTTGCAAATGTGGGGATCGCGAACTCGTCAAGAAGAAGGGGAGGTAGATCAGGCCCAGGAGTAGGCTTTGCTGAAGGCAGATGCTTGTGTTTAGATCGTTTATGACTGGGACTATTTGGTCGTGAAGTTTGACGTTTTGACGATGAGGAGCCCTGGCCACCGCAACAGGATGTTGGACCGCAACAAGGGGCTGGTGCACTCTTTGCGGAAGCACCGAGGCGGATTGGCGGGTCATCGGCGCGACATTTACACTTGGATCCACTCCGACAGTTACAGGGGTTGAGCAGGGAATCAACTAAGTATTAAAGTAAATTGTTCGAGTGAGAAAAAAGACGGGTAGTGAGGCTGTACCTCGCTGCCGAGAATCGGGAGGCGCAAGAGATCGGGTGGTTGAGACTGGCAATACATCCCGAAGGCCGTTGGGTAATGCGGGCTTGATGGGGAGGTATCGTCGAGCTGGGACTGGTTGAACGACTGCTCTCCGTTGTTATTGACGTAGAACTCACATTTGGACGAGGAGGAAGGGAGGAGAATCCCGCGGGAGGGTTGTTCCTGCTGTGGACATTGGCATTTGGAATGGACCCGACGCGACTGCCGGAGTTCACGACATTTAGGGCACTGCGACACCGGCCGCCCTTTCTTCTGTATCTCGAATAGCGGGCGGTCGGTATGGTGGCAAGTGGATGACCGATGACCCTTAATGCACGATTCACTACAAGACTGATGAAAAGACTGCAGTCCAGGAACCACTCGGCTCACCATGCGTATTTCTTGTTGTTGACAAATACCTATAGGCAGATGTGAGTTCATAGACTGGGTCGAGTAGAGTAGGGAAGCCGTGCCATGGACAAGAGCTCTGCTGAGGTGATGGAGGAAGCAGAGAGTCAAAAGTCAGTACGTCACGCGCTCTTCCCAACTTCTTCCTGGTGCAATCGCGATGAACTTTTCGACAGTTTTTCGACTCGAGTGCAATTTCAAAGTAACTGCTTGCCTAAGACTCTGCCCTGATCATCCCGTGCAAGCAAGCTTTGGTCAAACTGGGCAAGCCGATATGCCCGCTCGAGGCTTTCTCCTGGTCTTCACGGGTCAGAAGAAAGGATTGCGAGCGGAACTAGTCAAGGCATTATTGTGCCGCAAGATGTCGTCAAGTCAGGTGGTTTCAGTGTTTTGCCTCCTCGACAAGGGACTTAGGCAGGCAGTTCTACTGCACAGTTATTCGGCTTCCATTGAATCCATTCAAGCATATATACTGCGACCTCTTTCACTGTCTGGCTCGGGTTTTTTGACGATTGACCGTGCAATCCCCAAATCATGTCGTATCGATTGCTGTGCGACCGCGAGCCAGGAATGAAGCCCAGTGAGTTTAAGTGAGTTTAGCATGATGTGGCCCAGCGACATGTCGCATTGGAAGAGATTGGAAGAAGAAGAAGAAAAATATGCATGGAACCTTAGACACTCGAGTGAGTCGGGCGATTTCTGTCGCGAAATTAAGAGCGTAGAAAGTAGCAGACGGCAAGCCGCAATTGCAATAAGATCCATCTCCCAAAGTCAGAGTTTGGACGTGTTTGAACCCAAGACCGTGGGCGTGACCTCGGACACATACTTTTCAAACAGTCACTAACGACGCGAAACTGAGGTAGACCACAGAGAGAAGCCACAGTGGATGCTTGTTGGGAAGCTTGGGCTATTGCTGAGAGCCATTCCACGATTCCCTAAACAATCTGCATCTCGAGTGGTCACGTGTCAACAAATCAACGCGTTACAAGGTCATCATCCTCTTACCACCAACCGCCACTTGGCCATGAGTTCTGACGACGGCGAGAACTTTGAATTTGGCGATTCCGGCTCCGAATCTGAGGGCTACGCGCCGGCCAAGAAGGTGCGTGTTGTTTTTGCCCTGGTCGATTCAGCCCTGACGTCTTGCAGACAACCAAGAAGGCTGCAGCATCCAAACCCAAACCTGCTGCAAAACCTGCTACCAAGGCACTAGCGAAGCCCAAGGCAGGTGCTGGTGGCGCGAAGGGCAAGGCGGCCGCGAAAAAGAAGGTGTTGGTCGACAGCAACGATGCGGAGGACAGCGACGACGCGTCCGATGGTCCAGTCGCGGGGCCAAGTAAGGATAACGACGTGCCAAATCCTCAGAGGAAGCAGAAAACCGCCTCAGAGAAATATTCCAAGGTTCGTTGACTTCAAGCGACCCTGAATCGCGTCTAAACATAATGCCACCCAGCTGAGCCATATCGACCACATTCTCGTGCGACCCGATACCTACATTGGCAGCGTCGAGAAGATTACCCAGACGATGTGGGTCCATGACTCGGACACAAACAAGATGTCGTCGCGAGAAATCACATATGTCCCCGGTTTTTTCAAGATTGTTGACGAAATTCTCGTGAACGCGGCCGACCACAAGGTGCGTGCTTCTATTATCCCCTTCCATTGAGGTCTCATCCTCTGTAGATTACCGACCCGTCCATGGACACACTGAAAGTTGAGGTCGATACCGACGAAGGCACTATTTCCGTCTACAACAACGGTGGAGGTATTCCCATCGAAATCCATGCAACGGAGAACGTCTATATTCCCGAGCTCATCTTCGGAAACTTGCTCGCTGGTTCCAATTTCGATGACGACGAAAAGAAATTGACTGGTGGTCGCAACGGATTCGGTGCCAAACTCGCCAATATCTACTCACATGAGTTTACTGTCGAAACCGCCGACTCGAAGAATGGTCAAAAATACAAACAAGTGTGGACGGACAACATGGGCAAATGTGGCAAGCCCAAGATCACGAAGAATTCGACAGGCGAGGATTGGACGAAAATCTCATTTCGTCCTGACTTGAAGCGCTTTGGAATGGATTCGATCGACGAAGACACTGCAGCTTTGCTTCGGAAACGAGTCTACGATATGGCGGGCACCGTTAAAGATACAAAGGTCTGGTACAACGGCAAACGCATCACCAATATCAAGAACTTCAAGCAATACGTTGAACTCTACCTAACTTCTGCGGCGGAGAACAAGGAAGACCCCAACCCCGCACAAGCCAAGTCGGCTTTGATCTACGAACGCATCAGCAATCGCTGGGAAATTGGATTCGCTGTATCCGAAGGGTCCTTCCAGCACGTATCGTTTGCCAACTCGATCGCCACGACGAAAGGCGGCACCCATGTCAACCTTATCGCGGACCAAATATCCAAGAGCGTATTGGCGGCCATTGGGAAGAAGAACAAGGGTGCGACAGTCAAGGCAGCGCAAATCAAGAATCATATGTGGCTTTTCGTTAACTCGCTCATCGAAAACCCGACGTTCGACAGTCAAACGAAGGAGCAGTTGACGCTTCCCGCAAGTAAATTTGGCACAAAACCCGTGCTCTCAGACGAGTTCACGAAGAAAGGTTAGTAATATTCGTCCCGTCCAACCGCTCGCTTAAGTCTTCAGTCGTCAAGTCGCCGATTATCGAAAACATTCTCAACTGGGCTCAATTCAAGGCCGACCAGCAAGCGAAGAAAACAGATGGTACGAAACGTGGGCGGTATGTTTTAGATATTTGCTTTCGCCTTATCTCTAACCGCTCGTAGACTCACCGGTCTGCCCAAGCTCTCAGACGCTAACAACGCCGGCACCAAACATGCGAAGAACTGCACATTGATTCTTACGGAAGGAGACTCAGCCAAGACATTCGCTGTCGCAGGCTTGAGCGTCGTGGGCCGTGACAATTTCGGTGTTTTCCCCCTTCGCGGCAAGATGCTGAATGTTCGGGACGCAAAACATGAACAGATTCAGAAGAACGAGGAGATACAGAATATCAAGAAGATCATGGGGCTACAGCATGGCAAAGTTTACACCAACACGGATAGTCTTCGCTATGGACGATTGATGATAATGACTGATCAGGTTTTTTTATTCCTTGCTTTTGTAGACGCTAGACGCTAACCAGTAACACCAGGATCACGACGGATCCCATATCAAAGGGCTCCTCATCAACTTCTTCGACAAGTTTTACCCGTCTCTCCTTAAGCTGGATGATTTTTTGGTGGAGTTCGTCACTCCTATTGTACGCGTAAGTTACTTATCTTAACATCCTTTTCTCTTACCTGACCAACCTTTGCAGGCACGCAAGGGCAATCAAAAGAAAGATTTCTTCACTCTGCCTGAGTACGAGCGATGGCGCGAAGAAACACCAGGTGCCGACAAATGGGTCCCCAAATATTACAAAGGTCTCGGAACGAGTAATGACGCCGATGCCCGCGAGTACTTCAGCCATATGGAGAAGCACATGATTCCGTTTGCTGTTACCCAAGAGAGGGGGACAGAGAACTTATCGATCTCGCCTTTAACAAGAAGAAGACAGAGGAACGTAAAGATTGGTTGAGGCAATTCAAGGTCGGCATGCTCCCGCGCACTGGAAGTCTATTGACTTGGTTTTTTCTGCTAGCCCGGCACATTCTTGGATCACAACTTGGAAGAAATTCCTTACGCCGAATTCATTAACAAAGAACTCATTCTTTTTTCGATGGCGGACAACATCCGCTCTATTCCGTCGGTCGCCGACGGCTTGAAGCCGGTTCAGCGCAAAGTGATGTGGGCCTCATTCAGGCGATCGTTCAAGAAAGAAATGCGGGTCGCTCAATTGGTTGGTTATGTCAGTAACATCGCGGCATACCACCACGGAGAAGCAAGTCTGGGCGCCACGATTATCAACCTTGCGCAGCAGTTCGTTGGTAGCAACAACATCAATCTACTGCACCCAGATGGCCAATTCGGTTCCCGCGACCTGGGAGGCAAAGACGCTGCGGCTATGCGTTACATCCACACGCACCCTTCCTCGATGGCAAGAGTTCTCTTCCACCCTCAAGATGACGCGCTCTTCCCACAAATACTGGATGATGGGTTAGCTGTCGAGCCCGAATGGTATCTGCCCATTCTTCCATTGGTTCTCGTCAACGGCGCGGAAGGTATCGGCACTGGTTGGAGTACCAACATCCCAAGCTTCAACCCGTCCGACATCGTGGCCAACATTCGTCGCTTAATGGACGGGGAGGAGATGGTACCGATGCATCCCTGGTGGCGCGCTTATACGGGCGAGATCAAGCAAACGGCGAAGAACAAATACGACGTCAATGGAGTCGTAAGGAAGCTCAGTACGACATCCGTAGAGATCACAGAGCTCCCGATACACAAGTGGACCCAAGCTTACAAGTCGGATGTTCTTGAAGCAATGATGGTTGGCAAGGAGGGCGAGACTGCTACGATAAAGGTTGGTTCTTGCGTTTTTTGCATGTTGTTTTGGGGTTGACTCTGGCCACAGGAATACAAAGAACACCATGCGAACGCAAACGTTCACTTCACCGTCTCGATGGACGCGAAACAGCTGGAAAAGGCGGAAGAGAAAGGCTTGCTTGAGTTCTTCAAATTAACTTCCAAAATCACGACCTCGAACATGATGTGCTTTGACTTCGACGGCAAAATCAAGAAGTACAACTCGCCAGAGGAGATTTTGGAGGACTTCTATCCAATGCGTCTCGCGTACTACCAGAAACGGAAGGCACGTGGTACACTCTTGTCGCGGTAACAAGCTAATAGCGTCTTATAGGATTATCTTGCTGGCGAACTGCAACTCGCGTTTGAGAGGCTGACGAATCAAGCGCGATTCGTCAAGATGATTGTGGATCGGCAACTTACCGTGTCCAATCGCAAGAAGGCGGACATCGTGGCGGATCTGCGCAAACACAATTTCCGAGCGTTCCCCAAGATAAAAAAGGCGAAAGATGCAGGCGAAGACGAGCCGGTGGTCGAGGAGCCTGAGTCTGACGAGGAGGAGGAGGACGCCGTCGGCAACGGAAAGACGAACCCTACCGACTTCGACTATCTGCTTCAGATGGCGATTTCGAGTCTGACCAAGGAGAAGGTACGGTCTATGCGTTGGGATTGAAATGCTGATCTAATATTTCATTAGATGGAGAAACTACTTCAAAGCGCCTCGGACAAGGAGAACGAACTACTCGACCTGCTCAAGATTTCGCCCAAAGAGATGTGGAATGTGGACTTGGATCGGTTCTTGGTGGAATGGGAAACCTTCCAAAACGACATCATCGACCAGCAAAGCAAGGATTCGAGAGGGAAGACTGTCAAAAAGAAACAAGCAGTTCTACGAACGCGCAAGTCCATTGGGAAACGGGCTGGTGGATCGGACTCGGAGGATGATTTCAAACCCGTCAAGGCGCCAAAGCGAAAAGCTCCTGAGCCTAAACGACCAGCAGCGAAAGTCAAAGACGAGTCTGATGACGAGGAAGCCACTTCCGCACCAAAGAAACGAGCGCCCGCGAAGAAGGCCCCCATAGACGTTGATGAACCGCCGAAGAAAGCAGCCAAGAGGAAGGCAATCAGCGACTCGGATAGCGAGGCAGAGGAGGTCATCAAGAAACCTCCAGCGCGAAAAGCGGCAGCGAAGCCGATAGCGATCGATTCAGACGACGATAATGAGGGAGAAGAGGTGTCGAAGGGCAAAGGCAAGGCGAAGGCCGCGCCAGCAAAGAAGACCACGGCCATGTCGATTGATTCAGACGACGAACCTCCCAAAGCGAAGCCTCCAGCTAAGAAGGCCAAACCAATCACGATCGACTCTGATGACGATGATGTGCCGAAGGCTAAGGGCAAAGGAAAGGCAGCTCCCAAACGCAAGAGGTCAGTAGTATTTTTATTCACTGGTTGCAATACTGATGTACTTCCTACAGTCTCGACAGCGTTGTAGACAGCGAGGATGAGCCGCCAAAGAAGAAAAAGGCATCGGCCTCACAAGCTGCTGTGACCGATTTCTTTGCCAAAGCTGGTCCATCTGGTGCTTCCAGCAAACCTGAACCACGCAAGATCTCCAAGAGCATGAAACCCGCATCTCCTCCCAAACCGAAGAAGGCACCACCGAAAAGGCTTATTGATTCGGAGGACGAGGACGATGATATGTACGACTCTGTTCCTCCTGCTGCTGCTCCCGCGCCTTCGAGACGACCGGCCCGCGCTGCGCCGAAGAAATATGTCGAGATTGGGTCTGACGATGAAGGCGAAACGGGGGACAACTCACTGTTTGTTGACGATGACTAAATTATTTCTGCTCCTCATTTACTCACTGTTACTTTTTCATGTTATACACTTTACTCTTAGTCTTACAAAGTTGGATGCTAGCTTGCACGATTGAGTCAGACTTGAGCGCTTGAGCGGGCAATGCGCCAATCCGCCAGAATGATCTCATCAACCCAACTTGGGTAAAAGGCCACCACGTGGCAAACCAAGTACTTTGGATACGAAGCTTTATACCTTCCTGAGTTCTCTACAATTTCCTCTCTGTAGTCACGATAATTGCCCCTGACTTGTGCCAGGGACATTGGGAAGGGGAAATTCTGTTCCTCAAGCCCACTCCACCAGCATTCGGTTCTCTGGCACTCTTCGGTATTGAGTCGCGGTCAGATTGCTCCTTGCGCAACCAGCTTCTTCGACCCAAGTGGCAAGGCATGCCCCAGCCAGCGACGCTGCCGTAGGCACACGTCGCTGACCGTGACTTGTGCCGGGGACATTGGGAAAGAACAGCAGTGACCCTAACCCTAGGGGAAAGTGCTTAACAAAATGTAGACCGACCGACTGACTTCAATATGGAATTTCATTACAATCTAAAAATCTCAATGACTGAGGATCGAGGTCGCAAATCAGCGGACGAAATTAGTCATAGACGATTACTAACCGTGACGTACTCGTAACCGTGACGTACTCGTAAACTTGGTCTTGCACCCAACTTGCACCACTAGATGGACAAGGATGACTTCACCTTCGCGAAACTATCCGACCTCAAGCTCCCCGTAACCTTCCGCATATCTCAACTCGAAGGAATTCGACAACCGCGCACATTCACAGAGCTGCTCGAGAAACCCGAGCTGCGATTTCACGGTGTTCAGTCTTCGTTCGTCATTTAGTTGCCCTCCATTGATCTCTAACCCACCTCAAAGTACCCTTTCAGATTTATATGTCACTTGCCAGCTCACAGCGGACAATAAACCGCTGACGATCCCTTTCCGCACGTCGTTCAAGGCCTTCAAGAACAGTTACACCTGGAATGAGTGGATTACGCTGCCCATACGGTATTGCGATCTGCCCCTCAGCTCGCAAATCGTTTTTACCGTATGGGACATTGCTGGACCGCGGGCCACAGTGCCTGTTGGTGGCTCAACTTTCCGAATGTTCGGCAAGAAATGGTGTGTGGTCATTGAATTCCTGTGTTTTGCTAAACAATTTTGTAGGACATTACGGCGTGGCAAACACCGACTTCATCTTTGGCGGGGAGTGGAAGGCGATGGATCTGTCGATACTGCTACTCCAAGCAAGTCGGAAGAGCGAGACGAAATGGGTCGGTTGGAAAAGGTGTGTCATTTCTGTCGTTCGCTCCTCCATGCCTCTAAAGATGATTACAGCTCGTCAAGAAATACGAACGCGGAGACCTCCAGAAATCAGAATGGCTGGACAAGATGGCCTGGCGCAAGATGGAAGAAGTCCACGCCGCAGAGACCGCGAAATCAGAAAACCTTTTCTTATACATCGACCTCCCCCGCTTCGATTTCCCTGTAATCTTCAGCGAACCAGAAACGCCTGTCGCTTCTACCTCTACTCCCGTTCCCGAGCTTCCCCAACCACCTATTCCGTCGACAACCTCGTTGACATTCACAGCCGAATCGCATTTATGGGCAGTAATCGACCCAGAGGTTGCACGAGAAAATCCCGTCGAAGACAAACATCGCCGTCTAGTCCGGAGTCATCGAAGCAGTCCATACGATCGTGAGCTCAAACCGAATGCCAAAATCCGGGACGAGTTGGCGGAAATTTTGAATTACGCCCCCAGTCAGCACTTGACCTCGGAAGAGAAGGATCTCATCTGGAAATTCCGCTTCTACCTTGTGAGGGACAAACGCGGCTTAACAAAGTTCCTCAAATCCGTGACCTGGAGAGACGCTTCGGAGGTCAAACAAGCTGTTGAAGAGTTGCTACCACAGTGGACCGAAATCGACACGGACGACGCTTTAGAACTTCTGGGACCCAGTACTGTTGACTCTCGTGTTAGGGCATTTGCAGTACGGCAACTGAGCCGAGCGGATGATGAGGTATGTTAACGTTCTCTAGATATAGCAGCTAACCGCGAACAGGAACTGCGTTTATATCTACTTCAACTTGTCCAGGCTCTCAAGTTCGAGAGTACAGCAACTGACCAACGCTCATTACGGTCGACAACAACAAGCGCCATCTCTTACGAAGATAGTGGCCTGACCGACTTCTTAATCTCTCGAGGCGTCGCTAATCCCGTTCTGGGCAACCGGTTATACTGGTACCTCATGGTTGAAGTCGCATTGGAAGACCGTGTCATGGCCAAGATGTATGGAAGAGTCGTCTTCCGTTTCATGGGCAAAATTTTAGAAAGCGAGGGCGGTTCCGACAGGCGGGAGCTGATGCGGAGGCAGGGATTAATGGTGGATTCGCTGGCCAAACGAGCGAAAGAGCTGCGGATGTCGAAAGATCCTCGGCCGAAGAAGATCGAAAAACTTCGTGCGATTATCACCGACACGAAGAATAACTTGGCCTCGATGCCCCCATTACCACTCCCGTTGGACGCTGCGGTCGAGATAACTGGCATTGTGGCCGAACAGTCTTCGGTCTTCAAAAGCAACCTTTTCCCGCTTCTGTTGTACTTCCAGTGCTCCGATGGGTCGACCTATCCGGTTATCTTCAAAGATGGAGACGACATGCGGCAAGATCAACTCGTGATTCAGCTCTTCACGCTTATGGATGGGCTTATGCGCAAGGAGAAGCTTGACCTTAAGCTAACACCCTATGATGTTTTGGCAACGGGTCCTCTCCAAGGAATGGCGCGCTTTGTTCCTAGCAAGACCATTGCAGCCATCGTCAGCGAACACGGGAACTTGCTCAACTATTTGCGAGCGCATAATCCGGATGCAGGCAGTGTGGGGACTTCCGGAGTCAACCCAACCGTCATCGATACATTCGTGCGGAGTTGTGCGGGCTATTGTGTGGTGACCTACCTGCTCGGAGTTGGTGATCGCCATCTGGACAACCTCCTCGTCAGTCCTGATGGACATTTCTTTCATGGTGTGTTGTTTGTTTGGGGCTTTTTTTACATCTTGTGACCTTTCTCTTAGTCGACTTTGGCTATATTCTTGGACGCGATCCCAAACCATTTCCTCCGCCTGTTAAGGTGTGCAAAGAAATGGTCGACGGCATGGGCGGCGCGCAGTCGCCCCACTACCAGCGCTTCAAGAGCTTCTGCTTCACGGCGTTCACGATGCTGCGCAAGCGCGCTAACCTGATTCTCAATCTCGTCACGCTGATGGTCGACGCCAACATCCCCGACATCAAGCACCGCGATGTGCATGAGCAGATTCAGGAGAAGTTCCGGCTGGACTTGACGGAGGAGGAGGCGATAAAGCACTTTGAGGCGTTGCTGAACGAAACGTCGTATATCACGGTCGTCCTGGATCGCATTCATGACTTGGCGCAGTATTGGAGAAGTTAGACTCGCATCCAGGAAGTGAGCTGTGTTCTTTTTACCGTGGCATCATGCTGATTGGTTGAGCAAGGCACTAGCAATGTTTTTGTAGAATCGTCTGTAACAGGTGGCAACTAATTGGACCAAGAGTCGTTATACGCATACTGCTTTCATGGTTCGAGATGCTACAGTACGCATTTAAGACGGGTCTCAACTCGGCATCTCGCATCTGAAGAATCTACATCGGCGACCAGCGCAACTAAATCTTGGAGCCAGACTGCTCTGGCTCGAATTCACAGACGGACGAGAAGAATCGTCCCAGCAATGAGTGAATAGATTTAGGCCGATTATATCGCTCTTTCCCCTTGATTGAACTGTTGCTTCGCCTTGCCTAACTCCATGCATATCATGCTCACGAGTGCAACAAATACTCAATCTTGTGCCACTAAGTTATTAGAATGAATGCGTGACGTGCCAATCAGAGATCGACAGTCTTGCTATCAACTCTCCACATACTCTATGGAGACTGCTAGCTTGAAGGATAGCTATAGCTAGCTTGTCAGACTGTCTAAGGCTGTACTGGTAAGAACAACTGTAGCTGCATTGTCAAGCCAGCATAGGTTGCTTGTGTTTTCTAGCTATAGGTGGTCTTGAAGGGCAGCTATAGTTGTTTTGAAATGTTGCTGTAGATGCTTTACGGAGCTGGAGGGGGCTGGCACTCAAATTCATGCTATATCTATACTGCCAGCCACCTATCCCACTGCTTCTTGGTGTAGTGGTATCATTGGTATGTTCTCAATCTTGTGTCTCTTCTTTTATACAGGCTCTTATCTTATGTAAGTACTGTGGAGATTTGTTTTCTTACTTTTTCGGGGGTCTTCTTTTAAGAAAAAGAATCCTTCCACACACCAGCCTTCTGTTATTCATATATTCCTATCTGAATTCATTTCTTGCATAGAAAAATTTTCATAAAGGGATTTTTTCCCTCACAGATCAGAGAACTCTTCAAAGCAGCTACAGCTGCTCTCAGTCACAGAAGGCAGCCCAAGTTAAGTTATCAAGTCAGCAACAGATGTTTTACCAAAGCAGCCCAGGCTATCTTCAGGATGCAACACTAGATTTACCTCTGTACATGCCTGTAGATATGTTCTCAAACAGCTAGTGATGCTGTAGAAAGCATCTGTGGTCATACTCAGAAAGCAGCAGACTCTATGGAGAGCTCTCCATGGAGAGTTGATAGCAAGACTAGCTATCTGGCCAATCAGCAACTTGAATCAGGTCTCCCATCTAAATCCTCCACAAGAATGCTTTCGAGACGTCGATAACTCGTTGGGACCTATTTAGTATTTGCTTACCGCTAACCAATGCCTCAACTACAGGAATCGCGGCAAAAGTCAACAAGTTGACGACAACTTGTCTTAAATCCAACCTAACCGTTGCCGAGGCATGAGACTACTTCTGTGAGTGGCCATGAAACCCTCAACACGTTTTTCACTGACTCTCAAAATCCAGCTGCCCTCAGCTCACTCATTGTCTCATTGTACGACTGCTTCAAGTTCGGATTCTCCAACAACCCAGCTATCATGCGGTCGGGATCGCAAGACGAAACAGACGCAGACTATCATGACTGGTGCATTCAGCTCGAACCAACATGTCCCGCCGTCTGAGGCATCCTAAACAGGCCCATACTTAATTCAGAAAAATTTTGGATCGACCACCAACCGTTTCTCCGTTCTCGGGGTTGTGAGCTGCGACCTCGGTATCACCCTGGATGGGTCCCCTCATGGACGTTACGAGCAGCGGATGAAGGAATTCTTTACTTCGAAGACGCGTACACACTACCTGTTGGTTTTTTTCCTCTTGCAGCCTGATAATTTCTAAAATGTTGCAGTGGGGTAAACGTCTTGACGCTACCCGGCTCTCGGATGGTCGCAAGGTTGTTTTAAGCGCACTAATACCTGGACACCGGAGCTCCCCACCTTGCAATTACTCGGTTAGGACTCCCATTTACTATCATGCGAAGACAACGATATATGCATCGATGGTGTGCAGAGCGACCGACGAGTTTGATACTCCGGAGAATGGATTGAACGACACTAGTAAAGCAAAACCGTCATCCACGCAACAAACTTTTCTGCTTCCTGTCATTATTCCTTCGGACTCTCCGATGACGACGAAGCAATTCCTGCGATCGTCCGTACCGATAACTTTGCGGCCATTTCGTCTAGAAAATATCCGCTCTGACTTGTTCTCGAACTAGTGTTCGTCACGGGCCACCCGCGGGTAAATCCGGGGTGGCCCGCACCCGTACCCGCTGATGGCCCGGGCCCGCGACCGCGGGTGCGGGTACCCGCGCTTTCGCTAACGGGCCGCGGGTGGCCCGCTTTCCCGAGGCCCGCGCGCCCATGATGGCGGCTGATGGCCTCTGATGAGACCATCAACGGTTGTTGCCGTTGTGTTGTTGCAAGGTTGTTGCCCACCAACGACGGCCTGGCTCCTCGAAGTTGGCGCCTCGGCGTCATTGGGCCTCCGGTCACGACCGCTGGGGACCGGTGTGCCGAGTGGCCGGGCCCGGCGGGCCACGCTGCGGGCCAGCGGGTTCAGGGCACCAGGCCCGCACCCGTACCCGCGGAGGCCCGTCCTCGCGGCCCGTCACGGGTCACGCCACCCGTGACGATCACTATCTCGAACGAACTGGGAGCAAAGCCAGAAAGACTGGTATACATTCTCAACACCGAGTACTACTAGTATGATCATAGTGGCGAATCCGTCTTAGATTAGCTACTCTCGGCCAGCTCGTCGGTGTCAAACCAGCCAGATGATGACGAGGCGTCTGGATCCCGATCCGAGTCCTCCTTTTCATCTCCACCCGATTACAGCAGCAACGATACGGAAAAATAACGAAATATTGTCAGCGCGATGTTCAGATGATGCTCTCAGTGAGGAGGACAAATGGCTGCTTATCGTGACACTGGCAATGCTGTTGACGATGACTTTTGCTCTCAGGCTTTGATCTTTCTAGTACCTACTTCGATCGCGACTACATGTCGTATCGATGCTTGTTCAGACACCGTCAGTCATGTTATTAATCCTGGGCCACGGGAACGACCAACTTAGAAGTTCAAGTTGAAGTTGACTCGGCTGAGAGTCGGCTCAGAGCTCTGCATCGACGATTCAATCTTCCGTGCCGAGCCAGCTAGGACATTCAAGCTTCCAGATCGAGCTCATGAGAAGTCTCCGATGGATCAAGCACGAAGAAAAAATATTTTGTCACTTGTTGTTCAGTGTTGTTCGGAGATTGCCGTCCGAGTCTGGTGTTTATTCTGACTCGGGTTGCAGCTCTCAGTCATGATCCGCGGCCAAACTTGAAGGCTAAGCTGTTTAGTAGTTGTCGTCGAAGTTTTTCAAGCTTGAGTGGTAGCACTCCTAGTACCCCGGCTACTGTACCCCGCCGGCGGCGAGTCAAGTACTAGTACTTCCAACTTTCAATCAACAATAGCTCCAAATCAATCGGTCCAGGATAAATTAGACCATATTGAATACATGAGTTCAAATTGTCCCAGACTCCCAGTAGAACTGTTGCTTCGTCTTTCTCTAGTGACAAGATCTAAGAATCTATCTAATCCTTCTGGTGACCGTGACCTGTCAATCACGACACTCAACTGCGACGCTACCAACTACTGATAGCCTAACGAAGAAAATGGTTGTTGGAACGGCTCTCAGGCTTTGGGGTCCCAGTCAAGCCTTTTTGTTATCGGTTAGACCAAAAGCTTGAACAGAATTCGTTCTTTTCGTACGTCACAAAGATATTGTCGACGTGGTTTTGTATTGACTATTGTACAGCGCTGGCAGTGTTCTGTAGTGGTTCACAGCAGTTCGATCGATATATGCTGTTCTCTGGTGCATCTGTTGATTTGCTCTCAGCGCCTCGTGGCATGTACACATTCTCACATCCTCCGAGTCAGGATGGACTCGAGAGCCCACTCAGATCAAATTGCTCTCAGAATTCCTCGACTGGCAGCAGAGGTCGGAAGGAAACTTGCAACGGTGTGCCTAATTTCAATCCTTCATGATCCTGTTTGCCTGAAATCACGACGATGAGGCTTTGCCATCAACTTCCGACGCACACAATACCCCTCCGAGTCAGCCTGTTCACCGTGACTAAACTTGCATTCGTCGCAGATTTCTCACCCGAATGACACAGAAGGTACGGATCCAAGGAAATCATCTTCGTTTCCATTCTTCAACAACTCAGCACCGTTTGGTTTGTATTGACTCTTGCTCGTGTAGACTGCGTTGTCTTACTGGCTCCGAATGGGTTTGATTCACTACGAGGATTGTCTTTCCAGGGCACAAAGGAACGGTCAAATCCAGAAAACTACTTCCTGGACACAGCGACTCCTCATTCGTCGACATCGTCCATTCATATCTTGAAGATGGAAATGGAGAACCTCGTTCCGACATCCTGGCTTCTGGCGTTTGGGAATAAATGCCAAAACCTCTTTCACTCATGTCCAAATTCCTTCTCAAGGATTCCACACTCGTTCTATCCACCATCAATTTCGAGACCCACAGTTGGCGATGGAAGCGTCCCAAAAGTGGTCTAGCCTATGTCCTACAGGATTCCTGTTGAGACATCTGCGGACCACAAAATCGCTATAATGACGGCACTGGCAGGCATGAGGTGCACATAACAAGAGAATCAACATCGCCTCCGATCGTTGCGACTGAATGCAGCCTACCGATTCCCGCGAGCCTCGAGGACCGGTCTTTCTCCGAGCATGACTCCAGTCACAGTGCTCATGAAAAGGCTACTCGGGGAACTCTGTTGGGAGAATTGTTTTTAAGGATGATTCGCAGCACACCTGCCTGCTCATCGTCTCCGCCCTTGCTATCATGTCCAGGAAGTAGGTCCTTTGCGAGCATTCCCTCCTCCGACTGAGAAGAAGCAGGCGATCCAAGTTGGCCGAGAAACAAAAACAATACCAGGCGTTGCGAGAATCAGTCGTCAAATCGATCGACGAATATCGCACGCTGAGGAACGACGACGAATACAAGGGTCGTCCGGATTTCAATGCCACACCAGATCAGTTAGTACTCTCGCCTTTTCTCGTGCACCTATTCATGGTTCAAGATACGCCGCACGGTTGCCCCCTGAACTTAGTGACGACGAGTCGGAGCCTGCTGCAGCACATATTGATACTCTTCGCCGGTTGCAGCAACACCTCGGCGCTGATATCAAATTGGCTATGGTGAGTTTCTCTCATCTGTTATCCGTCATCACTGCTGAAGCATACTTCTAGAGTAGTTCAGAGGAAATCAATTGGTGCGCTAATCAACTATGGGTACATGTCAAGTACAATAACCAGGCGCTCTCAGGAAAACCAGAGAGCCACCCAGACCTGGACTGGATGGGCGCCCCCAAGTTTCAAACAGAATCATACCAGAGGCCGAACGGAGCGCGTAGGTTTTCTTAGTTGTATGTCGATGCACTCGTGACATACTATGTGTACAGGCTGTACAGCATGCAAGCACAAACTGTGGCGACGTCGTCAGGATACACTCCCGTTGCACCGCCATCTCGCACGCAAATGCCGCTCCACCAGTATAGTCCTTCCTATATTCCCGCCCGTGAGAGCCAAGAGCAACCGCCACCCGCACCTGGAAACTTGACTCAGCGGCGGCGCACCCCACCGCCACAGCCCCAAAATCCACAAGTCACAGCTGCCTCTGGGTCGAACCAAGGCGCAAGCTACGTTCCAATCACCATGGACAGGCGTTCTCACCGCATGGATGATTCCACTTCCAGCAGAGACACCTTTGGCAATCTGATCCTGGACCCGTTGTACGTTTTTTTGTGTTGGCTAGGTCGTCTGGCGTCTTGATTTGTCTTCTCATCCGATAACAGCAGAAATCCTAGCGGCCCGCCTTCTATAATGTCTCGGGCATCGTCCGAGTCTGCGAATCACATCCACGTATCATTCAACCAACCAACTTCGAGTTCTGGTGCTCCCTCAGCCCTTCAAGTTGCCCGATCACAATCAGATTCAACCTCCTATGATCCGCGTGAAAGTCGGGGCGGTCCTCACTCAGGAAATGCGCAGGGTGCCAGGCGGTGTGTACTTGTCTCCGAATTTGCCCTGATTTCAAATCTTGGAGGTCCAGCTATCGTCAACCAAACGCTCAAGTGCCGGTTATGAATGCACATCTTAATCAACAACCGTCCTCAAACCCAGTCCCGCTTGGCCAATATGCTCAGCCTGCTAGTCAATATAGTTCCGGTCCAGCATACGCGTCGGCCTCTCTTCCGTACAACGTGCAGCCGCCGCTTCCTGGCCAACCATATCAGCCTGCAATGCCTGGTCAGTCGTTCCCGCCATACCCGCAGGGGCTTGGTCAATCGCTCCCTCCATACACTGGGCCGCCGATTTCCGGTCAACATCCCCAGGTGCCTGGTCAATCGTTCCCGCCATACCCGGGTCAATTCCCGCAGTTTCCTGGGCCACCGGCGCCTGTTTCTGGTCAACCGCCCTCGCCATACCAGACGGTCGTACCTGGTGGGCCGAGTCCAGCGTACTCGACCGTGCAGCCAGGTCAGCCCAACGATTACGGTTATCCCTCCTCTTCCGGCCATGGGTCAGGTCGGCGCCCTCCCCAAAGGCAAGCTGGATTCCCTTTTACGATTGCGTCACCAACTAAAACTATTTCTACCCAAGCTCTAACTACCGTGGTTAAAGAAAGAATCTGCTTGAACGGGAAGATCACCACGTTGCTTATGAATTTTTATTCAAGTTGTTCGTCGATTATGCTTTCACGCTTGCTATTCGTTTCTATCTGATTGAAATACATTCACTACTTTAGTTCCTAAAATTGTCTTCTCAGTGTCTAAGTCATCCAAAAAAAGCTTGTTGGACCGTGTCGCGGTCCGGCCGGCGGTGGTGTGCATAAACACATTCCTCCGAGTGGTACGTCAGGCGGGGTCATTGCGCTCAGGCTCCCCGCCACCAAAAACCTTACAATGTTATCTGGGACGATTAGATCGTGCACCCGCGTGACTCGCCGAGCGACGATGGGTGGGTACTAGTTTCAGTTTACTCAGAATACATTTGGTTCCACATAAAAAAAAGTGACCAAGTCATAATCTGTCATGGGGGTCGTAAGCTCCCCCGATTATATTAAAATGTCAACAAACAAACTGGCCTGATTCAGGCTGAATATTGATCGATCACTTATGTTACGTGAGCGACTCGGAGTCATTTCGACAAGAAGCCCCCACACAAGTATAAGAATCATGTCTGCCCCTCCCAGCCTCAGGCTATCATGCAGTCCGACTCGCAGGATCGAGCTAGAAAGACAATGGATTATTTGAACCGTTATATGAAGTGCATTCAGCTCGTACCAACCCTCTTCTCACTAACCATCGGTAAACAGGACCAGATCTGCTTCAGAACACTTTTGGGTCAATCACCAACGATTCCTCCGTTCGAGGGGCTATGAGCTGCGGCCTAGGTATCACCCTGACTGGGTCCCCTCATGGACGCTACCTGGAGCGACAGTTGGGGATAATGAGGACCAATTCGAGGACTCGTACAAACCACGTGTATCTTTATTCATCTCTCCCCTTACTTGACATTTACCACGATTTTACAGAAGGACAGGGTCATGGATGCCACACGCATTAGCGATGGTCAAAAAGTTGTTCTGAGATGCGTCACAACTTGGAAACCGGAGCTCACCACCTTACTATACCTCAATCTGGATCGTAATCGTCACCCACATAATCGAACTTTCCACCTTCTTGACATCATACCTCTCTGCGACAACGACGACGTCGCTATCATCGTCATGCCCTTTCTTCGACTGTTCCATTCGCCGCCATTTCGACATTTGCGAGAGCCAGTCGACGCAATGCGACAGCTTTTCCAGGCACGTAATCCACTTTTCTACTCAGTTCACTCTTATCTTCATCAAGGGATTGAAGTTTCTGCATTGGCACAATATCACTCATGGGTATGTCTCCCAACTACAATTAATTATCTTCATTGAACACTTTTCAGGGATGCATGTCTATATAACCTAATGATGGATTCGTCCCAAGTAGTCCCTGATGGCTTCCACTTCCTTCGCCCCCAGTACAAGCCCAGCGGGGGGGACCATTATGAATGGCGGGACAGGTGCTACGCTGACCCGCCTGTTGCTTACTACTTCATCGACTTCGGACTTTGTGGGTACCATCCTAATGGCCCACAAACTGCTCAAGCCATCGGTATCTGCGGCCAAGATCGGACAGTCCCAGAACTGTCAAAAACAGTCCCGTATAATCCGTTCAAGGTCGATATTTACCAACTTGGAAATACTTTCGTTGAGCTTAGCGAGGTACTATCTTGCAAATTTACTCGGCTGGGACTACCATTAATCGTTTGGACAGCAATATCCTATTCTTATGACTACCTTTGGTCCTCTACTCCGAGCCATGACACGTCAAGACCCTCAGGCGCGCCCAACGGCAGCTGAGGTTCTGGATCACTTCGAGGAGATCTGTTCTCGCATACCGCCCTCAGAACTCGCAGAAAAAATGCACTACGAGCTCCGTTCAAACGGATATGACAGTGGCGACTCGGTGTCGGACCACGAATTATTCTCAGCCCCTTCCTCCTCGGAGCATCTGCCATATGAAGAAAACGATGGTGTGCAGAGCAACAAGCCTGATGCTGCAAACGATGGATTGAACGAGGCTTCAAGTTGATACGAACTACTTGACCTGCGACGAATGCGGCAACGCTAGCGTAGTTTCTTGGTTGCATATGTATTACAGTACTCTTCTGAATTGTCGGCTTTTTCGATGCCAAAACCACTAGTGACTTATCCATGCCGCTGCTCAATACTCTCAACGATACAGACTGAACTCGAAGGCATCTGACAACCTTGCATCTTCACAGAATGAGAAACTCGAGCTACCATTCAAGTTTTGAAGTGTACTTTTGCTTCGAGTTGCTCTTCCGAAGTCACTGATCTCTAAACGCCCGACATTCAAAGCATTCTTTCAGACCCATTCGCAGGGATCGCCCTCATGGAGGAGTAGGAACGGAAGCCATTGGCTTCCAGTAACAGACTTTTGCTCGACTTGCTCTAATCACACGATTGTAAGGTGGTGATCCTGCGTCAGCTTGAACTGTGGAAGGGAGAGGACGACGAAGATCAATTGATTAACTACTTCAAGTTGGACTCACTACTGGGCAAGCAGTGGGTAAAACTTCGAGCAAAGCTGAGCGTGTCGAAATCGGTACCGCGCTCGTGTGTGTCCACCAACCAGAGGTTCAGGATTGGTTCCATGGTAGACGGCTATCGCGAGCCCGAATCGGCAGCCGGCGGCTACTAGCATCGATATAAATTAGCACTCATCTTTCTGCTCTCACTGCTATTCTGCATTGCTGCCATGGTCTCTAGCCCTCCCCCCCGCACCTTCACGCTTGCCTCGCGGGCCTCGCAGCTGGCTCAAATTCAGACCAACATCACCCGCGCTGCGCTCGAGACAGCGACCGCCGATGCGGCTGTCAGCCAGCCCAAGTTTGCGACCTCGTTTATGAGCACTGCCGGCGACCGCAACCAGACACAAGCGCTATACACGCTAAACAGCGCAGAGGGGAAGGCGTTTTGGACGAAAGATCTTGAAGTTGCGCTGCTGGACAAGTCGGTGGACATGCTTGTCCACTCGTTCAAGGATGTCCCCACAACGTTGCCGGATGGCTGCGTCATTGGCGCGGTGCTGGAGAGGGAGGACCCCGTGGACAGCTTCGTGGTGAAGAAGGGGAAGGAGTGGAAGAGACTGGAGGATCTGGCGGAGGGCAGTGTCGTTGGCACGAGCAGCGTTAGGCGAATCGCGCAACTGAAGAGAAGGTTTCCGGGCCTCAAGTTTATGGATTGCGTGCGTTGTGCTTTATCTATCGCTATCTATTTTTACGTGGCTTCTAGCGAGGCAACCTCAACACACGTCTGTCTAAACTCGACGCTGACGACAGCCCATACGCGGCGCTGATTCTGGCAAAGTCGGGGATGGTGCGAAACGGAATGGGCGACAGACTGACGTCCGATATTCACCCCCCGACGCTCTTTCATGCCGTTTCTCAAGGTGCACTGGCGGTGGAAGTCCGGGCCGATGACGCCGAGGCGCTGGCTCTCTGCAAACTCATCACACACAGGCCAACCCTTCTCCGATGCACGGCAGAACGCGCATGTCTACGCGTGCTTGAGGGTGGTTGCAGCGTGCCTGTGGGAGTGCAAACAGCGTTAACAGAAGACGGAGAGTTGGAGATGACTGCTTGTGTCACTGGTCTCGACGGGAAAGAACACGTCCAACACACGCTCAAACGCAAGGTCGAGAGTGAGCAAGATGCACAGAAGGTCGGGGCCGAGATTGCCAAACTGCTGGTCGACTCTGGTGCGGCGAAAATTCTGCAAACGATCAAGGAAGATAGAGAAAAGCGCACAGCGTAGAACCAAATGTAATTCTTGCGGTACTTATCTATGTAGGGCAAATGTAGAGTCGGATATCACTGCTTACGCATGAAAGTAGTTGTGGATAGTGTTGAAGAGACCAAAAGTCAAGCCTGAAACTTCTGTGGCCCCAAGTTTTACTCAAGGATGGAGCGGCGGTGGGAGTAGATGGGCGTCCATTAAGACAGTCTGAAGGCACAATAATTTAGGAAGATGATCTTGATTTGTTGTGGACTACTGTTTTTTTACATCGACAATGAAATGTATCCGACGGGTCATGTCGCACGAAGAAAGATCATGCGGGTATGGCGCGAGCGGACTGGGTTGGCTAGTCTGCCTCTCCACGAGCGCCTGGGGTTCCGTAGGTAGTTTGTCGAGGACGACAGGTGACTCTAAGGCGGAGAGAACGAAGAAAAATTGTGTGACAGGCGGCTTTTATACGGGCCTGTCAGCTGTCACAGGATGCCGGCACTTCCCGTTACTCTTCTGACGCCGAGTGCTTGTTTCCCTCTCTTCGCCCACACCACCACCCCTTGTTTCTTCCTGCGACCACCTCGCAGCTGAGGGCTCGACACCGATGGCCTCCATATCGTCCCGCCGGCTTCAGAAGGAGCTCACGGAAATCCACATGGAGGGCTGTCCAGTTGGTCTGCCGCTCATCTCTTCATCGCGTGTGCTGTTTACCCCGTTGCAGGCATCACCCTTGTCAAGGCAGACGACTTTGAGACGTGGTGGTTCACCATCGAGGTCATGGGGGAGTCCGTCTATAGGGTGCGTTGTTGTTACAAAGAACAACTCAACCGCTGACGCTGGTGGCAGTCCGAGGTGTACACTTTGCAGTTCCGCTTCGAGCCGAACTACCCCATCTCCGCACCCGCAGTCACCTTTGTTGTGACCGACGGGCGCAAGGCGCCGCTGCATCCTGTGTGTCTCTATCAATTACCGCAATCGTTCTCTTCGCTCAACTCTCTTAGCACGTCTACTCCAACGGCCACGTACGTCCCCTGCAATCTTCTTCCACTCCCAAAACCCTGACACAGGACAGATCTGTGCTTCGATCCTTGGCAATGAGTGGTCCCCGGTTTTGAGCGTTGTCTCGGTGTGCATTACGCTCCAGAGCATGCTGGCCTCCTGCAAGGTGTGTCTCTTCCTTGATGCAATCCTCCCCGATCACAATGGCTAACAATTCCAACAGAAGAAGGAACCGTGAGCGCCCATCCTATCTCTTAATCCTGCGTATATAAATGTGTTTCGCAGCCCGGTCGACAATGACCGGTATGTTCGGACCGCGCCCGACAACCCGAAGAAGGTGCACCACTCCTGTTCTTTTGTCGACCACTATCTGACCTTTGGCATCAGACGCGGTTCGTATACCACGATGACACGTGCGTTCCCTTGTTTCCTTTCATCTGAATGCAGAGTTGACGTGTCTGCAGGGTTTAATGTGGATCCGGCGGTAGAAGAAGAGTCAAATCATGAGATAAGATAAGATAGTCAGTGTATTTTTTGGGTTGATTGTGCTTGTATTCTGCTCAGATTTCAATTACGAACGCGACTATACGCTTTCCGAATGGTCTTAAGCCTCCTTCAGATATTAGTATTCAACAGGTAAAGCTGGTCGCATGTTGGGAGCAAAAAGTCATCAATGGAAACGGAACTATGAATTTTGGGCTTGACTGGTGCTTTTGGCCATCTACAAGTATTATGTGTGCCAGCAAAGTATTTTCTTTGGCCCTACATAGCGATGCAGAGTTGGATTGGGTGATGCCCAACGTCTTAACAAGTCATGAACATTCTTTTGAGGAAATCCACTTAGATTCCTGCTCACGACTGTTCCAAGTGACCCAAGACCTGGCACAATTAACACCTCAACTTCGACCATACCGACGTTTATCATCCATCTCTCGGGTGTACTGTTTCTTCTCTCTCCTCGTGCGCACTGAGGTGTGAATCTCCGCCTTCCTCCTTGCCCATTTTGCCATAAATTCCTCCCGCCGCCACTCGTCCGGCCATCCACATTCTTTATAAAGCGCGAGCAGGGCTTGTCTGCTGTTCGTGGTCCTGGAACACAAAGTTTGAGCCAACTCACTTGGTATGAAATCACTCTACTAGTACCGTGTCCCAGGTCTTGACTTTCACGTATTTAGTGTCAGTGGGGTCGCTTCTATCAGGGTGCAAAATCGGCAGCCGCACCAGTGAGCGGTATGCTCCTATGAGGGCCTGGAAGTACTGCGTCGCGGGGATGCCGGGGACCCTCCGCCAGAGCCGGCGGGTGAAAGAGGGGTCATCTGGCTGGGGACCGTAACGCACGAGCTGGACATTATCAAGTGCATATTTTTCAGGCGCGTCATCTGGCAGGAAAGCGCGCACTAGGCCGAGTCGCGTGTCTAACAACACAAGCCAGCCATGCCGCCACGGGAGCATCAACGGTAGCAGTCCCGGATCAAGGTCAATGCCGTCATCGGCATGGGCTTGGGGATATGGTCGCCGCCCCTCGTTCAGGTCGTGCTCGCTGCAAAGCAGGTGTTCTCAAGAAGGAGCCGTGTTTCTGACCGTGCAACATCCCACCGAACATAGGGCAGCCTTTGCATCAGTTCGACTGCGTTTTCGTCGTAGCCGAGCTCGAGCGCATGTTCTGCATTGACTGGCGGGTCGGTATGCGGTGCATACATGAGTTCTGTTGCCTCCCAGTGTCCCATGTCGACAAGCATTTCATAGAACTCCATGATCAGCCCAACAACCTCTTCAATATCATAGCTCGCAACCAGATGTCGTTCATGTGCCTCCAGCATGGTGATTTTCAGCGGTAATTCTTCTCGTTCCTCTTCCAGGGATGCTGCCTGGTCAGTGGGCCAAACTTGCGGGCCCTGATGATACTGTAACATGTCCTGCAGAATATTCTGCATTTTCCGCGTTGCGCGCTGACTTGCGATCTTGAGCTTGTGTCACTGTCCGAGCCCGAGTCCGATGCAGAGTCGTCGTTTTTCAGCACAGAATGTAGACTCTGGTCATCCTTGCCGATCCCAGACTCAATATCAGAGGATTCCGAGGCAGACAAGATGGCGCTAGTGATGGATTCAGGAGGGGACTCCGAGTCTGGTGTGTACTCTGAGATGCTGTCCTCCCACGGTTCGTCGATCCAGGAGTCTTCCCTCGGAAACACCTTCCCATAGTCGAAGGCTGGTGCTTGTTGTACCCAGGGCTAAGGGACGCTTTGCAGAGCCAACTTTCATGGACAATGTCACAATGCCATTGTCATTCCAAACAACAAGTCCGGTGCCTCCGGTTGATACAACCGAATTCATATTGTACGTTACAAAGAAAACTATTTATAGAACCCACGATAAACAATTCAGTGCACATAACCTGACGAACTAATTTGCAACAAATTCTGGCCCAGAGATATCCTCCCTAACTGGCAGTAACAAATCCTCTGAGCCTTGCGCTGATTTGGTATCCGCATCAGGTGCCGCGTTAATGCCATCGTCGCTTTCATCCGACGAGCTCGCGGAGAATAGCTCGTACTCCGAGACAGATTCGCCACTGTCATAGCCCTCTGTGTCGAGAACATATACCAGCTTTTCCCCGAGTTCCTCTGGGGACAAGTCAGAACAGATTTTCTCGAGCCGATGCACGGCTTCCGACGCAGTTGGCCGCTCGTCTGGATTTGGGTGTGTCATGGCCTCCAAAAGGGAACCAAAGATAGTCGGGATGATGGGATATCTCTGCCCAAGCAATGAAAACAAGTCCAAGTGGACACATGTAGGGCAAATACCTCGCTGAGCTCAACGAAAGTATTGCCAAGTTGGTAGACGTCGACCTTGAACGGGTTGTAGGGCGTCGTGTCAGATAGTTCCGGGGCGGTCCTGTCTTGACCATAAATGCCAATGGATTGAGCGGTTTGTGCACCGTTTGGGTAATATTCAGAAAGCTCAAAATCTATGAAGTAGTAGGCGACTGGTGGGTGCACCAGACATCTGTCGCGCCATTCGTAGTGATCTTCACCCATACGATTTCGGTGTGTGTTGGCGAAATGAGAGCCTTCAGGTACGACCTCGGAAGGGTCCATCATGAGATTCAAGAGGCAGGGGTCGCTGTAAGATATTTAGTCAGTGACAATGCATATTACAAATTTGTACGCACCGATGAGCAATATTATGAGAATGCATGAAGCTCAGGCCCTTGTAACGCATTGTTGAGCGCGGGACGCGTAGGTGGGAGGGAAAAGAGCTGAAAGCGCCGCTTAAGGGTGCTTTTGACCCCCAAAATCACTCTGGAACAGTTCGGACCGGGCCGTGGCCGGCCGGAGGCCCCGAAACACGACATGGGACGTGTATGAGCTCAAAACGCTTGCTGAAGCAAAACGCGAGAGACTGAGATGTCTCAGTATGCATTAAGGGGGTAGATTGAAGCTGATGAGACGAAACAAGCGTCTGAAATCTCAGAGCGAGACATGTGACCGGCAGCCGTGGCCAGGGATTATGTAAGGCTGTGACAGCCCCAGGTATATATTCGCGCTGTATTGTAGCATAGGCCCCAGAATACAACGCGCCCCCCATAGCGGTTCTATTGCTCCCCATAGTGGAAAGTGGAACTGTTGACCCTCAAGAACGCCTACGACGACGACGAACCTCTGATTGTTGAACAAGTGCTGATTTGTTTTGATTTTACAGGTTATTGGAGTTATTGCTTGATGTGAAGACATGAAGATGGGGAGACTATGCTCAGATGCACTTCCCTTTATGGAACGTCGGCCTCTTTGGATGGAGCGACCCATATTGGAGTTGTTTATGCCATTTATGGTGTGGCAACTGATGCTCTTGATGCTAGTTGTTCTTCCCTCAATGATGAAGACAACAAAGGGACCAGGTAATGTATCTATTTTCAGCAACGACATACCAGAGGTGACTGTGACTGTGACCACTACCATTTTGGGTTTTGGTGTTGGTTTTGGGTTGGGATCATTTTGGAGTAGGTTGTTGTTGTGGGGATGTTTGGCCACAAGAGGCATACTTAGTATATCTGTCCTATCCTACATCAACACCTCCTTCCTCTCCACCCAACTCTACAGCAGCACCAACACCAGCATCAACACTAGCACCAGCACCACCACCAGCACTACACTTCCCATCATCAACATCATCACTGTCATCAGTGATCCCATCACACTCACACCACACACACCACCTCAACTTAATCATCATCATCTTGCTCTTATGGGTTGCAGCATGGATATACTTTCCATGGAGCCCCGAACACACAGACCTTGATTTGGGTGTTTTGGTTGTTTTGTGGAGTTGTTTCTGCATTCACCATTGCTCTCATTTCACGTGTTTCAGCATCAGCGCACAGGAAAACAGGAACGGCGGATTCACCTGGAAGAGCTGACACATTGCATCGACCACTTCTCGCAAGGTGTCGAAAAGGCGGCAAGTGAAATAGTCTCAGAAAGGGCATCACAATGATAGCTTCGCTGTCGTCGTCGGGAAGAGGAATGATGTCAAGAAGCGGAAAAGTTTTGTTGTGGGGATGACGGCTCTTGATGTCGTTCAGATATGAGATGATCTTGAGCTCGGGCTTCAGAGTTGCTACCCGTCTGAGGGCAACCTTGGAGTTGTCTGAGATTTGCATAGCATCTAGAACCATAGAGGCAGTCTGCATATAATGAACCCTCGCCACGTTAGCAGACAACACATACCCAAGACATCCCGTAGGAATCCTCAAAATCATAATAGTGTCCATACTTGAAGTTCGATCCTGGAAGGGTCCATGAGGGAGTCCAGTTTGGTTGATATCTTAGTCGAAGTTTGTAGCCTTTCGAGCGAAGGAAAGGCTGGTGATTGACCCAGAATTGTTCGTCCGGTGTTCTTGTTCTATGTATTCATATTCAGCACTGTTTTTTTTACTTGAAGTTGCAACACACTTCATACGTTCATCCAAAGCTTGCATCTTCCTAACAAAATCGTCCATTGGGATGATGATGGTTGTTTGGGTGCAAGTATCGACTCCTATTGGACGAGGGGCTTTTCCATCCCTTTTAGAACAAACAGGGTTCCCATATTGACTAAGGATGGCTTCAATAGTCTTGCTGAGAACAATCCGAGCCATTTCCTGTGGAGACCCCGTCGCCAGAACATTGTGGGCGTTGGCTTGAGATCAGCCTTCTCCTTGCGCATTTGAGCGTGAAGTGGCGTCACTTCGTGCTCCATTGTCCAGAAGTGCGATTCAGCTGTGAAGGTCGACGGTGGTATTGATGGAAGTAGCAGTTGTGCAACATCAGGAACGGGGGCAGATGTAGAAGCAATAGGTACTTCTGGCCAACTCGGGTCGGTGTGATTTCTGAGTTCGCGGTCTCTGCAACATGGTCATTGTCCATCTTGCGCCAGGTCGGGTGCCAGGTCGTGTTGTCTAGCCATTCAGATTTCAGGAGGTCTCTGCATTCGTACTTGTTCGCGAGCTGGAATCATCTTCCGAGATGTGTAAGACGAACAACACAAGAACCCACAAGAACGCACCTCTTCCATCCAACCCATTTCATTGCACTCTTCCAATTTGGAGTAGCACTCCAACTAGCCCATAATCTTCCAGGTACTCCGAGTCCCCACAGTTTTTGCTACTTTTTCCTACAACGTTGCAATTGAGAGCGTACTAGTTCCAAGTGCGAGGGCTTGAGGCAACGTTCAGAAAGGCTTTGTCAGCGGTGCATTGCCCAACTGGCAAGTAATATGTAAATCTACAGCATGTTTTTGGGTTGGTTAGAGATCGACGAATCACAACTGGAACGAACCAAGACTTCGGTTTTTGACTCTTCAAAATGACAATTTTTTTTCGTTCTGTCAAATACCTTTGGCTGGGTCTATAGTTGAGTTGAAAAATGAGAATTGGCAGACTCTAGTAGCTCTCATGCATGGATGTCGATGGTGAGTCTCAAGATCTCATGGCCGACGTCATCACTTCAAGTTGAACTTGAAAATGGTTTTTGGCCCATCGAGAACTTTCAAATCCGATGATTCAGAAGAGTACTGTAATACATACGCAACCAAGAGACTATGCTAGCGTGCCGCCTTCATCGCAGGCCAAGTATTTCGTCTCAACTTGAAGCCTCGTTCAATCTCAGGCTATTGTTTGCAGCATTAGACTTGTTGCTCGGCACACCGACATTTCCTGCGTACGATGAAGACTCTGAGGAGGGAGGAGCTGAGAACGATTCATGGTCCGACACCGAGTTACCACTGTCATATCCGTTTGAACGAAGCTCGTAGTGTATTTTTTTCTGTGAGTTCTGAGGGCGGTATGCGAGAACAGATCTCCTCGAAGTGATCCAGAACCTCAGCGGCCGTTGGGCGTGCCTGAGGGTCCTGACGTGTCATAGCTCAAAGAAGTGGACCAAAAGTAGTCATAAGAATAGGATATCTCTGTCCCAACGATTAATGGGAGTCCCAATCGAATATATGTAGTACCTCGCTAAGCTCCATGAAAGTGTTTCCAAGTTGGTAAATATCGACCTTCAACGGATTGTACAGGACTGTTTTTGACAGTTCTGAGACTGTTCGGTCTTGGCCGCAGATACCGATGGCTTGAGCAGTTTGTGGGCCATTAGGATGGTACCCACAAAGTCCAAAGTCGATGAAATAGTAAGCAACAGGTGGGTCAGCGTAGCACCTGTCCCGCCATTCATAATGGTCCCCCCCCGCTGGGCTTGTACTGGGGGCGAAGGAAGTGGAAGCCATTAGGGACTACTTGGGACGAATCCATCATTAGGTTATATAGACATGCATCCCTGGAAAGCGTTCAATGAAGATAATTAATTATAGTAGTTGGGAGACATGCCCATGAGTGATATTGTGCCAATGCAGAAACTTCAATCCCTTGATGAAGATAATAAGAGTGAACTGAGTAGAAAAAGTGGATCATGTACCTGGAAAAGCTGTCGCATTGCGTCGACTGGCTCTCGCAAATGTCAAAATGGCGGCAAATGGAAGAGTCGAAGAAAGGGCATGACGATGATAGCGACGTTGTCGTTGTCGCAGAGAGGAATAATGTCAAGAAGGTGGAAAGTTCGATTATGTGGGTGACGATTACGATCCAGATTGAGGTATAGTAAGGTGGTGAGCTCCGGTTTCCAAGTCGTGATGCATCTCAGAACAACTTTTTGACCATCGCTAATGCGTGTGGCATCCATGACCTTATCCTTCTGTAAAATCATCGTAAATGTCAAGTAAGGGGAGAGATGAATAAAGATACACGTGGTTTGTACGAGTCCTCGAATTGGTCTTCATTATCCCCAACTGTCGCTCCAGGTAGCGTCCATGAGGGGACCCAGTCAGAGTGATACCTAGGCCGCAGCTCATAGCCCCTCGAACGGAGGAATCGTTGGTGATTGACCCAAAAGTGTTCTGAAGCAGATCTGGTCCTGTTTACCGATGGTTAGTGAGAAGAGGGTTGGTACGAGCTGAATGCACTTCATATAACAGTTCAAATAATCCTTTGTCTTTCTAGCTCGATCCTGCAAGTCGGACTGCATGGTGGTGGAGGATCAGCAATAAGTGAGCCGAGGCCCGAGGGCATGCCATGTTGGATTTTAATCAGTGAAAAACGTGTTTACGCATGAAAAGAATGAAATGCTCTTAGGCCTGCACAACGGAAAGGTTGGACTCGAAGATTGGGACAACTTGTTGACTTTCGCAGGGAGCTCTGTCTGGCTTGAGTCACCTAAGTAACCGTTTATGTAGTGTTCATGTCACAAACAACACCAATTCAGAGGATGCCAGTTGGCCAGTGAAGGCAAGCAAGAAGCACCGTGAAAAGATATCGTAAAGATGATGCAATTCGAAGACTGGGGTACAAGACGAAATCTACTCTACTTATATACACTACTACCATGTGTTTACCATGCCTAATACGAGAGGTAATGACGTCATGCTTTAGCCATGCCTTTACGTGCTGTTTGCCTCATGTTCAACTCCACGCTGTCAATCAACATCAGCATCGACATCTGATGATCCAATCACCATCTTATCGTCCATCTTATCTCCTCCTTGTCTTATCTTATCAACCAGGGCCAAAATAAAAGGTTTAAAAGGCGAAGAAAAAGGGTTTTTGAACCCAGGGTTTGACATTACCCCCCCTTCAAGGTCGACGTCCTCGTCGACAGAGGGCATTAAAGCGCGTTCATCATCCACCCCCCCTTCAGCCTCCACAAAATGGCCAGTCTGATAATTAAAGAGTTTCCGGGATGGATATGGGAGCTTCTCTTGCGTCGGCTTATAACGTTTGACCAGGTAATCCCAATGACCCTGGGCAAGGACAGGCACACTACGGGTCTTGACCACTGGGTTCTTCTGGTTGAACTCGTCTAACAATTCTTGAGAGTTCTCAAGCCTTTGCGCCGTCTCCCATGTATCCTCGCTATGCGGGTATTCCTTCCACTTCACCAGATACTGCCAACCACGACCACGCTTCCGCTTCTTCATAATCTCCTCAACCTCCCACTCCTCGTGATCATCCACAATGTCCGGTGGCGGCCTTTCTTCTCGCCGGTGGGGTGGTGGCTCGTGGTAAGGTGTCAGCTCTGTCTCATTGTAGACTGGATGAGCCTGACTAGAACCTGGCATCTTGAGTTCGTATGCCGAAGGTCCAACCTTTGCCTCCACTTTGAATGGTCCCACACGTCGATCATTGAGCTTCTCGGATGGTCGATTCTGTTGCACTTTTGACCCTTCAACGTACACCTTGTCTCCGACTTTGAACTCAGGTGCTGGTACACGTTTCTGGTCATAGTACTTCTTCATCCGCTCTTGGGCCTTCTTAATTGCCACCGTTGCATCCTCACGCACGCTGCATCTTTTTCGCGAATTCTTCTGCTGCCTCGACCTTAGAGTGATATGGTCCTTCGACGCCTTTCCAGGGATGGTACCCATGATCTAGGAAGAATGGCGAGACCTTGGTCGAAGCATGAGCTTTGTCGTTGTAGGCGAACTCGGCCAACGGTAACCATTCCGACCAGTCTGATTGGTGGTGGTTGACATAGATGCGGAGATAGTGTTCAATCTCTTTGTTCATCCGCTCTGTCTGACCGTCGGTTTGAGGATGGTATGCCGTGCTTGGGGTTCATCTCTGTTCCCAGCAGCTGATTAAGCTCACGCATGAAGTCGGATACATAGCGGGGGTCTCGGTCTGAGATTATCTTCCGAGGAACCCTGTGATATCGCACAATCCGATCGCGTGTCAAGCGTGCGATTCCCTCGCTGTTGATCTTGATGCTCACGGGCTCGATATGGATCCGTTTGGTAAACAAGTCGACCCAGACTTGGATAGCTGTAAAGCCATTACTTTCTGGTAGTGGGCCGATCAAGTCCATTGACACTGTCTCCCATGGTCCATTGGGGACACTATGGGGTTTCAGGAATCCATGAGTTCGTTGTCTCCATCGAGTCCGTTGGCATGCATCACAGGTTCGGATATACTCTTTGATTTGGTTACCCATTCTGGGCCACCAATATTTACGTTCAATGAGTTCCTGGGTCCGATATTCTCCTGGATGTCCAACAAGCGGGGTATCATGATGCAAGCGAATGATCCGTTCACGAAGAGTATCATCTCGAGGCACATAGATCTTATCTCGGTAAAGGATCAGGTCGCCATCTTTTCGCCAATCAGGCAGCGACTTTTCAAGGGCCAATTTGACGCTGGTATCTAATCTTCTAGTCGTTTTGATCTGACTAAGAAGATCATCTTCTGGTCCCTCGAAGTGTACTTGAGTCGCCCTGAATAATTCTGGCTTTAGGAGAATGACGTCCTTGTTATCGTCCTTTCCTTGATCATGATCAGCCCGTCGAGATAGCAGGTCAGCCTTCCGATTAAGCGCTCCGGGCCGATGGTGCAGTGTGAAGTCATATTGTGACAACTCGGTGACCCATCGGGCTTGTCGGCGATTCAGCTTCTGGGGCTTCTTGAAATATTCGAGGTTTTGATGATCAGTGAAGATCTCAACGTCTCCTTAGCACCCATGAGGATGGCACGATATTCTTCCAGTGCAAACATGATGGCGAGCATTTCTTTGTCATAGATTTCGTAATTTCGCTCTGTCTCCGTCAGGCTATGTGACAAAAACCCAACGGGACGCCATACACCATTCTGTTCTTGACTAAGAATGGCTCCAATTGCACCTTCCGAAGCATCAGCCTCAAGACGGAATTTTCCATCGTCTGTTGGCAGTGCCAGTACTGCATCCTCAGCTATTCGCAACTTCAGTCCATCGAAGGCTTGTTGCTGTTCTGGTCCCCAAGTCCAACCGCCTTTGCCAGTGAGCTTGGTCAAAGGTCGAGCCACTTCGCTGTAGCCTCGAATAAATCGGCGGTAGAAGTTGGTGAACCCTAAGAAAGCTTGCACATGCTTTACTGTTCTGGGCTGCGGCCATTCCATGACACCTTTGATCTTCACAGGATCCATTTTCATTGAGTTGTGCGAGATAATCACTCCCAGATACTCAATCTCAGTGCGTTCAAATTCACACTTTTCGGGTTTGAGATAGAGTTTGTGCTTCTGGAGAACCTCAAGCACCTGGCGAACAATCTTCCGATGTTCCTCCAGTGAATCCGTAAAGATAAGAATATCATCAAGATAGACGACAACGTGTCCTTCATTGATCAGATCACGTAAGATGTCATTCATCATTGTTTGGAATGTTGCCGGCGAATTGGTAAGCCCAAAGAACATGACTAAGGGTTCGAACAGTCCTCGGTTGGTTCGGAAAGCTGCCTTCCACTCGTCTCCCTCCTTGATGCGCACATTATTATAACCCCAGCGAATGTCAAGCTTTGTGAAGTATCGGGCACCTTGGAGCTTATTGACAAGCTCAGAGATCAAGGGCAGAGGATAACGGTTTTTAATTGTCATCTCGTTTAACTTCCGATAATCTTGCACAGGTCGAAGAGAGCCGTCTTTTTTCTTGACAAAGAAGAAGGCGGACGCCATCGGTGACTTTGATGGTTGGATGCGTCCGCTCTTTAGGTTTTCTTCCAGGAAATTGTCGAGCTCTCTTTGTTCATCACGAGACAGAGGATAGATTTTGCAATCTACAGCCTTAGAGTCTGGCTTAAGTTCGATTGCATGATCCCACGGACGACGTTCAGGTAGAGAGTCAAATGATTCTTTAGCGAACACTTTGACAAACTCTCGATACTGATTGGGAATCTTCTCCTCGGTCATTCGTTCTTTGTTTCGACCAGCTTCTTCTGCCATTCGCTGTGCTTGGGTCTCCTTCAGTCGGAGATCAACTGCTGGACCAAAGTCCACGAGCAAGATCGACTCTCCTTCTTCCAGATCAGGGTCAGCTTGGAACTCTTCATCACGAGCATTGCATTCAACAGGGCAGCGAGAAAACTTGATCTTTTGGGAACGCCAGTCAATTTCCGGGTTATGTTTAAGAAGCCAGTCGTATCCAATGAAGACACGGGCTTTACCCAGTCCAGTGACAAGGAAGCGTTGCATTTCCCAATGATCGCCAACACCCATGCGTAGTTCGACATAGTGTGTAATTTTGCCATGAGTATTCTCGGTGCCGTCTGCATTGCGGGCAATAATATGAGAGTCCAGCTCTTTCAACTCAAATCCTTCTGCTTGGGCATATGCTCGGTCAATGCAGGTCGTTGTACAACCATTGTCAAGCAAAGCCTTTATTGCGCGAACCTTGCCAGTCTCGGGAACCATGAGAGTTATTGGGACCAACATCTCATAGCGTTTACGTTCCCGTTGAAAGTCTTTCAGTTCCTGACTAAGACGATCTGGCTTGGCTCTAGCTTGTCGCGCAGCAGCCTCTTGCATCCGGATAGAGTCTCGAACCCTAGTGTGCGCTGGGACTGGAGGTACAGTCACATCAGCTTCCGCCTCCTCACTTCCTCTCTCAGTCTTTGTTGATGCGGTTTTTTCTCCGCAGGCCTTTTGGAACTCAGTCCACCACTCATCTTTCTCAACACGCTTTTGTTCCTTTAAGTTATGAAGACGATTCTGATTTTGCAAAACATGGATACGACGAGAGTTGTAAAGGAATTCATGTATGTCCTTTCGTAAGTCGAGTCCGAGTCGGTACCATAAAAAGAGTCCGTAGCAGGTATATTGGAAGTCGCATTTAATTTACTGAGAGGAGAATAACGTCCATATTTCGAATCAACAATTTCGGATCGCTCCGTCTCCTTGGCCAGGGGAGAGGAGCGCTTTAAAACTCCGCCTCGCGCAACTTCTGGATCAACTGCGTCAACGTGCCGTCGAACTTGTCACCCTCATCAACTTGAGCCATCAAGGCCCTAATGCTGAGTTTTTTCTGAGGGGGGTCCGGGCAGTTGCGACTAATGTGGCCAATTTTGCCACAGTTGAAGCAGCGCAGAGGTTTCCACTTCTGTCGAGCGCGGTCGACGTCCATGGCATCGGGGTCTTTGGCAGGCGCAGCAGCTTGTGGTACTGGGGCACGTGGGGCGGCGGGCGGAGTACGTTGGAACTGGGGAATGAATCCAAACGTCTGTCCGCGGCGGCCCAAACGCAGCCTGTTCCGAGACAAGTTCGCGTCGATCTGCATCAGACGCTCTTTCCATTCCAGATAGGTCTTGGGCAGGGCAGTGCCTCCCACATAGATAGGACCAGTAATCTCCGTATTGACTAACTCCTCAAGAAGCTGGATCAGGAACGCGTCATATGCACAAGGCTTGGCATTGGGACTATAGCCTGCCTGTTCTGCCAGCAGTTCGAATGATTGGAAGAAATCGGTCAGCGACATCTTATTTTGACGAGTAGTCGTCAACTTCAGATGCGCCGCCTGTGCGATGTTCGTGTCCTTGAACGAGAGTTCCAGCTCCGTGATGAGATCATCAAATGTATAGGTGGCGGCAAGCACACCACTCTTAAGGGTTCGCTTTTTCCAGTTGCGCACCCAGTCAGCGCCGTACATGCAGAGGCATCTGCGGATCGAAGGTACGAGACCAAAAACCAAATTCGTTTGTGATCTGTGTCGAGCGCATCAGAGTATGCCGCAATATAGGTTGTGACAGAGTCGTAGAAATTTTCCCAAAGCGATTTCTCGCCAGAGAAGAGAGGAGGGGGGTTCGCAAGTACGACGCGAGACATATTGGTTGGTGGTTGGGGTGCGGATGCGGGTGTGGGTTGTGGTACGGTTATGGAGGTAGGAGCAATGGCAAGAGTAGCTAGGGCGGAGATTGGAGAAGGAGGAAGAGAGTCGAGGTAAAAGTGGTTGAATGGAGAGGGGATAGGGGAGAGAGAGCGGGGTGTAGAATTTCTTGAAGACTCCTCAGAAGGAGCCCCTGACGAGAGGTCAGGGATCAAAGCGCGCGGAGAGCGCCACAGAGGATGGACCGGAGAGTCCGTTGTCGGGGTCCAAGAGACCTGTTGCGTGAGAGGAATCCACCTGGGGCCTTTCACGACACACCCCGCTGGACGAACTAGGGTTCTCCGAAGATTGCCCCTGCGCCTCCTTGTAGCAGCTATGACTCTACGAAAGCACCTGGGTTGGGCCAGACGTCTCTCTTGCAAGTACGGCGCGTGTCCTCTCGAGTGGGTCCCTTGGATTGTCGTCTCCGAGTGTACCTAGCCAAGAAGAAAAGAACCTAGAGCAAAAGGACCTAGAGCAGACGACCTAAAGCAGAAGGGGAGAGGGCGTGGGAAAAGGGTGTGGGAAATTTGGCGATAGTAACGGGGGTAGGGGAGTGGTTTGGGTAGGTGGTAAGAGGTAGGAGGGTACGAGGGTAAGAGGGTAGTCTTCGAATTATGTCACAAACAACACCAATTCAGAGGATGCCAGTTGGCCAGTGAAGGCAAGCAAGAAGCACCGTGAAAAGATATTGTAAAGATGATGCAATTCGAAGACTGGGGTACAAGACGAAATCTACTCTACTTATATACACTACTACCATGTGTTTACCATGCCTAATACGAGAGGTAATGACGTCATGCTTTAGCCATGCCTTTACGTGCTGTTTGCCTCATGTTCAACTCCACGCTGTCAATCAACATCAGCATCGACATCTGATGATCCAATCACCATCTTATCGTCCATCTTATCTCCTCCTTGTCTTATCTTATCAACCAGGGCCAAAATAAAAGGTTTAAAAGGCGAAGAAAAAGGGTTTTTGAACCCAGGGTTTGACAGTTCATATTGAAACCTGTTGAAGCGTTGGTTTCCGGTAAGCAGATGGTTCTCAACGACCTGTCGGCCTCCAGAGAGCATTCTCTAGCACGAATTGGTCACGTCACGCATCCAGAGAGCATTCTCTAGCACGAATTGGTCACGTCACGCATCCTTGGAGTTGTTATGTTATGTTATGTTATGAGAGGGGATAAGGCCGCAAGCGGCAGAGAGCCGAACCGTGACTCTGCTGGACGCATCATGTGATGTGATGCCATCCTAATAAGGATAATCAAACACAGCCACTCCCAATTTGGGGGGGGGCGGCTGGTTTTCATCTTCACATATAGAGCCGAAACTTCGGTTCGGCAATTATGGCCTTAGGTCCCACACGGGAACGGCCCACCCAAACCCCGATTGACAGCGAATTATAACTACTGACAGCTACCTCTACTGTCGATCTGAAGGAAAGAGTGATCCAATAGACCACATCGTGTCGGAACGAATGTAGCTCTCATGAAAGCAGCCGTCCAATAGTTAAGCCTAGTCAGCATACGCCAGACTGGCCGGCCCAAATAGTAGCTGGACCACCGGATAAAACCCACGGTGAAAATCCCCGGTGTCCACCAGTGCGTCTGCTGTCTCTGCTTTCCTATCTTCTGGCAGCTGCCATGCACCTGTAAACTGAAATAAAGTGAAGGCAACTATTCCTTGTCGTTCTCATGAACCCCATCAATGTCGTCCATATATCTATCGTCCAGTGCTGGATTATCCTCGGATACCTGTGTCGGGTTGACATTCCCGAACCATCGCCAGCTGCGCACCACTACAGCTATGAACCTAGCCATAGGCACGACCAGTTCCCAATCAAAAATCAGTCTCTGCATCACGACACGAGCGTTTTCGTTCGGCACAGGCAGCACTAAGTTGTGGTTAAAATCCTCCTCCAACGATTGTTGAAGTTCTTGTCTTGCCGCCAGAGTATCAGCTGTGTTGCACAGCATGAAAACGTGCCATGGCGTCTCTTCAGCTTGTCCACATTTCCGACAAAGACGTTGATTCCAAGGAACCAACGTCGCATCTCGATGAAGGCCTCGGAAACGGAATGAGCCATTTAACAATCGTGTCAGCGCCAACCGGTGGTCTGGAATAGAAACACGGGACAGGTAATGTCGGCGGCAAAGTGGGATCGCTTTAGGTGGTTTATCCTCAGAGGGTTCCAACCGTCCGTGGAGCAAAGGTAGAGAAACTCGAGACAGCACCTGATTCGAAATCCAGCAACGTGATCTCTTGCGCAACTCTGTGATCACCGTATCGCACCAAGCTACACTCAGATGTCGTTGCACCTGAGTTTACGACGGCCACAATATTGGGTCTGCAAAAGATTTACCTAGACCTGTATGAAATGACCTTACAACTGGTATGCGCCAATTGGAAAATACAGACCCTGCCGGCGCCGCGTGCAAGGGTCCTTTCTTGTCTGGATAAATAGCAGCAAGATCCTGTTCAGTTTGCCTTCCCGATGCAGTTCTCTAACACAGTCATGCTCCTTCTCGCGACCTCTACACATGGGGCACTCCTGGAGTGGCATGTGGGCGCGGCATGCACAGGAGAGGTAATCACCACAAGTGGGCGGAACGCCGGGCCGGGCTCTTGCATCACACTCGACCCGCGGCGGACGGCGCGCAGCGTCAAGTACAGCGAAATCGACCGCCTGCAGCTTTTCCGCTCTGGCGGCGGGCATGACACGTGTAAAAACGGCGCGCAGTACACTGCCAACTTTAGCTCGGGGTGCGCCACTGCGCCGAATGGGTGCGTGAAGGTGGATATGATGTAAATATGCTAATCGGTTGGGCAGGTTCAATTGGCAGAGCGCGAAGCTCCTGGCCCCCTGAGAAGTGCGAGTGAAGATCCAGTGTAGTTGCACAGTGAATGGATATTCATTTTATGAGCATGATCCAGAGAGAAAATAAGTATTGCAGTAAGCGGATAGCGAGTAGTAGTAGTGCGTTGCAGAAAGAGAGATAAGATAGTAGTCTAAGACTAGTCTGAGTGGTGAGTGCAAGCCCCTACGAGGAAATAGGGGTGAAACGAGCTATGCGCATCGTCCACTCGACGAAGATGTCAAGCGCCAGTCATCCAGCCACCTGCATTTCAATCTAGCCATGGTAGAGCGATTACAAGGAGAGAACATCGTCAAATCGTTGTTTCAGCAGTATTGTCCTCAACCAGGCGATCTCAGGTTTGGCTTGGTGTGCGTCTCGCCCTCATTCTTGTCGGATGAAGACGCCAGTTTATCTGCATCACCGGACTTGTCAGACGGAGATGCCGAACTGTCTCCGTTGTCACTCTCGTCTGAAGAACTCGCGGAGAATAGTTCGTAATCTGAGAGAGATTCGCCACTGTCGTAAAACTCCGTGTCGGGAACATAGACTAGTTTTTTTCCCAATTCGTCTGGGGACAAGTCAGAACAGATCTTCTCGAAACGTTGCAGAGTCTGTGACGCGGAAGGCCGCGCGTCCGGATTCTGGTGTGTCATGGCCTCCAGAAGAGAGCCGAAAATGGTCACGAGAATGGGATACTTCTGCTCAAAGCAATTAGTAGAACAAGTCTACATGTAGTAGAGAGAGGAAATACCTCGCTAAGCTCAACGAAACTGTTGCCAAGTTGGTAGATGTCGACCTTGAAGGGGTTGTAGGGGATCGTGTCCGATAGTTCAGGGGCAGTCTTGTCTTGCCCATAGATGCCAATGTCTCGAGCGGTTTGTACCCCGTTCGGATAATATTCAGTAAGTCCAAAGTCTATAAAGTAATAGGCGACTGGTGTGTCAACCAGACACCTGTCGCGCCATTCGTAGCGATCTCCTCCAGTCGGTTTCAAGCGAGGTTTGGTAAAATGAGAGCCTCCAGGTACGACCTCTGAAGGGTCCATCATTAGATTTAGGAAGCAGGGGTCGCTGTAAGATATTTAGTGGATGGCGATATCTGCAAGACTGTACGCACCGGTGAGCGATATTCTGGGAATGCATGAAGTTGAGACCCTTGAAGCGCATCACTGGCATTAAGTGGTGGGAAGATAGTAAACGGTGCTCACCTGAAAGAACTGACGCATTGCCTCAACCACCTCTCGCAAGTGTCGAAAAGCCGGTGAATTAAACAGTCTCAGAAAAGGCATGACAATGATAACTTCGCCATCGTCATCGGAGAGAGGAACAATGCCAAGAAGCGGGAAAGTTTTGTTGTGTGGATGACGTTTTTGTTCGGAGGAGTTCAGATATGAGAGGATCTTGAGTTCTGGTGTTCGAGTTGATACCCGCCTCAGGACGACCTTGGAGTTGTCAGAGATTCGCGTCGCATCTAGAACCCGGAAATGGGTCTGCATATGATGAAACTCCGTCAGATTGGTCGACCAAACGTACAAAAGACATCCGAAAAGAATCCTCGAAACGACTATAGTCGCCAAATTGTATATTTGACCCAGGAAAGGTCCATGAAGGAGTCCAGTCTGGGTGATACCTTGGCCGAAGTTCGTAGCCCTGAGAGCGAAGGAAAGGTTGGTGATCGACCCAGAACTGTTCACGCCGTGTTCGTGTTCTGTAAGTGTTAGTGTATCCATAGCGAGCCTGTGGCTGGAATTTGTAACGTACTTCATGAATTCATCTATGGTTTGCGTTCTCTTCGAGAATTCGTCCATGTTGATGCTTAAGGAGTTGGCTGGGTTATGTAATACCGTTTCAGATCCGATCCCTCCAAAGTTGAGAATCGGTATAAGATCACGACAATAAGTATTATCAGTGACTGTCTAGACTGGAGGTACATACGGCGTCACCAACATCTCGCTGAACGCCTGAAGCTTCTCCGGCCCGCGCACCTCTTCCGTCAACAGCGGCAGTTGCACAATATGGAAAAACTCGTCATAGAGCTCGTGCGCCTCCGCAAGGTACTTTTGCTGCATCTTGTGTCGCACCGAGCAGTGTTCACATGAGTTGGCTGGAAAGAGTCGGACACAGTCTAATGATCAGAAAAGCGAGACATACATTGTTTGGGGAATAATAACTGATTGACGACGATGTTGTGCGTGTCGATTTCGTAGTTGGTCAGTTCTTGTACGAGCCGCTCCGTCTCGTAGAGGGAAAGGAACTCCGAGATGCAGACACAAACAAAGGTCGTTTTTTCCTGTCACCAGATTAGCATGTCAGTCGTTGCTTTTGTGTCAACAACTTGCAGGATCCTTGAACTGTGTGTTGACTTCCGTGATTACTTCGCGCATAGAGTCGAGCCTCGCGAACATGTCCTCCTGCGAGCCCGCTTCGCCTCCCATCATGCTTGACATCTACCCACAGATGAATTGATATGCTTGTGAGAACTGTTCCAGCCAAACCTGGCTGATCATTGGTCCAAACCGCGATCCTAATGTGCTGAGTTTTCCGAGAGCCTTCTCTAGCACGGTGGGGAACGACAAGAACCGTAAGGTGTGACCCGTCGGCGCGGTATCGAACACGATAACCGAGTATTCCATCGACTTGACATGTCTGAGTCCAGTTAGGTTTGTGTTGAACCAGGAAGAGAATAGAACATACTTCATTATCTCTGCGAAACTCATTGCCTCGTCAACACCAGGGATTGCAAAGGCGAGATCTTGCATCATGGTGCCCATCATGCCATTCGAGTCCGCTGGTAAACGCGTCAGTCTCCTTCATATGTCCAGACTGCAGCACACATTGCTCGACCATCTCTTGGATCGCACTGGTTGGGTCGATCTCCATAGCGAACAAGTTGTCGAACCCGTTGACCTTGGTCGCGTCCTTGGAGAATTTCTGGCCAAATGCGTCCGACAAATTGTGCGCCGGGTCAGTTGACTGTTTTGCGCTCAGTAAGCGGCTGAATATAAAGAAGAAGAAGATGAACACACGATGAGCAATACTGATTTCCTACACTTTGCGAGCTGAATCGCGAGCGAGCATGATGTAGTCGTTTTGCCTGGATTCCAGAATCCTGTTCACTCGTTTCGAATGGATAACGCGAGAAAGACGTGCCTACACCGCCCTTCCCACCTATTGAAGATGAATACAGAGTCGATATGGAACTAAATGGCCAAACATGCCGCAGAAAATCCATTTCAAGCTCTCTTGATCAAGAATGTTTTGCAAGGTCGGCGGTAGGAGTTCTTCTTCAGCCATTGCGCGGGTCGTAAGAGGGACTCGTTAGGTGGAAGTAAAGAAAAGCTGCTTGAATCGCGCTTGAAGGCGGTGATGGAAGGAAGAAATCAAGTCCAAAGGGTGTGACGCGTAGAACTTGCTGAGAGCGTCCATCTCCTCCTCGAACCTTCTAGTCGAAAACATGGCTGACAAGGACAAGATCGTCGTGTTCAAGGGTATGCCACAGTTTGGGGTTATTGCTCTTGTCAAATTCACCAATCTATAGCTCTCCAGCTGGCCAACGAACAGCGAAATGCTTATGGACTGCGATACAACGACTACGTTCGCTACCGGTGCGTTTCGTTTCCAATGTATCGCATAACTCACGACCATTCAGTAAACACTGTGCAAATCGGACTCACCGACTGCGTTCAACCCTCAAACTAACCCATGGAAAAGGTCGCGAGTTCAAGAAACTCCCTCCACTCACTCCCGAAATCGTTAAGGACGGGCATCTCCAGCTCCTCCTTCTAGAAGCCGAACGCGCGTGGTCTTACGCCCAGGACCTCACCGCCCAATCTCTCAACTCTGCTGACAACGCTGGTACCCTCAGACATAGTGCGACTGGTCGATTCCGTCGCGCAGTCCACCATTCGACGCAGCTCCTGTCTCTCTGCCAGGCACTTTATGCTTCGAACCGGTTTTCTACCGAGAGTCTGCTTCAAGTAACAATTTACACGCTGATTCTCAACGGCCGGTTCCTACGTTACCGCGACGAGTTCGATGACGCTCTCGTCCAACTTGGAGTTGCTCGCGGCTTGCTCGATGAGCTAGCCAAAGGCGCGGACACAAGTAGAGACCAAGCACTCGCAACCCTCTTCTCAGACGAAATCGGTCCAGAAATTCGACATTGTGCACATGAATTGGGGCGAGCAAAGGCCTATGATGTGGATGGAATTGTTGCAGAGGTCGCGAAAGATAATCGAAACACCCTTGTCGAAGGTTGCGACGCCCTGATTGCCAAGTTCAAAGACCAAAGCGGCAAGGAGACGGGCAAACGCAGAACTTTGACTCCTTTGGTGTGGGAAGGCCAGCCCGTTCCAGTACGGAACCCGGAACTTGTAGATGTGTTATTGCGAGTTCAAGATGCAGAGCAACGGCTTCAGAAAGGGAGTGCGACTGGGACCAGCAAAAAAGGCGTCAAGGCATACGATGCGATTCTGTCAGCATTAAGCGATGCAGAGGAAGTCGCTCGAAAACTTGTTGAAGCACAACAGCTCAATGGGTCGACTTCAACGGTTGCATCCGGAACGCGCGACATTCATTTTGTTCACGCATATATTGTGTACCAACTTCTTTCGAGACGGATCCAACGCGACCTGCTTCTAGCCAGTGCATTAATTTCGTCGGAATCAGCGCCAACGACTGGTAAAGATGATGTCGATTCCCGCCTCTTCCCCGCCGTCGTCAAGCTTCTGGACACGACATTGCAGAGTCTTACTCAGATGCGGACACTGAGTGTTGTAGACGATAGCCCTGATTTAGCATCAGCTGTAGATGCGAGAATTGCATACACCAAAGCAAGGAGGTCCGTATTTCCAACTTTTTCTGATTCTTCAGACTGATGCTTCCAGATGTCTCTTTTTGGCCCGGTCTTACACGCCCGTTAAGAAATATGCAGAGGCACTAACGCTTCTACAACACGCCAACATTCATCTGCGCGAAACACAGTCCACTCTATCTCTCGTGGAATCCAATGACCCGATCTCTGACAACGACTTCTTCCCGCTTGTGCCTGCCCTTATAAACACACTCGAAAGCACCCTCAATTCCCTCGGCCTCTCTATCAAGCGCGAATGGTTTGCATTCAACGGTGGAGCGCCGGATAGCACGCCACGTGCTGAGAAGAAGCCACTGTTCTTCGATATCGCGGTCAACTACGTCAAACTGGATGTTGGGAGGTTACGAGAACGGGCAGGGCTGCCACCATTGGAAGAGGAGGCGCCGACAAGTGTTGCGGCGGTACCGGTGGCCAAGACAAAAGCAAAGGAGGATAACGATGTCGGTGTCGAGGAGAAGAAGGACAAGGAGGATAAGCAGCAACCTGCAGCCAAGGGTGGATTGAGCAGTTTGTTGGGTGGCTGGTGGGGACGGAGTTGAATATGATGTGCCCATTGAACCATGTAGAACATAATTATGTGATAGCCACAAAAGTAGTAACGGGTTTCTTTTTTTGAGATGGAAACCACTGTTGATCACCTGACCGTGACTCCGTCTCTCAGTCCAAACCACCATGGACCGAGAAGCTGGCTACAACTCGGACTCAGACTCGGAATCCGGAAATGTGGACAACATCATTGGACATAAATTCTCCCAAGCAAGACTAGAGAGCTGGACCACCAAGAAACTTTTCGACAATCTTGTCGCCGGCCGAATCTATCTGGACGCCAAATACCAACGCAGTAAGGATGGCCACCGCCCCCTGTTCAGTATGCACGAAACTCACGATACTCTAGATGTTGTTTGGAACATAAAGAATCAGAAAGGACTTGTTGACTCCCTTTTCCGAAACGCGCCAGTGAGCCAAATCGTCTTCGGTGAGTCAACTATGTTCGATGATTGGCTTCGGCCGCTGATTGGTTTGGGGGGGAATCAGCGCTCTATAAAGAGGATGGCGTCACGAAGTATCGCTGTGTAGATGGCAAGCAACGGCTGACGACGATTCGGAAGTTCCTGAGCGGAGAAGTGAGTTTTCACTTTGTTTTCGCCGGAAACGCCACCTTTGACGTTTACCTAGATACCTTGTATGTTTCATTGCATTGGCAGTTTGGATAGTTAACCTCAAGCTCTACCTCTAGTTGAGAATGCGTATGTCGATGTTCTTTTCTCCTCTTCTTTCTTAACACACCTCCAGGCACACGGGCAAGAAATACTGGTACATCGTTGACAAGAGCAAGAGAACACTAGGCAGCAAGGAGGAACTACCGCAACATATCCGCGACGAATTCATCAGCAAGACTATCTCCTGCGTGATTTACGATCAACTACTGCCTACAGAGGAAAACGATATATTCGCGGTTTGTCCATTCTCTCTTGTCGAAAGCCACCTTACCCTCGTTTAGCGTCTTCAGAATGGGGTTCCTCTAACCGTTGCCGAGAAGCTCCGCGTGCACGAAACGGACCGTGCAAATACCGCGTTGAAGTGCCTCGAGGACCACCTTGACAGACCCGACTCGTGGCTCCACAAGGACAAGAAACGGTTCACCCTCAGACGGGGCAAAGACCGTTCAACGGCATTTCGGTACCTCAGCACCATCTTGTACACTTTGTCGACTCCCAGCAAGACGCTCGCGCCTATGGCTGGTGCCAAATCGGACATATGGCTCAGTGAAGAAGTTGCGGTGGATCCCAAGGTTAAAGCAGCGATGACCGCCGCCCTAACCATCTACGAGGAAATCGCTGGTACCTCCCGGGCGCTCATGAATCGTGTTGCGCCTGTCGAATTCCATGCGACAGTTGTCTTCGTGGAAAAGTACCGACATAGTGCGACACTTGCTTCGTTGGCGGAGGGTATTCAGGGCTTGAAGGACGATGTGAGGGCGAAACATCCAAAGGAAGTAAAGGCGACGCAGAAGGTATATACCGACATGGAGGCATACATCAAGAAATGGGCGAAGGGGCCGAATAACAAGCTGAGGCCCGGGGAGATCAGCGCGATGGAACAAGTTATGAAAGGGGCCGTCGCTGGAGACAAGTCTACTGCTGTTAGTGTCGGTAAAAAACGGAAGCGCCCATCCGAGGAGGCTGAAGGGTCAACGCGCAAAAGGACCGCGGTTGAAAAGCGACCCAACGCTGACGCTTCCTCGTCATCTGTCCGTGTTGCCAGAACGGAGACCAAGGTCGGGCCACCAAAGAGGAAAACTGCCGCCAAGGAAGCTGCTCCAGTAGGACAGAGATTTTTCAACTTCCAGCCCGAAGATCTAGCGGAGAAACAGGCTGGGGATGCAAACCAGGCTGAGCCTGTGTCAGCGTCCCCAGCGGCCGTTGTCACGGAAATCTCTCCTTGGCCGATATTCCCTCCACCCAACCGGAAAGCCTTGTCTCCGTCAACTGATTCTGAACTTGTCATTGCACCATCCGCCTCTCCTCAACGAAAGAATGTGGCGAGAAGAGGCAAAATAAGAGTTGTGGGAGGTACAAGCCGGTCGCCTGCCCAGGCAAGCGTTGTCAAACCCGAAGAATCGGCTGAGAAATTCTCTGCGACTTTTTAACGTCCGTTTGTAGATGATGAAAGAGCTTTCCTGGATTAGGCCAACTGGCTCATGACTGTATACAACTACGCGTACAATAGATAATCAATGGAGCTTGTGTTTAATTGAGGAACTGTGAATGTTGAGCAATCAGAAAGGAGGTCAATCGTAAGACAAACCTTTTTGGCACCAGTTTCGGAGACGTCAGAGGAACCACCGTGCTCCTCTGCCTCTTTGTCGCTGATCAGACTCATCGGACGTCCAACCTTTTGAATCTCAGCCCAGAATCCCTTGTTCCCAGGTGACGACTTGGTGAGTGTCTTCTTGAGATCGCGCATGAAACTTAAAGATATCAGTGAAAATCGTTGCCAGTTTAGCTAGAAACACACTCGTTCCAAGCGTCCACTTCGTCCTCCTACAAAAAGCGTTGAGTGAATATGCGAGAAAGAAGGGCAGTAAAAACCTTCAGGCAGGTATCCCGCAAAACTTGCATGCATTCCACCAACTCTGCGTGTCGTCTGCTCGCGAAAGGCTTAACCACGACCTCCGCGATGACAGCACACAGATCTTCGACTGCTTTACTGACCACGTCGCCGCGGGCGATATTCTCACGGAAATCTGCTAATGGACGTGTTGTGCCAATAATACGTCCTGGTGCGCGACCTGGATCGATGTTTAGATCAACTGCTTCCTCTGCGGTCCTCGTGGCGTTATCAGTATCGGCAATTGAGGCAGCTGGGGAGCGAGAACGCGGCGCGACGCCAGACAAAAGATCCTCGTCATCCTCAGTCACACTACCATTTGAGGAAACGGCCCTAGTCTTGCCCTTCTTCGAAGGCGACACGTTGGTACTTGAAGTTGCCACTGGTTGGGATAAAGTCCAAGTAGAGTTGGTTGGCATGGGTTTCGCGTCCAGTAAGAAACCCTCATCCTCCTCTACGTGAGCATGAGCATGTCCTGTTGCTTTAGTCTTTGCAACTTTCTTCGGGACTAAATGAACAGTCAGATAAACATCGCAAAAAACCACAGACATAAGCACAAACCTTGCTTGACTTTGAACTCGTCTTTACATTTTTCGATGGCATCGCGACCACGTTTGAGCATCTTCGGCGGCGGGTCAAAGTAAGTTAGGAGTTCGGGATGAGGAGGTGGGACGGGGTTGGTGTTGATATCTGAGACGACAGCAGCATGAAATTGCGCTTGTTTAATGCGATGGACAGCAGGATTGTAGGACAGGCGCGTGTCAAACCAGGGGCCACGGTTTCTGTGTGAGAAGTAAAATCCATAATCCTCAGTTCATAAGTGGAATTTACCCCTCTTCGTCCTTGTCTCCGTGATGCATCAGGTCCATAGCGTCAACAAAGTCATCCATAGCCTCGAGTTGTGGTTCCGTCGGTAAGAACGGATGCTCCGTGAGTATTTCGCCCTTCTTTGAGACGAGTTTATCGAGGGAGGCAAACATATATTTGCGCACGTCATCGGCGAAGGGCATCTTTGAAGCGCCATAAGACGAAATCAAAAGTAGTAGAGAAACTCACGTGAGACCAGAGCAGATAGTCGACACCGTCGTCAATGCCAGGAGTGAGGACACCCATTTTGGGATCCATACCGTCTTTGCTAACCCATCGTGCAATGGCCATGACATTTTTCTCGTACATTGCTTGGGCAATAGAAGAGATGGCGACTTGTTGCTCAGGCTGAGAAGGATCTCCCCAAATGTACTGAACCTCGCCCATCGAGAGTTCGCGTCGAAACTGAAGAGAAGATAAGAGAACCAGAAAATATAAGGAACAAGGTCGCACATTCTTGGCAGGGAAAAACCCACAAACGTCGATACCTTTCTTCGTTGGAAGACGCTCAAATTGACCATCGGGACATGGCACGTATGTGGTTCCGTACTTGAATCCCTTAATCAATTCCTCCTTAGAAACTTGTTCAAGATATGCCGGTAATTTGGAGGGTCCACCCTCGTCATCTTCGTCTTCGATAACAGGCTCTTTTTCCTCTTGTTTGACTTCTGTGTCGTCATCCTCATTGCGTTCTCGTCGATCGACATAGAATTGTGTGTGCATCTTCAACTGGGCGAATTTGACCGTCTTCGCAACACCATTTGGTGGAGGCTCTTCTTCGTCGACCTCCATCTTAACAGGCTGTTCGTCGTCGTCATCACTCTCAGTCACAGAATCGTCCTCCTCCATTTTGACTGGTTTCTTCTTCTTCATCTGTGCCTTCTTTTGGGCCCGCAAAGCCTTTTGCTCGGCAGTAAGGGGTTCCCTTAAAGCAAATTTCTTGAAGCTTTTCGGTCGTGCCATTGCTGTACATTTACTCGTTCGAATATTGACTTGAATCGCCTCCTCCGGTCTGGATTGGAAGTCCCCAAGTCGCAGAGTCGTTCCCATAAGCACAGATTTGGTTATTTTGACATCTGGACGTGAAATTTCACGAAGAGCATATGCACAAGTGCCTACGATCCCGTCATCGAGCTTCTCCACCAACTCCTTGAAGAATTCTTCGTTCTCACTCTTTGGAAGGTCAGAACCATTTAGGAGTCCTAGTCATAGCGCACCTTTATCCGGGATTTGTCTTCTTCGCGGTAGAGATAGTTTTCATCGTCTGAGTCGAAGTCTAGACCACTATTATAGAGGTAAGGGAAGATGAAGATCGACATTATATTACCCACATGATAGTCAAGCTGATTCCATAGGCATTTATTTTCTTGACTGTCGGTTTCAGTTGGCTGTCCACCTCAATAGGACTTTCTCCGTCCGTGACAAGGACCATTTTGCGTGTCCAAGTTTTCTTGTTGCCTAGGTATTCCTCTTGTGTCTCCATTGCAACGATTAATGCGTCGAGAGCTGCAGAGAGTTTGAGCTATGATGTAACTTTTTGTGGACACACACACACACCATCCCCCGGTTCATCCGTCGTTGTCAGCGCATCTAGCTTGGAAAGCGTTGCTGGAGTCGGTTGTCCAATCTTTATATACTCTTCTATACGCTCGTATCCCTCTTTCATAGCCTTGTTGAGAGTGTTTCGCGTGCGGTCTGAACCAAGGAGAATTACACCGCATTGGTCTGTCTTCCGACCATTGAAGATCTAAATCGCGGTTTTGGAGTGGCAAAGAATCCGAGAGGGTTAAATACCATTTCCTGGATCTTGAGCTTGACGAATTGCAGTCCCCATTGAAGATAGGTTGTTTCGTGAGGCAGCTCATTGCCTTCTGCGTCATGAGTACGGATTTTGTTCATCGACGGCCCAACGTCGACGATGAACATAGTTACGGTGTACTGTGACTAGTTAAAACATGCATTTTCAAAGGAAAGCACGTACCCCTGCTCGTTCAGCAGGCATGGTCAGAGTGAGGGAGGTGACACGTGACCCTGACTCCGGCGTGACACGCGTGACAAGACCTCAAACAGCCACACAGGTCAAAACGACGGCGAGTGCTCGTGATCTCTCATACCACGGAACGCGCTCGAGTTACCGACATTTTGACATCGTCCTGTTCGCCTCCCGTCTGTTGTCACCATGCTGGCCAACGGTCTTGGCCAGAATATGACCCCCCAGCGAATGCCCGACGTAAATGCGGTTCTTCAAGCAAGTGCAATATTGACCAAAGATGCCGTATATCTGACCTTCCACAGCGCCTCTCATTCCTCCGGCAGAATCCGCATGAGCAGAAGCCGGGGGAAATAGAAAATCTTACGAAGCTCCTACAGACCATCCAGCACCAACAACGTGAGTCAATGGTCCACCGTTTCACGAGCGCTAACACTTAGATCAAGGCCGAATGCAACAAGGACAACAACAGCCTCAGCCTCTGACAAACGGCCATTCGGTCACAAATGGCATTAGCGCTTCTCCTCTCACCAACGGCGCCATATCGACTCAAATTTTCCCTCCCAGTTCCCCCGTTTCTTTCGCCCCAGAAGACTTCAATAAGCTTCGCGTTCACATTCAAGCCTATAAGCAACTCGTCAAAGGCTTGGGAATCCCCGAACACCTCCAACCTCTCATTCATGGCCCAGCCAACCCTGTCGCTGATCTCGAGAAACTCGTCCATCCCACCGACATAAACAGCAAGCTCATTGACAGCGCTGTCCGGGTGGCCAAAACAGAACCTGTCGAGAGCTTCGAAGACGACGACGTAGACCCGGCGGATTTGCCGCAAGGTCCCTTCCTCGAAGACGACATCAATTCAGGCATCCACCCATACAACGCCTTTGTCCACCCCTTCACCCATCTCAGAAGACCCGCAGACCTCGATCCCAAGCTTTGGGCCAGTCGTCTCCAGCGCCTCATTATCCCCACAGTCATGCCTGCCGGGTTAGACCCTCGTCAGATAATGGAAGAGCGAGATCGCTTCGTCGAGGCTCGGCGGCAACAGCGTATACGGGAGTTGGAGGAATTGCTGTCGACCATGGGAGATGGTGGTCTCGAGACGGGTTTTGACCACCAGGATATGATCAAGAGCGAGAAAGAGAATACAGCACTCATAACACAAACGTCGCACGGCAAACTCAGAGCTCTCAACGAGCTTAAAGCCCTACGTCTCCTCGATAAGCAACGCATCATGCGTGCAGCTGTCGCTGAGACTCTCAACCATGGTTCACTACTCCCGCTCAATCGTTTGGAATTCCGTCGTTTCCGTAAGCCAGCCCTTAAAGATGCGCGAACCACAGAACAGCGAGAGCGCCAACAACGGATGGAGCGCGAGCGACGAGCCAAGTCGAAGCACGTGGAACAACTCGACGTTATTTGCCAGCACGCCGTCAGTGTTCAAACCGTCGGTCGAAATGCGCAAGACCGTGTTACGCGTCTCAACCGGGCTGTATTGAACTTCCATGTGTTCACGGAGAAGGAAGAACAGAAACGGATGGAGCGTATCGCGAAGGAGCGTATCAAAGCCCTCAAGGCTGACGATGAAGAAGCCTACATGGCTCTCGTCGATAATGTCAAGGACACGCGTATCACCCACTTACTGCGGCAGACGGACTCGTATCTCGACTCTCTTGCCCAGGCTGTAGCTTCCCAACAAGGCGACACTTACTACGTCGGCGACGGTGCAACTGAAGCGACTTTTGGTGCAGCAGTCACGACGGCAGAGGAAGATGCCCATTCGTCCTCCGCTTCCAAAGTCGACTATTATGCCGTTGCTCATCGTATTCAAGAGCCCATCACAAGGCAACCGTCTATCCTTGTGGGTGGCACTCTGAAGGAGTACCAATTGAAAGGTCTGCAATGGATGGTCAGCTTGTACAACAATCGCCTCAACGGTATCTTGGCTGACGAAATGGTATGAACTCGATTGTCGTCTTTCGTTTTCTGACATTGTCGTAGGGTCTCGGCAAGACGATCCAAACGATTTCGTTGATTAGTTTCCTTATCGAATCCAAAAAGCTCTATGGACCCTATCTTGTTATCGTCCCCTTGTCCACGATGACCAACTGGTCCGGAGAGTTTGCGAAATGGGCACCCAGTATCAAGGTCATTTCCTACAAAGGCAACCCCGCACAACGACGACAGTTGCAGAACGACCTTCGCGTGGGCCACTTCCAGGTCCTCTTGACCACCTACGAGTATATTATCAAAGACCGCCCCGTCCTTTGCAAGATGAAATGGCTACACATGATCATTGGTAACGCGCCTTCATCTCTTTTCCGTCTATTGTTCTCAATTCCATCACAGATGAGGGCCACCGCATGAAGAACACGCAAAGTAAACTGACGGTCACTTTAACGACTTACTACCATTCCAAGTACCGTCTCCTGCTCAGTGGAACCCCTCTCCAAAACAATCTCACGGAGCTCTGGTCGCTGCTCAATTTTGTTCTCCCAAGAATCTTCAACTCTGTCAAATCCTTCGACGAATGGTTCAACACACCTTTCGCGAACTCTGGCACCGGCGACAAGATTGAACTGAACGAAGAAGAGGCGATGCTTATTATTCGTCGTTTGCACAAGGTGTTGAGGCCATTTTTGCTTCGGCGTTTGAAGAAGGACGTGGAGAGTGAACTGCCCGACAAGGTCGAAAAAGTCATCAAGGTCCGCATGAGTGCGCTGCAGAGTCAGATCTACAAGCAGATGAAGAAGCACAAGATGATCGCGGACGGGTCCACTCAAAAGAACGGGTTCGTACCGCAAAGCTGCTTTTCGACAGCGATACTGACTCCATTCCAGCAAAGTTACTGGTGTCAAAGGTCTGAGCAATGAATTGATGCAGTTACGCAAAATTTGCCAGCATCCTTTCCTATTCGAGAGTGTCGAGGACAACATCAACCCTTCAGGCCTGGTGGACGACAAAATCATTCGCACATCCGGCAAGATTGAGCTGCTCAGTCGCATTCTTCCCAAATTCTTTGCAACAGGTCATCGAGTGTGTACATCTCCCCTCCATGACTTTACTCTTACATCATTCAGGTCCTGATTTTCTTCCAAATGACCAAAGTCATGGATATCATGGCCGACTTTTTGAATATGCTCGGTTGGAAATTCCTTCGACTCGATGGTGGAACGAAAACGGAGGAACGTGCCAATTTCGTGCAACTCTTCAACGCGTCCGACGAGTACAAAGTATTCATTCTTTCCACGCGAGCAGGCGGTCTCGGTTTAAATCTGCAAACTGCAGACACTGTCATCATGTGAGTGTCACTTGTTTGCCATGTACTTCGATACTCATTCTTGGGTTTAGATTCGATAGTGACTGGTGGGTTAACGCAGATAACCCGATGCTTGTCATGCTAAATGGACACTTAGGAATCCTCACGCCGATTTGCAAGCTCAAGATCGTGCTCATCGTATCGGACAGACCAAGGCCGTGCTAATCCTTCGATTTATCACCGAGAAGAGTGTGGAGGAGGCGATGTACTCGCGTGCCCGGTACAAGCTCGATATCGACGACAAGGTCATCCAGAAGGGTCGCTTTGACAACAAGTCAACTCAGGAAGAGCAAGAGGAGTTTTTGGTGAGCTTGCAATGTTAAAGTGTTCGCCTCTGACGTGAGACACACAGCGAGCAATCCTCGAAGCCGACCAAGAGGAAGACAACGAAGAGGCCGGTGATATGAACGACGACGAACTCAACCTTATCCTTGCTCGCTCCGAGGAGGAACAGGAACTTTTCCGTGAAATGGACTCGAAGCGCGAACGCGACCAGCAGGAAACGTGGCGAGCTCAGGGACATCGCGGGAAGCCTCCTCCGCCTTTGATGCAATTCGAGGAGTTGCCCGAATTTTACCAAAAGGACGAACCTTTCGAAGCCACCGTGATAGACGAGGCTGCGGAAGGTCGTGGACAACGGCGCAGGAAAGAGGTTAGCTATAACGACGGACTTGACGATGAAACATGGGCGATGGTATGTGGTTTCCGTCATGCGTTTGGCCAACTAATGTATTTGATAGGCGCTGGAGGATGGCGAAGATCTTGAAGAGTTGGCTGATCGCGCGAGAAGACGAGCTGCGACACGCCCGTTGGAATCAGGCCGCGGCACACCAGTCTCGGATTCAGATTCCCGTGGCCGCAAGGGCAGAAAGGGCAAGGGCCGTAATACTGATTATGAGCCGGTCATTCTCAGTGGGAAACGGAAACGTGGTGGGAACTCTGTTTCTGTTACACCCTCTATCGCCGATCTGGACGACGATGACGACGACCGCATTTCGGTAAGAATGAGGGTCGGTTGTACTTCATCGATGCTCATGTTCATCTAGAAGCGCCGCAAACCGCCACCGAAAGCCAATGGCCCTGATGTTCCTCCCGCCATTCGTGAAAAGATGAAGAAGGTTTTCAACGAGTGCCATCGTGCCGTTCTTGCATGCGAAGATACCGATGGTCGCAAACGCTGTGAATTGTTCAGAGAACTACCAGACAAACACGTACGTGCAACGCGTTTACCTATCAGTCTTCGCTAACTTAGATTAGGACTACCCCGACTACTACCAACTGATCACCCAACCCATCGCCCTCTCCCATCTACGCAAACGAGGGAATGGAATCTTCTACAAGGACGTCCAAGCCTATCGAAACGACTGGGCCTTGATGTTCAACAACGCCCGAACATATAACCAGGAGGGGTCGTGGGTTTATGTGGATGCAGTAGAAATGGAGAAAGTTCTCGACTCAACCTTCAAACGCTTAACAGTTGGCTCTGGATTGCCTGGGGCAGCACCGGGACTTGGTGGAAACGTTGTTGGGCCAGCTGCTGGCATGTACGAGTCGGCTTTGACGCCTATGGAAGAAGATGAAAGGCCTCTTCCACCGTCAAGAGGTCGAAGTCGACGGCAGGTCATCAGCGACGAAGAATACCTTACTCCCAGCGACGATGACTGATTTTTGCTTTTTTTTCGTTCAGTTACAAATTTGTATATATTGAGAGTAGATGCAGAGGTTTCGAGCATCCTATGTCGCTATATAGTCTTGTCGCTATCATACAATGTAATTCTTGGTGCATCGGGTCAGTCTACAAATTCCAAATCATTTCCTTTTTTGGCCCGAGCAGCTATTAAGCGCAAACGCAGCTCTTTCATCCAATTGAATGTCGCAAGCCTGGTGGTAAAGCTGTTTAGAATTTAGTACTGCTGAGCTCAACAGGTTGTACAACCCATGTAAGGTAGGGGTCGTGGGAACCCCACACGTTTAGTCAGCTAATGGCATCAGCGCTGATGCGCCAGCAATAGGCGCAGGGGTAGGACATATAGTGATCCATAAAGTGTACAGAAATGAAGCTTAGTATGAGAGGGGATAAGGCCGCAAGCGGCAGATGCCGAACCTTACCAGATGATCCAGCCATCATGTGATGCAGCCAAAAAAGGGAATAATTTTTGCACTGCCACTCCGAATGTGGTAGTGCTGATGGCAACCTTGTTATATAGAGCCAAACCTTAGGTTCGGTGTCAGGGGAACCCCCGCTTCGGCCTCCTTCGGACCCTCCGAACGCATCCGAGGCGCATCCGACCGGCGCCCCCTCAGACGCCTCCGACCCACCCCGACCATTGTCCACGGCCTCCTTCGCCCGCACAATCACCGATCCGTCAAGACCCTCCCAACAATCACCTTGGGACAGAGCCTGCGACGCCGCTCAGGCCTTCTGCACTCTACGTCGGCAGTTACGGACGACCAGTATATAGTTGGCGCCCTAGCAGGCGGACCCTTAGAGTTTCTTCTCTTTGGATCCTCCCCTGCTAGGTCGGTCCCTCCGTGTATTTCCTGTAGTCTTATTCACTCTTTGGATCCTCCCCTGCTAGGCTTTCGTCGGAGTCTCCAGGGTTGCCCTTACAGCAGAAGAAACTCTCTACGGGATTAACCGGTCAAGATTGCCAGGTTTGGCGCTGACTCAGGCTCGGAGTACGAGTCCGTACCCCCCTCGTCACCGCCCCTGCCACTTGACCCCTCCTCCTCTGCTCTTGTCGTCTTTACGCCCGCTATGTCCACCGGAGCTGCTCCCGGACGCTGACGGCGCATGGACGCACTTGAGGCGAAACTAGACAACCTCACCAATATCCTCACCCACCTTGCTTCCCAGGCTTCCGCTGCCGCACCACCTCTGGCAGCTCCCGAACCGCCCGGCATCTCCGAATGCCCCGACGCGGATGCGTTATTTGGTGATATTACTGTCGCCTTAAAACTGGTCTTACGACCAAACCCCCCGTTTGCGTTTAACGGAGATCGCAAACGCGGCCGCGCCTTCCTATACACGGTCAAGACTTATGCTCGGCTTGCCCCGGAGGCCTTCGTGGTCAACGGAGAGCCGAGCGAAGAAAAAGGCCGTCCGCTACGCCATGTCCTATATGGCGGAGGGGCCTGCTCAGCAGTGGGCAGAGCGTCATGGGAGCAAAACCCCCTTCCCCTTCCCTCGGTGGAACCTATTCCTCTCCGAGTTTCGCCTTCGGTTCGTTGAGGAGAACAAGCAGGACCTTGCGCTTGCCAAGTTGGAGAGCGCGGGTTATCACATGGGAATGCGGGATGTCTACAGATACACCGACGACTTCGAGGACCTAATGGACCTCGCCGGATTCGAAGACGCGTTGGTTAAGGTGACCAAGTACCGCCACGGACTTGACCCCCTGATCAACAACGGCATCACGTCTTCGAACGACCCCCCAGACCTCCGTGACTATCTGGGCTGGCGCACTCGGGCTTTCCGCCAATACAAAGCCTTGGTGCGGGCGAAGCTCATCAAAGGGACCACCCCGGACGCCGGGGGCTCCGCGTGGCGCATTCCCTATCGCCCGTTCGGCAACGCCGTTCCCCATCCGCCCGGTGGCTGCACCCGCACCACCCGTGGCCCGCGCCCCCGTCTCGGTACCTCCGGCTCCCGTCCCTATGGAGTTGGATCGTACTAGGGCTCGGGGCGCCCCTCGTCGAGCCTGCTTCAGATGTGGCGACCCCAATCACTTGGCTCGGGACTGTCCACTCCCCGCCGATGTTCGCCATATGGACATCCTCGACGAGGTGATCCAGCAACTTGGCGACGAGATGCTGGGAGAGCTGCTTGCGCGGTTGTCCGACACCGCGGCCTTAGCAGAGGCGCATTCGGAGGCTCCGGCAGAGGATTTTGTCCCCTGCGACGAGTGACTGGTGTGCCCTCGTTCGCGTCCATAAATCGTTTCACTTGTTTGTATGATGAATCAACTCCCTTGCCCTACAACGAGCCTGAAACGAAAGACGCACCCCCTGCCCCCTCCGAAGCCCCCGTTCGGATTTGCCGACTTGCCTGGGAGAAAAAGCTACCTGGCAGTTATACCATCTCTGCCGCTCCTGGGGTTAACTCGCTCCACCTTCCTCTTGAGCTTGAATCCACTGCAAACGCGCTCAAGCTCTCCCTCTCAGGTCTGGTCGACTGCGGAGCCACTTCGGACTTTATCGACACAGAATACGTCAACCGAAACAATGTGCCAGTCCGAAATCTCTCAGTACCCATACCGGTCTACAATGTCGACGGCACCCCCAATGATGCTGGGTCTATTTGCCAAATCGCGGACCTGGTCCTACGGTACAACAGACACTCCGAACGCGTTCAGCTGGCTGTAACCCACCTTGGGAAACAGGACTTGATACTCGGGTACTCCTGGCTCAAAAAGCATAACCCCGAGATCAACTGGGAAACAAAGGAGGTGAAAATGAGCCGCTGCCCCCGAAGCTGCTCCACCTGCCGCGACGAGGAACGGACCGAGCGCGCTGAGGTTCGGCGCCTCCGACTCCTTAAATCGCGCTTGCTTGCGGGCGCCTTCCCCACCGTTTGCGCTATCGATATCGCTGGCCCAGACGATGCCGACGACGAACTCAGAGCTCCTTCGGACCCTCCGGAGCGCTCACCAGATCTCGACGACGACGAGCATCTTGAAGACGGCGACCGCATCTTCTACACCTCCTTTCGCCCAATCGAGGAGATTCGCGCTGGGAGCACCGTGTCCCAACGCCTTGCAGAGGCCTTCGCCCGTAACTCGGCCCCCCCGCCTTCGGAGATTCCGGACTGGGCCAAGGAGTTCCAAGACGTCTTTGACAAGGAGTCCTTCGACACGTTACCAGAGCGGAGGGCTTGGGACCACGCTATCAAACTCATTCCCGACGCGAAGCCCGCTAATTGCAAGGTGTATCCGATCTCCCTCCTTGAACAGCGCGAACTTGACGAGTTCATCGAGGAGGGACTTGCCACAGGCTGTATCCGCCCTTCGAAATCTCCGATGGCTTCCCCCGTCGTCTTCGTTAAGAAAAAGGACGGAGGACTTCGGTTTGTCCAGGACTACCGCGCCCTCAACGCAATGACGATTAAGAACCGGTACCCCCTCCCGTTGATTAATGACCTTATCAACAGGCTTAAGGGCGCCCGTTACTTCACCAAACTCGACGTTCGCTGGGGCTTTAATAACATCCGGATTAAAGAAGGAGACGAGTGGAAGGCGGCCTTTCGGACCAACCGAGGGTTGTTCGAACCTTTGGTGATGTATTTTGGCCTGACGAACTCCCCCGCGACTTTCCAAACGATGATGAATGACATTTTCCAGGATCTCATTCTCTCAGGAGACATTATGATCTACCTTGACGATATCCTTATCGCGCATTCAGACCTCCATAAGCACCGTGAGATCGTCCGCGAAGTCCTTCGGCGACTCCGAATGCACAAGCTGTACCTCCGCAAGGAGAAGTGCGACTTCGAGAAATCATCGATCGAGTACCTGGGGGTTATCATCTCTCACAACCACGTCGAAATGGATCCCGTTAAGGTTGCCGGAGTCTCCGCATGGCCTCTGCCCGAGAACAAGAAGGACGTCCAGCAGTTCCTGGGGTTTGCTAATTTCTACCGCAGGTTCATTCGGGATTTCTCGGCCCTAGCGCAACCTCTCTTCGCGCTCACCAAGAAAGACCAGAAATGGGCCTGGGGAGACGCCGAAGCCGCCGCCTTTCAAGCTATCAAAGACGCGGTCGTCTCAGAGCCCGTCTTAGCGATCCCGGACGACTCCCGGCCTTTCCGACTTGAAGCAGACAGCTCAGATTATGCGACGGGGGCGGTTCTTTCACAACAATCCGCCCCGGACGGGAAGTGGCACCCTGTAGCGTTCTATTCCAAAAGCTTAAATGATGTCCAGCGCAACTACAAGATTCACGACAAGGAGATGCTCGCGATCATCCGCGCACTCGAGGAGTATCGGCATTTCCTCGAGGGCGCCACGCATCCGGTCGAGATCTGGACTGACCATAAGAATTTGGAGTATTTCCGAAAGGCACAGCACCTTAATCGTCGGCAAGCCCGATGGTCGTTGTACCTTTCTAGGTTTGACTTCACGCTGCACCACGTCCCAGGTTGCCAGATGGGCCGCCCCGACGCTCTCTCTCGTCGGCCTGACCACGGCATCTCCGAGGACAACTCGGATGTTACCCTCTTACGCCCCGAACTGTTCCATGTTCGCGCGCTTGAGGCCGTCACCGTCTCTGGGCCTGGCTCCGAACTTGTCCGCGACATCAAGGAAGCACTATCCGGTGAGCCTGACCTAGAGGAGCCCGTCGCGCTTGCGGCCCGGCAACTCTTGAAGGTCCGAGGTCAAGTTCGGGGCCCCCGCTCATCACGTTCGGACGAGTGGGCCGTCTCCGGCGACCTCCTGTACTTCCGCGGCAAGGTTGTAGTCCCCAAAGACAAGGACCTAAGGAGGCGCATCATCGAGCTCTGCCACGATACGCGAGTCGCCGGACACGCCGGGCGGTTCAAGACCTTAGAGTTGGTTTCGCGCAACTACTGGTGGCCGCAGATGTCTCGCCATATCGGACGCTACGTCGCGACCTGCGACTTATGCTGCCGCACGAAGGCCCTCCGAAGGCTTCCGCATGGAGAGCTG